CTTTTCTGCTTCCACCACGTTCGCCTTCACTGCATTCCTCTGCTGATACAGCGACGGAAAGTATTGTCCACATGTTTGTGACTTAGAGGAATTTTGCCATTTTAGGGGGTCATGGACATTAAGACTTAATCTTCTGGTGTGCCTAGTGTATGTAGGTTGGGGTAAGGCTCTACGCCCATGCCTTACATCACACAAGTATAATGATGTTTACAACAAATACTAGAAAATAACAATCTTGGTACATGTGGACAATTATTGCCAGGTGCAAGCAGCAAGTTACATCAGCCCCTAACTAGTACCTAATCCACCGCCCTTTCGCCTTAGACACCGCCCTCACCCTCCTGGGCATGCTTTCCACCAGGTGGGTGCACACATCCGCCAGGATCTTCTCCCATTTCTCCTGCACCCCCTCCCAAAGGTCCAGCATACCAGTGGGAGGCTTATAAGGCTTGGCCAGCTGCCTCTTGAGATGAGCCCATAAATGCTCCATTGGGTTGAGGTCGGGTGAGGAAGACGGCCACTCTAGCACCCCTGAATCTTACTCTTAAAGCCACTCCTGTACGATACGCGACTTGTGCTTTGGGTCGTTGTCGTGCTGGAAGATAGTTTTTGAGGGTGTAAGCTGGTAAAGCTCAATCGTACTGTTGAGATCGTCCTGCAGTATACTCAGCGAGAGCAGTCCGTCCACCCTACCATATGTTTTGCTCATGAAGCCTGCTCCCTTTTACGATATGCAGTCGTAAATTATCAAGCAACCGCCCCCGTGTTTGACGGTTTGCTTGATTCGGTGTCTTTGGAGGGCAGTCCCTTCGTGAACGCACGCGTATGAGAGTCAGTCGGATGCAAGACGACCGATCTTGGTCTCATCCGCACAGATAACTCGCTTCTAGTCGTCAACCATCCAGTCTGCGTGGGCACGCGCCCATTCCAGCCTATCGCGTATGTTTTTCCGAGAGTGTCGCGGTTTCTTGGGATGCTTGATTGCGACAAGTCGGCTCTCATTCAAAGCGTTACGCAATGTCTTAGGATGCAACGTGATGCCGTGCTGCTTCTCAACGATTTTCGCCACGTGAGTGGAGATTTCTGCCTCCTCGAGGGTAATCGACCGAACTATGCCGCGGCGAACTCTCTCTGTCACTAAGCGAGGGCGACCGGCTGAGGGCATCGTAGGACGCACGTCATCGCGGCTAGACTCTACAATCACCTTGATGGGCCGAACTCTTCCCTATGGCTAGCTGTTTAGCGATTCAACGATTGCTCTACCCCCTCCGCAACAAGGGAATGATCTATGCGTAGAGCGCCTCATCTAACGGTTTCATGACGGCCTAATCATCGCAGCGGTCCTAGCCTATCTCCTGACTACTCGATAGTCGCGAGGGCAAGTAAGAAGAAATAGCGAGGTTAGGAAATAGATCTACTACGCTGCTTGGCCTAATCTGTCCGGATGCACCCACGCGGACGAAATCTCGTCCTCGGTAAGAAATCGACCCCTATAAAACTGAAACCAGCATCCGTCACATACAGTACAGTACTACTTTACATCCAACCCCGAAATTTGATTCGTAACTAAACAAAGAAGGCACCAAACCAGTACGAGAAATGTTTTAAGGCAATTATCCGGGCAATACTTTTCGTCGCTGTATGCTGGACCCCTATAACTCTTGCTGTTTGGGTTGGAATAGCAATTTGCTGCCGTATGTCCGTACCTCCCACAGAAATCGCAGGTGCCTCCAAACCCCTTCCGTTGCTGCCAACCTTCTCCATTGCTTGTAGCTTCCTTCCCCTTATAGTTCCTGCTCTTAGGATTGTCGTAGCAGTCTATCGCCTTGTGCCCCTTCTTACCGCATTGGTAACAAGCACCACTAATCCTCCACGCCGCTGCTGCATTCACCATCCCAGGCTTCTCCTGTCCGCCATATGCAGCTTCCGTCTTCCGCTTGCTCGATGTCTTCATCGCCTCAATCGACTGCAGCTTGTCCACTAACTGCGTCATGCTCTCTGGAGGGTGAAGAACAAGGCCGCTCTTCTCTGCTGCTCACGTCTCAGGTAGTCCACTTGCTAGATGCTCGATCATTTGCTCCTCGTTCTCAGCATCTCCCATCGCCGCTAGCTCATCTTTGAGGCTGCGTGCTCTGTTGACGTAGTCGATCATCTTCTCTTCCTCTCCCATGCTGAGCAACAACAACTTCTAATGCACAGTAGCCTTGTTAGCATTGCTAGGCCTAAGATGCATGCTCTCTAAACATGCCCAAGCCTTCTCCGCAGAATTCACCTCACGCTTCAACGGGTCCAAATTGACGGCAATACTGTCGGAAACTGAGTGACACAACTGAAAGAATGCGTGCTTACTCTTCCTCTTGAATTCTGCAATTTTCTCTGCCGACTCCGTCTCAGTAGGAGGTACTCCCTCCACTGTCTCCTTGTCCGGCGAGTAGTAGGGCCAAAGGTCCACCTCCTCCTCCCTTCAACTGAACTTCAAGCGCCACGTACTGTAGCTGGTTCATTGAAACGTTAGGCCTCGCTGAGCCCTATCGTCGGTTTCACCACCAACTGTCCCCTTGACAGGGCCTCTAGGAGAGCTCTCATTTGCGGGTCTCCATTGCTCACACTGGATCCCGAACTAACCTCGTCACCTGCCATGACGTAGGCTTAGGCTACTCTCATTTAACCCCTTTGCTCTACTTAGCGCACTAAGTAGACTCCACGCAGAAAAATTCGCCAGCCATTCGACGCTAGCTCTGATACCAGTTCTAGGCGACTATCGCCTCCGGCACAGCAAAAAGTATTTAGAAATACTTGTGCAAATAGCCTCAAGGGCAATATTCATCGCTTCCTAACATTTTCTCCTCCCAATTCCACACTTCTCTTTCTGTCGCCCAAGTCTTGAATGGTCCGTCGTGGGTGGCGGAACCAATCCAACAAGTGCCACGTTCCTAATTATCCCATTTTATAATACTAGTCCTTTTTAATCAAATTCAGAATTTTTTGTGCGACATGCCAGTCTTTGCATAAGAATGGGAGAATTCAGTTTCACCTTCACAAGTCGAATTCAAAGTAAACAAAAATGACTGTGAGACACTTATGTCGTGAACGTGTTCTTCACCTCCGTTTTCAGACTGGAAACCTCAACAAACCTTAAAGATCTCACGACCTCAAACCTCTAACGACCTCCACTGTCCATTGCCTTCATTTTCGATCATGAATATCTTGGGTGGACGCACGCCTATGAGGAAGAAACAGCAACACAAGGCACACGGTGAAGGCTTAGTTGTGAGCCAATTAGATCACCCCATGACTGACTGGCAAAGGCAAAATTACATTGCCTAGCCTACCACTAGTCACCTGCATTACCACTATCCCCTAGCAATGGCTGATGCCATTAGCATCATTGCCCAGCAGAGCACTCACACCAGCACCACTCTCCACAGAAGTGCTGGCATTAGCAAAGGCCACGTGGTTATCATCCGTATTGTCCAGCATTTACATCAGTCCTCATTTCCACCACCAATACTGGAACAACAAGACCACCGCCATCACCATCCCTTCACCTCGGATCCTCTCATTCTATAAACAGCCATTGCCTTCACCGTCACCTGATTCGACATATCCTCACCTGTTTGCACCAATTAGAGCTGTGAATGACTGTCTTCAGAAACGGCTACCATGTGGTGGATGCCACGAAGCCAAAGAAGAACGCCTGCTGCTCCACGCTAGCCTGCAGCCCCTCACACAGCGCCACACTCCACTGCAGTAGCGGCTCTGCTGGCTTCTCTGTCGAAGCAGCCAGGAACACATGAATGGACCCAGAGCCCTCAGGCTCGGAGTCCACCCATGCCGTGTAGATGCTGCCGTTGACTAGTCTGAGCAGCGATGCCTTCTTGACCAATGGTATGTCGTTGTCCTCTACATTCAGCCCCACATACGGCTCGAATTTGAACATGCTGTACTGTGTGTAAAATACAACAGCTATACTCCGACTTCCCACTCCACCAAAACCTGCACGCCCGCTTCCAACCTCAGCCTTTGCGATGATCACAAATGCGAAGCCATTGATACCAACCGTGCCAGACTGGGGGGTAAGGGAGAAGGTGAAGTTGACACTGAGAGCCAGCTCCACGCCACAGCCCAGGCTCGGACCAGCCGGGTATGCAAACATGGTCATCGGCTTTGCCATGAATTTCCCTGCTGTCTCCAGCTGCATCCCATTGGTGAGCACAGTGTTTGAGGGGAGAATAGGCCCGCTGACGCGTTGGTTCCATCCTGAATAGATGCGATGGGTGGCGATGCAGCATGGGGAGGGTGTGAGTGGTGGAGCAATGGTGTCTGGCTGAACTGGCTGAACTAGATGATGAGCACGTGCGCATGCATCGTGCATTCGTCAAGTTTCCAGGTTCTGAGTAGCATCAAGCAATAGCTTCTCCAGTACACGCAAGAAATTCTTGCCAAAGGCCACCTGTGAACTTCAAGTGATCAGGATCACGCAAACATGGCAAGCTGAGTGCGACTTGCCAAACTTCTGCCCTAGGCCACCTGTGCCTAGGTCACCTGTGCCTAGGTCATTAGTTAGTTTCCAGCATTTCCATGAACATGTCTAGATTGTCGTCATTCTCCCTCTGGACTATTATTCACCTGCAAATGAGGGAGGGCATTTGTGTGGAATTGTTCATATGCAATGCGACCTCTCTAGTGACATACATGGCAGGTGGGTGGAACCACCCGCACATGACAGGGGCACGGCAGGGGGATAAACCTGTCGCAAATGATACGGTGACCTGAAGGCTTGTATCAACACATGATTGTTGTGGGTGGCCTAAATGCAATATGGTCAATATTAGGGCGAATTCCTAGCGAGAAATATCAGAATCAGAAACGCGCGTAACCAAAATTCAAACCGCACTGCATGTTTCTGATCCAACTTCATTCTGATCCCAGCTCATAGGAATTCGCCCTTATCCCACCCCTCCCCCCTCTAAAGCAAGGCACCCCTGAAGGCCCCAATGCGTGCATTTTTGCGGGAGAACCGTACTGTACCACATCAAACAATGCTACAACATAGACTGCTGAACCCAAGTTTTTCTGGAGGCAAGCTGAAATAATTACGGCACACAAATATACTTGGATCCTATCTTTCCGGAGCAAGATTTGGAATTATAGTCATTGAACACATCAACTGCTGTAGACGTAGCTCCACCGTAGTAACGGTACGCAGCTGAACATGCCATCGATGGCGAGACTGGCTTGACCCTACCCTTTTTGCACATGCCTAGTTTGAATGGCCAGTACTCTGCTTTGAGGCAAACCTGTGATGGAAAGATGCACGTGAAACACGGCGTGCACGGAAAGCTTAGGGCATAGGAGAAACCACACTCAACACAAAATGCAGAACAGGGGAAAAGGCGATGCGGACAGAAGTCTTGCGGACATTGTGCAAGGAAATGACAGCGAGCATGCCAGTGTCTCCTGCTGGTGTTTCAGATGGCACATGAGCTTTGATGCCCTACGAAGTACCCATGTACCCACAACTACCTTTGTTTACCTCCCTTGCTTATCAACGCAGGGGGCCCTTCCCTTCCCAAGGAAAATCCCTGCCCCACAGCCCTCACCTCCACGCCAATGTTGCTGCCGACAGCAGTGGCAGAGGGGGGGATGTTGGGGGAGCAGGTGAGGCCAGGGTTGTTGCGGTACAGCTCAGCCCTGGTGGTCCTCTGAAGCAGCCGCTCGCACGTGTCTTGAGGCGTCAGCACGCCATGATCCACACACTCGGGAACGGTGTATGCGAAGGTGGCATTGCGCTCTACGCACACCGAGTGGCCTGCCTTGATGGGCATCGTGCAGTCAAGGCCGGGGTTGAGAGCGGTGAGACTGCCCTGGGAAAAGTTCAGCTGCTTGCAGATAGATGCACAGGTGTCTCGCTGGAGGGAGGGGTGAACGAGGGGTGAACGGAGGGGAGTGGGAGCTTGTTGCTGGCTCACTGAGGTGACTTCTAAGTTGACTTGGAGTTCACCTCGGCACCGGGGAGTAGCTTGTTTCTTGCTCAGCTCACAGATCTGACTTGCTGGCTTGGTTGATTGCAGGAGTGGTGCAAGAGGGGATTGTATTTCAAATTGAGGGTGTAAAAGAAGGGAATGCAGGGTGACTAACATTGAGATGGGAGGGTTTGAATGTCTCACATTGAGGGTGTAGAAGAAGGCAGTGCAGGGTGTGGGAGGGGTGCCATCCAGCTGAAGAACACTCTCCTTGGGCAACGGTTGGTTGCAATCTATGTCCTGCATTGCGAAACATAAGAATGGATAATAGGCGGTGTGAACTAAAGAATCTCAACATACTTCACACATGAGCAAGGGCTGAGTTGGTCTTTGAGAATTCTCAAAAGGAGAGCAACAGCTGGGCTGGTTGGTTCTCCTCGCATTGTCCTGGAGAGTAAAGTTTTCACAGTTTACAACCCAATACGGAGTACTGGTAGTTCTCCTGTAAAAGATGGTGAGCTGAGAGTGTCCCTGCTATAATGGGAGAGTGATACAACCCAGGTCCAACGCAGAGCTCATACAATATCGAACTGACCGTCAGAATCTAACTGACGTTCAGCTGACTGCATCATGATGTGCGAATCCATCCAACAAACGACGACTGCTTTTGGGTCGATTCGAAGGAATTTCATCGAAGTCCTACCATGTTTTGAAGGATGAAAGAGTCCATTGAAAGGCCAACTATCGTGTAGACATCCGAGCACCACCAGTTCTCTCCACTGACGGTCATGGTTGTGGCTGTGGTATTGACTGAAGACGCCACAGGGAGTGAGAGAGAGGCGTGGAGGAACTTGAAGGGAGGGGAGCAAGTGCAGGGAGAGGGGACAGTTAGATTTCTGCTTTTGAGTAGCTTAGACTCAAAAGCAGCTAAGGTAGAGGGGACCGCTAGAGAATCTGTTGAGAGGGCCGCTCGATTTGCAGCAGTCTTTTACCTCCACCAGACCCCACCTCATGTGTTGCTGGAAGGGATAGTGCAAGGAGGAGCGTTTTGGGTTGACTCAAAACTCATCTTATTACCTCCACCACACCCCATCTCATGCGTTGGTGCTATGAAATGTTTGTCGAGACGCAGCCATAACATGAGGAAGATTCCAAGAATGATAAACTGACATATCCATAGCCACTGACACACGTTAAAGTAAGGATATTTTGGTATTCTAAAAAATATCTCACTGTGTGCATTCTGAGAGTTCTCAAAGTAGGATCACCTGGATCGCAGGTGGGGGGGTCATAAGCAGTTTTGCTTTCAATGTAGTTGGGAGGGCAGACGCAGGAGTAAGAGCCCCGGCCGTCATTGATGCATGTGCCCACGTAGCAGGGGTTCTTGAAGTACGACCCGCACACATCCACTGCCACAATGGCGCCAGAGTGGTGAGTAGAATATGTTGATTGTAGGGAAAATCGATATAGGAGAGGGACACGGGAGCAAGAGAGTCATGGGAACAGGAGGACATGTGAGCAGCTTGCAATTATGAAGTGATAGATTCTACACAGTGCAGCAAAGCAAAGAGGAAGCGGGAAAATAATGCGCAACAACAACAGTCACACTACAATGGTTTAAAACACCAACTACAGTGTGGGCCAGGGGCGAGTGACTCGCTAATGCCCCCCCATGGCCCCCCCTTGAATCGGCTCAAAAGTCGTGGTGTGGACCAGGGGCGAGTGACTCGTCAATTGCCACAAACCGTGGCATTCCTCCTCCTATCCCTCCTTGCTGAAGCCAAGGCCAAGTGGAGATAATAAACTTGGCGCCAAGGGTCCCTCATTCCACTCCACTGGCGCTCAAACTCACAGGATGCTGTGGCCAGCAGTAGTCTGGCCACAGGGCTGTTAAAGGCCACAAATCCCCAGGCTAGGGAGGATCCGACCAGCCAGAGGGGCATGCAAATCAACCAGCCAGAGAGATTACCATAAGCACATGTGTTAGAGCCGACACCATTCCCCGCCTCAACAAAAGGCTGTGTGGTAGCTTCAGGAGTGGTGCAGTTGCAGCGGTTGCTGCCCTCCGCAGTGGGGTGGCAGGAGAACCATCCGCACGGGTTCATGCTGGGCTCCTTCTCCTGATGAACCTGGTAGCTGAGTCGGCCGCATGGGTCCCCGGGAACTGAAAGGTGGGTGAGAAGAACGTTCGAGAGGAATACACAGGAAGGAAACACATGAAGGTGGAAGCTGGAAGGACGTGGCGCACGGAGAAGTGTGGAGGAAAGAGAGTACACAGCTCATGTCACAGCAGCTAAGCGTCACTCAGTGATTTTGTGCATAGATGCCTCGCTCCTGAAAATGGGGTAGATGCCTCACTTTTGTCAATGGGGTAGATGCCTCAATCTTGACACTCGGGGGTTAGATGCCTCACTCTCTACAATGAAGTAGATGCCCCACAATTTTCAATAGGGTAGAACCTCTCTCTTGACAATGGGGTAGATTCCTCACTATTTGGCATCACTCTTGACAATGGGGTAGATGCCTCACTATTTGGCATCACTCTTGACAATGGGGTAGATGCCTCACTATTTGGCATCACTCTTGACAATGGGGTAGATGCCTCACTATTTGGCATCACTCTTGACAATGGGGTAGATGCCTCACTCTTGACAATCGGGTAGATGCCTCACTCTCGACAATGGGGTAGATGCGTCGCTAGATGCCTCACTATTTGGCATCACTCTTGACAATGGGGTAGATGCCTCACTATTTGGCATCACTCTTGACAATGGAGTAGATGCCTCACTATTTGGCATCACTCTTGACAATGGGGTAGATGCCTCACTATTTAGCATCACTCTTGACAATAGGGTAGATGCCTCACTATTTGGCATCACTCTTGACAATGAGATAGATGCCTCACTATTTGGCATCACTCTTGACAATGGGGTAGATGCCTCACTATTTGGCATCACTCTTGACAATGGGGTAGATGCGTCGCTCTTGACAATGGGGTAGATGCCTCACTATTTGGCATCACTCTTGACAATGGGGTAGATACCTCACTATCTCGCATCACTTTTGACAATGGGGTAGATGCCTCACTATTTGGCATCACTCTTGACAATGGGGTAGATGCTCTTGACGATGGGAGAGATGCCTCACTCTTTACAATGGGGTAGATTCATCACTCGTTACAATGTAATAGATTCCTCACTCTTGACGATGGGGTAGATGCCAGGCAATACGTTGATGCCGCACACGCCATCCCCTCCTTGGATGTCCATGCGCATATGGCCCTTGTCGCCCCAAAACTTTCCCCACGAGTTGCGGATGATCCAAAACGGAGGAGCGATGCGATTCTGGCTACCGTCGTCTCCTCTCATGCAGTAGCCAACAACGAGTACAACGTGGTTCAGGTTGCCAGTGTAGCAGTCGCCGTCCTGGTACTTATACGTCTGAGGAAAAGGAGGACAGCACATCCATCACAACAGAGAGCCCACTTAGTGTAGTCACCTTTGAGAGCATTGCATTCCTAAATGAAGTTGAAAAACGAATGGAGCTGTAACTCAACCACAATGCTGGCAGTTGTCCATCTGTGAGCCATATATTTGAATCCCATTCATGTCAATGCCAGTTATTTTATGTATCTCCGTGTTGCCCCTTTAGACGAGGACCACGAGTCAGCATAACGGGTGAGTGCTGCAATGACTCACCCCATCATATTCAACAAAAGTTGCAGCAGAAGCCTCGATGTGAACCACCACCGGCTGCCGCTGCACTGCCAGCATGAGCCCCACATACCCCTTGAACCGTGTGCTCTCAAATGCATACACTGGAAAACTTGAAGCCTAGGACCACAAGAATGCATGATTGTTGGAAGGGGGGAGGGGGGAAAGGGAAGGGAGGCAGGGAGGACGGGTGGAGGAAGTTTGGGCGAGTTACGAAAGAAGGAAGAATCAAGCAAGCAAGGGTACAATCACCATGCCATGTCCATCCGGAGAGGAAAAAATGCTTTGCTTTGCTACAAGGAAAGTAATGAGTGGAAAAATATCCTACAGCCAAGAGGGATGGCTCAAAGTGGCTCATTTTGGGAATTGAAACCCAGACCACTCTGGTACCAAGTTCAAACTCCAATGCTAATTTAATATGCTAAAGGGGTATAATGGTTGGAGGCTCAGTGCACCCGCGCCCTTCTACGATGCTGGGGACACCCCAGTGGACCAGTACAGCAACATTGGAAGGGCAAGCCAGCAGCAAATACTGTGGGCAAGCCAGCAGCAAATACAGATTACATCAATGCATGCACCTTGCCTCACCTCACTTACCACATTTTGTCTGCCCTACCGGATCATTGTCCCCTGTGAGCCCACTGCTGCCATCAAGAGTAATCAGCTTCTCAAAGGCCTCGGTGGGGGAGCCTCCAGCCGTGCACTTGTCTGTGTCGCTTAGCCCCATGGCTGCAAAGAGTGGCTCCACTGACAGCTGGGGAGCGCGTTCCTGCGTTGCAATGCCGTATGCTGCTTCTACACTTGCCACCACCGCATATGCCCAGCAGGCAGCTTGGAAGGAGAAGACAAGCAACGCGAAGCATAGAAATCAGAGAGGAGATATTTTGGACGAAGAGTTTGCTGCGCCGCTCAACACTGCACATGTAGAAAGAAACCGTGAACTCCCTTAACAATAATCCCAGAACCAGCTGACCTTGAACGTGCAATGTGACGCTCAAACCACACGATCACAAAACAACGCAGAGCGGAAACGCGACGTGACCTTGAACGGTGTAACAGAATGAAAACGCAGCCCAAAACCTGAACTGAAACGGATTCTTGCAACTCACTGCAATTGTCCTGGTCCTTGACAGGCCATTCGAGGAAGGGCACCCCATCCCAGGTGAACTTGTCATGGATGAGCCACGAGTCCTCGTTGGAGGGCAGCCAGCTGTAACCCGCGCCCACATATCGCGAGAAGGGGTTGGCTCCAGAAGGTGCAAACGTGGCCACCGATAATGAGAGTCCACGGGCTATGAGGGGCGGCAAGGGGTGTAGACGAAACGAGGGATGTGAATGGGATGGGATGGGATGTGAATGGGAGAGAGGCAGTTGAGAAGCATGTATTGCATGGGAAGAACAGATCTGTTTTGGAAGATGTTATTCAACATGCCTGTTCCTGCACAAGAAAGGGCATACTTTAGAATGGCTCACCGATTGTAGCGTGCAAGTCTCTCACCCTTAGGTTTCCTAGCGGGACGTAAAATCCGTCTAACTGGTTTGACGGCAATAGTCTCAATTATTGGTTGCCACTTGGCAAAGCGCTCACCTCCTATGATCTTGACTGGCTTGGGTGGGAGAGGAATGCCTGCAAGGAGGAGACACACACAAAGTAAGGCTCGCAACATGAAGGTTGAGTCGTTAGGAAAGGAGGGAAGCAAAAGCCATCAAGATCATTGCCTGGCAGAGAAACAAGTTCTTGAAGCAGTTTCAACAGCAGTATCGATGGTGCCCACACCTTCGTGGTTACCACTACTGCAAACAGAGCAGTATAATAAGCCATTGTCTTCAGAGCCATGACTACTGCAACACTATACCAATACCACTTCAACTTACATGCCATCACCATCACCCCCATTACCATCACCATCATTCAGGCAGCCGTCGTCATCTTCGCCATCCCCGTCACCCCACTCGGCATATCCTTGCCTGTTTGCACGGCAGAGTTGAGAATGACATGCTTCTGGAACGGCTTCACAGTGGTGGATGCCATGAAGCCAAAGAAGAACGCCTGCTGCTGCACACCAGCCTGCAGCACGTCACAGAGTGCCAGCTCCTTCTTCAGCAGCGGCAGCACTGGCTTCACCGTCGAATCAGCCAGGAACACCTGAAGGGTCCCAGGCTTCCCAGGCTCATATTCCACCCATGCCGTGTAAGCCCTACTATCAGTCAGTGTGAATGGCGACTCTTTTGCGTCCAAGGATTTATCCATGCCATTTATGTTGAGCCCCACATGCTGCTTCTCCATGTCACCATGCTTGTCATTCCGAAGCGTGTCGAATTCAATGGCTATGCTCCGAGTTCCAACTCCAGCATACCCTACACCATCGGGTTTTCCCACCTTGGCCTTTGCCAGGATCACAAACGCAAAGCCGTTGGAGCCGACAGTGCCCGACTGGGGAATAAGAAAGAAGGTGAAGCTGGCATTGAAGGCCAACTCAATGCCGCATCCCGGGCTCGAACCACCCGGGTATGCAAACAGGGTCACAGGCTTTGCCACGAACCTCCCCACTGTCTCCTTCCGTGTCCCCTGGGTGAGTGTAGTCCCTGGGGGAAGAATAGGCCTGCTGATTGGGAGGCTTCGATCCCAGCCTGAAGAAAAGCGATGGATGGCAGCAGAGCATGAGGAAGGGTGGGAGTGGTGTGGAAATGGTGCAGAAAGGTGGCTGAACAAAACATGTGGCCAGCTCTTTAAGGGTGGCGTTTCGTCGATCAGGACTATAATTGGTCAATTATCAAATGTATGTGCAGCAGAACTATAACGAAGCACACTGAAAACTACAGAAGGACGTAGGCCACGAAAAGGGCTTTTGCGATAAGACTTCCGTCTGTGCATCTGGTAGTATTCTGTGTGTGATTCCGTGATGCAGAAAGCTCAGCTTTTTCCGTTGAGCTGAGTAAATCCAGCAGAGATGCGGGTGGTGTAATGTGTGGTGGTGAGCTGGAGTGGAAAGGCTTGCGATGGAAATGTCAAGAAGAAAGCAGCGATAGTGAAAGTAAGGGTGAATGTGCATGAGGCAAGGCACATACAGAGTGAGGTCGATACGGGCAGTGCATGTATTGTGTTTAGGGTTCATACAGTGCACCCATGCCTTATTCTAGGCTTGAGCATACTACCCGCCCGGATCGGGTACCCGTTACCCGGATCCGCTTTTAGGGCGGGTCGGGTATCGGGAATCCTGAAAATTACCCGGCGGGTCGGGTCCGGGTTACCCCGGCGGGTATTCGATACCCGTTACCCGAAACGTTACCCGACGTGTACCCGACCCGAAATCGGGTAGCGTGTCTACTCGACGGAACCAGCGCAACATTGGCTGCGCTGGTAGAGAAATTTCATAGGTTACGTGAGCTGCTAGGTCACGTAGAGCATTGTAGAGTGGCAGGGGTTGGATTTCGTAGATCCAGATGCATTCAGAGCGGTTGAATTGGGGGAAATCGGTTGGAATTCAAACCAATCGAATTTCCCCCATCGATTTTGTAACCCAACCTGAATCCAGCCAACCGCACAGCACCACATTGGTTGGAGTTCCAACCAATTGACTCTGGGGGTCAAAATATCAAACCCCCAAAAACCGCACACCACCCCATCCCAACTAGAAAACCCAACCACCTCCCCACTCACGCCCTACTCACCAGAACTGTAAAAGATCTGGTGCACCTCTTACTGCCTCCCTCGACTCACATTTTTAGGTCGTAGGTTTAGCCCAGCAAGGTAGGAAAACACGGGTTATACTACCCGCTTATCAAGGAAACCGGGTCGGGCATACCCGGATCCGCCAGGCAGGTATAAAATTACCCGCCGCCAAATCCCGGGTCCAGGTATTGGTCCTGGGCATGTTACCCGACCTGTACCTGACCCGAAAATACCCGACCCGAAGTCGGGTATAGCAAAACCGGGTCGGGTCGGGTAAATACCCGGTTTTGCTCATGCCTACCTTATTCTCCATTACCATTGGCAACACATTTGAGTCTTCCAAAGTAGGCATGAGCAACGGCCCGGCCCGGCCCGACCCGGCCCGGTTTAGGGTCGGATCAACTAGAAACCGAGCCGGGCCGGCCCGGCCCGACCCGGGCCGGTTTCTCAGACTTCCTGGCCCGGCCCGGGTTTTTAGACCCGGGCCAACCCTGTCCCAGGGGGCGGGCCGGGCCGGCCCGCCCTCAAAACGGGCCGAATTCGGGCCAACCAGCCTGACGACGCCGGCCCGTCTTGAATGACCTCGTCGGGCCGGCGGCCCGGCCCGGCCCGGCGGGCCATACCCGGACCGGCCCGAACGGGCCGGAACCCTTCAGAGTGTCGGCCCGGCCCGGGAAAATTCCGGTCCGGTCCGAGCCGGCCCGGCCCGTCCGGGCCGTTTGCTCATGCCTATTCCAAAGGACACGAATCCTGGTTTACACAAGCACGTTGGCACCAAGCTGGGTCCGTCGGGGTAGCACGTGCCACGACCACCACAAGCACCAGGAGTGCTGGAGACACCACAAAACGCTGCACAATCTTCTGCAGGCCGTTGCTGTTGAAACCTGGCATTACAGCCCTTCGGCAGGGTGAAGCAGTTGGCAAAGCGAGTGTTGACTTCGAAAGGTTTGAGGCAGTCTGATTTATGCAAAAGACCCGTCAAGTAGTTGTTTGAAAGGCCCACTTTGATTGGTGGAAGCTTCACAAGTGGGCCTGTGAGGTAGTTGTGCGAGAGATCACTGCAAAAGGGGAGGTGTTTGGGAGTGAGAGAGTGTGCATGATAGAATGCAAGAGAGTGTGTGGGATGGTAAAATATATCGAGAAGGAATAGAGGAATGGTAAAGAGCATAAGTGCGGATATTTTTACATTGATGCAATTGAAGAGTGTGAGTGCCTCTCGCAGCGTTGAGCGGTGCATCATACCAAACTTCCAGCTTTTACAGCTGGACCAAAACAATGCAAGGCAAAAAAAAGCTGCATGACGTGCGAGAGTGCAAGGGTGACCGTGAAAGAGTGCAAAAGTTTGTGAAAGTGGAATAAAAACATGCGGGAATAAAGAAAAAAAAATGACAACGATGAGAATTGGGAGTGACGTGTTGTACCACTCTTTCAGGCTTTTCAGTTCGGTGAGTGTGGAGGGTATGCTTCCATATAGCAGGTTGAAGGAGAGGTGCCTGGTGGTCATCAAGGAGGAGGGGATGAAAATCGTGAGCTAGGAAATCAGGGACCATTCAAGGGTTCCTTATTAGCGCACCAACATCGGAATTTTTTTAGGAGTCTGATAGTGAGGGATGAACAGAATCAGGATCTGTACATGAATCACACAAGGAGAAGTGTAATGTGGAAAGAATTTGGGGGTTTGAAGGTAGCGAGAGATGTGGAGGTAGAGGGGGGGTGCTACAGTAATGTGTGAAGGAAATAGCTTGGAAGAGAAAAGATTGATTGAGTAGGGAGCCAAGAGGCTCTTTTGTACAAAACAAGGAGCAAGGAAGAGTTGGAAGGGAAGCTCTCCTATTGGCCATAAAGTGGACCAATGGGAGAGGTTGCTTGTAGGGCAAGCAACCACAAAGTGTGGTGCTCTCTGATTGGCCACAATGTGGACCAATGAGAGAGATTGCTTGGAAGGCAAGCAACCACAAAGTGTGGTGCTTGGTGATTGGTTGGTTCCTAGGACCAAGGACCATTTGGTTGGAATAGTGCCAACCAAATGTCTAGGACCAAATCCAATCTTGACCAACCCAAATGTGGGGTTGGTCAACCCAACCAACAACCCCCCAATATTTATAATGACTACACCTCCTAATCTAGGCATGCATGTTGTATAGATATATATTTTACAACACAACCCCCCAACATGCATAAGACTAGAGGGCTTGAATCAGGAGGTGGACGAGGGAACAGAAGGAGCGAGTCCAAGAAGGCGAAGGAGGGATGAGTGGGCGGCGTGGGGAAGGGCTTTGGTGAAGATGTCGGCAAGATTGGCAGCAGAGTCAATCTTGCCCAGTTGGAGGTGGCCACCCTGCACAAGCTCGCGAATGAAGTAGTGGCGAAGCTCAATGTGCTTGGAGCGCCCGTGGAACACGGCATCCTTCGTGAGGTGGATGGTGCTGGCGTTGTCGCACCAGATGGTGGGACAGCGCTGAGGGGCACCAAGCTCCTCAAGAAGGAAGGAGAGCCAGCGGGCCTCCTGCGCAGCCATGGTAGCGGCATACAGCTCCGCTTCGCAAGAGGAGAGGGCAATGGAGGAGGAGCGGGTGGAGCGCCAGCTGATGAGGCCACTGCCAAGAGAGAAGCCATAGCCCTGAGAGGAGCGGCGGTCAGGCCTAGAGTCAGCCCAGGAGGAATCAGAGTAGCCAGTGAGGAGGGGAGGGGAGGGGCCGCCAAGGGTAAGGACGAAGTCCTTGGTCCCCCGAAGGTAGCGGAGGACACGCTTTGCCGCTTGCCAATGGGCGGCATCATGCTTGCCGGTACCAACGAAGCGGGCCAAAACGCTGATGGGGTATGCCAGGTCAGGGCGGGTGGAGACCATGGCATACATGAGAGAGCCGATTAGCTCAGCGTAGGGGTGGGAGGAGGAGGAGGGGGAGGTGAGGGGAGTGAGGTGGTGCCCACTGCCCAACAGGAAGAGGGGTGACCTGAGGGGTGCCTCGAGCCATGTCGAACCGCTCCAGGACCTGCTGCAGGTAGTGGCCCTGGGAGAGGGAGATGGTGCGAGCAGCACGGTCACGGGTAATCTCCATGCCGAGATAGTGCTGCAGCTCCCCTAGATCCTTACACTTGAGCCGGCCGCCAAGCTCACGCTTGACGCGCTCGAGCTCGGCGGAGTCGGCAGTGATGAGGATCATATCGTCGACATAGACGAGGATGTAGAAGGGGGAGGGGGAGGTGCGGAGGAAGAGGCTGGGGTCGGCGCGGGAGGTGCTGAAGCCAAGCTCGGCGAGGGTGGCAGCAAGCTTGGCATGCCACTCCCTTGGTGCCTGCTTGAGCCCATAGACTGGTCGACGCAGCTGCCAGACAGAGTCGGAAGGAAAGGGGAGGTGGAAGCCTGCAGGACGCTCCATGTAAATGAGCTCGCGCAAGACCCCTTGGAGGAATGCGTTGGAGACGTCCATGGAGTGAAACTCCATGTTGAGGCGAGCTGCGAGGTCGAGGACTGCGCGAATGGTAGCGGGCTTGGCGGTGGGAGAGAAGGTGTCGAAGAAGTCGACAGCGTAGCGCTGGGTGAAGCCCTTGGCAACGTAGCGGGCCTTGTAGACCGGCGGCTCGCCAGGAAGCTGCTTCACCCGAAACACCCACTTCCCTCTGACCACGTTCGTGGTAGAGGGAGGGCGGGGCACATCCACAAAGGAGGAGTTGGCAATAAACGCCTCCAACTCCTTGAGGATGGCCGCGAGCCAGAGGTGAGCGTCAGGGCACGCCATGGCCTCCTCGTACGTGGCGGGGACGAAGATGGTGGGGGCGGAGGAGAAGGCGAAGACTGGTGTGCCGCTGAGGTCAGGGGAGATGGGTAGGAGGGCTGGATCATGCAGGTGGAGGTTGAGGAACTCCTCATGGGAGTCCTCGAGGAGGGAGGAGTGGAAAATGAATGGGAGGACTGCAGCTGCTGCGGCTGCTGCTGCTGAGGATGCATCTGCTGCTGCTGCTGCTGCCGAGGCGGCTACTACTGCTGCATCTGCTGCCGCCGCTGCTGCTGCTGCGGGTGAAGGCGAGGAAGGAGCGACGGCTGCCGCTGCTGCTGGTGTTGCTGCTGGTGCTGCTGCGGTGGGTGGAACTGCTGCTGCAGCTGTTGCTGCTGCTGTTGGGACTGCTGTATTAGAGCTCGACGGCAGGGTTGGGCTAGTGTTTTGTTGTAAGACTGTCTGTAAAAGGAGGTCCATGAGAGGGGAGAGAGGAGGCAAGGTAGAGGAAGAGAGGATAACAGGAGGCGGGGCACCTAGGACTGCGTCACGCGACCTGGTGTGGGGATACCGGGTGAGGATGGAGCGGGAGGGACGCAGGGGGGGAGGGGGTCGCGGGGGAGAGGGGGGAGGAGGGGAGGGGGGAGGATGGGAGGGAGCGGAGGGGGAGGAGTGGGACGGGGAGGCGGGGGGAAAAAAAGGGTCAGGGTCAAATATGTCACCAGAGGAGGGGGGAGCACTAGGGACCGAGGCAGCGGGGAATGGAGGAGGTGGAGCGGGGGGGAGGATGGGAGGGGGAGGGAGAAGAGGGGGTGGGATAGTGTCGGACCACGTGAGGGGCCTGGGAGCAGGGGCGAGAGGGTCAGTGGGGGGAGGAGTGGAATAGTAGGGTGTGGACTCATCAAAGACTACATCCCGACTACGGAGGAAACGACCTGAGGGGGGGTGAAGGAAGAGGTAGTCCGGGGAGGAGGGATTATGACCAAGGAAGATGCAGGGGAGGGTACGGGAGGCGAGCTTTCCCATGGTGCGGGGGCGGTCCGCAGGGTGAATGAGGACATACGCCCTGGAGCCCCACACACGGAGGGAGGAGACGTCAGGCTTGGCCGACGTCCAGAGCTCGGTGGGAGTGGTGGAGGGAAGGATAGGGTGGGGGTATAGGTTAGTAAGGAGGGTGGCGTGAAGGAGGGCATAGCCCCAGAGAGAAGGGGGGCAAGAGGCATGGACGAGGAGACACTGAGCAATCTTGGTGATCTCCCGAACACGGCTCTCGGCCACACCATTCTGCTGGGGGGAGTGGGGGAGGGTGTGAGTCTGGCGAATGCCATGAAGCTCACAGTAGGAGGCTACCTGTCGATTAAGGAATTCGTCACCGCCATCAGAGTGAAGGCGGCGCACAGGGCGGCCAAAGTGGGTGCTCGCCTGCTTGAGCCAGGCGATGATCGCAGCCGGAGCGTCACCCTTCGAGCGAAGAAGGGAGACGGACGAATATCGACTGTGATCATCGACCAGAACAAGCATGTAGCGATGGCCCTGGCGGGAAGGGGAGGGGTTGGGGCCCCAGAGGTCCATGTGAACAAGATCAAGCGGCTGAGCAGCAGCGGAGGGGGAACTCCGATGCGGCAGCTGCTTGAGCTTGCTCTGGACACAGACGGAGCAGGGAGGGGCAAGGGAGGGAGGGAGGGGAGGGAGGGTGAGGGGAAGACCTCGAAGGAGACCTGAGGAGACGGTCGAGCGGAGGGTGGCAAAGTTGGGGTGACCAAGCCTGTGGTGGAGGAGGACGGTGGGATGGAGAGGGATCGACAGGAGCAGGTTGGGTCAGGGGGGAGGGGGGGAACGGTTGGGTTAGAAGGAGGGAGAGGAGGGGGAGGGATGTGAGGTGGGGGGAGGGAGCGGGAGACTGCCTGGGCAGAGGGAAGACGAGGAACTCGAAGGGTATATAGGCAGGAGCGAGGACAAAAGGGAATACGGGAGAGGAGGCGACCTGTGGGATGGTATAGGAGGCAGTGATTAGCGCGACCTGGGAAGACGGTGGTGATACCAGCCTGCTGAAGGGATCGCTGGGAGAGGAGGTTAGTACGGAGGGAGGGGATGTGTAAACCAGTGACGGTACCTGAGGGGAAGAGGGGACAGGGGAGGGTAGAGGTGTGGCGACAGGGAATAGAGAAGCTGGAATCGGCACCAAGGAGGGAGGTGGGGGCTGGGAGGGGGTGAAGGGTACCAGCATCACGAAGGACGGACTCGGTGGCTCCACTGTCAAGGACAAAGTCCAGCGTGGTGGAGGGGGAAGGATGTGGGACGGAGTACTGAATCACATTCTCATTAATAGCAGCCGAATACATAGAAGGGGCGGGGGTTCCAGCCTGACTAACCATGCCAACAAAACCAGAGGAGGGGAAAGGAGTCATACTGCCTGTGGCTGAGAGCGCGGGAGACGCGCCGGAGAGGTGAGCTGCGGAAGCGGCGGTGCCGGCGGTCCAAGCAGGGTAGGGCTGCTGGGGGGGAGCCATAGGAGGAGGTGCAAGGGGGAGCTGCGACTGGAGGTCAAGCTGCTGCTGGAGCTGCTGGAGCTGCTGCTGCAACTGGGAGAAGAGGTGCTGCTGCCCTTGCTGCTGTTGCTGCTGGAACTGCTGCTGCTGCTGCTGGAACTGCTGCTGCTGCTGCTGAAACGGCTGCGGCAGGATCTGCTGCGGAGTCTGCTGCTGCTGCTGTTGCTGAGAGACGGCCTGGTGGGCCAAGGGGGAGGAGACGGGCTGGAAAAGAGGGGAGGTACGAACCTCTTGAGGAGTGGGGCGAGGGGAGAGGGAGGACCAGCGGGGGGGGGTGCCGGTGTTGCCGCGGGCAAACCACTCATCACTGAGCGCTTTGAAGCAAGAGTCAGTGGCATGAGTGGTCTGGCCGCATCGCTGACCCCGCGTGGGGCCATAGCGAGGGAGATACTGACAAGGAGGAAAGGCGGCTGCTGCACCACGTCCTGCGCCGTTGCCACCACGACCTGCACCACCACCACGACCAGCGCCACGCCCACCCCCGCGCCCTCCCCTGGTGTTGCGCTGCTGAGCAACAGCGGCAGTTGAGGAGGAATGGCGCAAGAGGTCGGCTTCGGTGGTGATAATCCACTGGGCGACTTCAGCTGGGGTGATGCGCTTGTCGATCAGCTGCATGTAGGCGATCTTATGGGTGTCGAAGGCAGGAGTCAGGCCTTCAAGGAGGTGGCAGCAGAGCACTGGGTCTGGGTACGGCACGCCAAGAGCCGCCAGACGCCGAGCAAGGTCGAGGACGCGACGCGTGAAGGCAGCTGCGCCGGTGGTAGAGTCCATGGTGAGGCTCTGGAACTCCTTGATGAGGGAGTAGAGGGTGGCAACGTCCTGCCGATCATAGAGATCGGTGAGGAGGCGCCAGAGGTGGGAGGAGGAAGTGGGAGCAAGCTCGCGCTTGAGGGTGGGAGGAATGGTGGCGAGGAGGACGGTGAGCGCGCGCCGGTCAGCGACACGCCAGGCGGCGAGGTCGGTGATGTATGCGCGCTCGCGCCTGACGTATTCCGCGAGCTCCGCCTGATACGTGTTGTAGGCGGCAGTGGCGGCGTCATGCTCGGCGCGGGAAGCCTCGAAGAGCAGCTGCTGGCGGACGTGGTCGGTGAGGCCGGCACGGTAGGTGCGAATGGCGGTCTCGGAGCTCTGAGGGTCGTTGACGTCAGGGGCGAAGGTTGGAGGATCGCCAGGGCTGACGGGAGCATCGCCAGGAGGAGGAGGTGCAGGGCCCGCGGGAGCAGTCGGCTGGGCAGGCTGAAGACCGCGCTCCTCGAGATGGACAACGGCTTTCAGGTTGTAGCCGTTGACCGTCACCGAGGAGAGAAGCACCGTGACAGTTTGGGCATAGGAATGCCAATTGACCGCGGTGTTGTCGGGCAGCAGCTCAAGAGCGTCGACGGAGGTAAGGTCCACCGAGGAATCGGACGCCATTGAGGAGGAGGAGGGGAAGGAAGGGGGGGGGGGGGGGGGGGGGGGGGGGGGGGAGGAGAAGGAAAGGAGGAGGAAAAAGGAAAGGAGGAGGAGAAGGAAAGGAGGAGGAAAAGGAAAGGAGGAGGAGAAGGGGGAGGGAGGAGAAGGATAGCTGCGCGACGCGCTCCAAGGAGGGATGCGGCGACGGACGGCCGCGCGCGGTCGGCGGAAGCGACGACGGACAGCCGTACGCGACGGCGACGAAATCGGCGACGGCTGCGGCGGCGAGCACGTTCGCAATGGACGGATTCGTCGGCGGGTGCACGCGAGTGCCGCGACGAACAGGCGCGTGGTGCGAGAGCGCGACGAACGGGTGCGCGCGGTGGCGGAGGGCGCACGACGGGAGGGCGCGACGACGAACCGCGCGAGGAGGATAAGGGCGTCGAAAGACGCGAGGGGAGGTGCGCAACGGAAGGGAGAGCGGGCGCGATAGAAGGCGCGCGACGGGAGAGAGAGTGTGCGCGACGGGAGATCGCGTCGGGAGAGGGCGCACGGATGGCGCGCGAATATCCTAAGAAGGGCTAGGCTTCAATGACGAGGAGAGACGGCATAGGGCCGTGCTAGTTAGGATCGACTAGAGGTGGCGTGAGCCATTGTGGCTCTGAATACCATGAAGGAAATAGCTTGGAAGAGAAAAGATTGATTGAGTAGGGAGCCAAGAGGCTCTTTTGTACAAAACAAGGAGCAAGGAAGAGTTGGAAGGGAAGCTCTCCTATTGGCCATAAAGTGGACCAATGGGAGAGGTTGCTTGTAGGGCAAGCAACCACAAAGTGTGGTGCTCTCTGATTGGCCACAATGTGGACCAATGAGAGAGATTGCTTGGAAGGCAAGCAACCACAAAGTGTGGTGCTTGGTGATTGGTTAGTTCCTAGGACCAAGGACCATTTGGTTGGAATAGTGCCAACCAAATGTCTAGGACCAAATCCAATCTTGACCAACCCAAATGTGGGGTTGGTCAACCCAACCAACAACCCCCCAATATTTATAATGACTACACCTCCTAATCTAGGCATGCATGTTGTATAGATATATATTTTACAACAAAGTGAGCTTTGGCAAAGTTGTGTGGAGTATTGCACAAAGGGGTATGTCGAGTATTGCCTGATCAAACAGCGAGTCCTCAAATCTTTTACGAGGCGAGACGAGGATTACTCGAGACAAGCTATCCCAAAAAAATGTCGCCTAAAAAATTGGCCAAATTGGCGAGTATTTATTAACTTGAGGCGATTTTGAATTTTTTTTGGGAGCTGAATGCATTCCCATCCGATTTACAATCTTTTTTAGGACCTACCGCTAAAGTAGCTCCATAGGCCTTAACTACTCCTTAGGAGGAGCTATTACAAAATCATAGAACTTGGCTGATCCAAAAAAAGTGGATCACACAGGTAGGGATTTTGGCATTCGTACCAGCATGGCTCGAAGCGCGCTGGTACAAATGTCGAGGGTATTGTTTACTCGCGAAGGATTAAATATTTGCATGAAACACACGAGTTTTCATTACTCAGGCGAGTATACTCGCCTGTCCTAGAGTAATCCCGCGGGGAAACCGCCTTGATACTCGACTTTCCTGAGGCGAGTTTCTACTCGCCTCATTTGCTCAGGTCTACTGGAGAAGAAGCACTGGAAGATGGTTTGCTGGGTGTTGTGCTGCAGATTGATTGAAAGATTGAGAAATAATGTAATTCAGGCACCTTAGTTGAGAAAAATGTCAATGAGGAAGGTGTGCCAACTTACAGGTGTATTAAACGAACAAGTCCACCAATTGTATAAGGGATCGTTCCGTTAAGGCGATTAGCTTGAAGCTTCCTGCAGGATCGATGTGCAATATTAAAAAAAGTGTGGTTCAATCTTGGATTGTAGTATTGCAAAGGGAAACATAATGTGGGGTAGTTAAAGGTAGAACTTGCAGTACGATGCCACTATGCTGTCTGAAGTGACAATGACACATGCTGCTGTTACACCTGTGAAATATAGAGTCCGTGGGCTCATGATGTTCAGTTAATGGACGTTGCTAAGGAAACTGTGCAGGCACATAGGTGTGGAGGTACGGATACAAATAGGCGTGTGAGGATAGGGGCATGTCGAGTAGTTATGGAGGAATGCAAATCATGCAGGAAAGAAACTCACCACAGAAGCGAATCCACAACTCACAATGATCTAAGCGAGGACAGATTGCTGATTGATGAAGAAATAGGTCCTGTGAGCTTGTTCACGCCAAGATACCTGCACAGAAACCAGAAAGCCACATTCTCAATGCAACCCATGCTCAGCCGCTGGCACATGCAAAGAAGCACCTCACAAGTAGAATCTGAAACAAGAATTTGGTCTAGGGTTTCGGGGAATTCTTACAAATTCTAGGGTCTAGAATTCTTACAAATCCTCAAGAGACAAGAGTGAAAATACTCCTTCTGGTATGTTGCCTTCCAGCTGGTTCTGCTCTAAATTGCTGCCATGAAGTGTCAAGAAAGGAGCCCACGTGCAGCAACGTGCAGCAGGCATAACGACCAAGAGTTCAATCAACAGGGGAGCACAATAGGTGGTCAACAGTCAATAACTGAGCACAACAGTCAACCAAAAATCAGCTCACGAGAAGTGGTAAGGATGACGCGAGCACAGACAGCTCAGATGTTTCTTCTTTGTGCCGCTCGCCAACAAGCGAATATGGACAAGAGAATTGCAGAGGACAGGCGAAGAGTAAATGAGAGGAGTACATGGAGACAAGAGGATGCACAAGGGGAACATAAGCAGAGTAGGGGAGAAAGAGAGCAGAGGAATCAAAGACGAAAGGAGATCTTGTTCAGCTTAACGCGAACAGGCAGAGGACAAATTGCTGCTTGTCGCCAGAACCAGAACCAACACTAGTAGAGCTAGAGTTGGTACGCCAGTGCAGCACCAAGAACCCCTATCCACTGGCGAACCGAGAGTCTTGCAAGTATTGATCACCAAGAGTCTTGTTGGGCCAAGTTATCCGAATGTGAATGTTTGCGGACATTGCAGTTCAACTCCCTTGAATTGCACATTTCAACAAAAATAAGCAAGCTCAAACCCCTTGTTTTCATCTTAAAGAAGCAGGCTATTAGCACGAGGGTATAGGAGAGAGAAAGGACATGCGAGGGTATAAACAGAGCGTGGTTCAGGACTAGCATCGCATCCAACGAGGGAAAAAGGGTGGAGGAAAGGTAGAGAAAGGTCAGCACAACAAGACAAAGGCCTTACAGGATCACAAGCTGTGTGAGGGAGCCAATTGCAGCAGGGATTGAGCCAGTGAGATAATTATAGTCAAGCTGTCTGTGATCATGCACACGAATCAGGCAGTCGGAATAAGGCCAGAGACAAATCCAATTGGAGACAAATAGAAAATAGAAGCATGATGGACAAGGGGGGTAGACGGGTTAGAAAACAGAGCAGAGAGGAGGTCGCAAGAGAGAGCACAGGAGCGGCGTTGACAGGAGAGGAGAGGAGAAAAATGAAGAGGGGTCATTGGAGAGAGAAGAAGAGGATCAACATTCCAAGAAGCAGTTGGAGAAAGAGCAAGGAAAAAGACAAAGATGGGAGTCAACAACACAACAGAGGCCTTTCAGCCGTGTAAGGTTAGCAAGAGAGCCAATTGCAAAGAGGATTGAGCCAGTGAGCTAATTCCTTTCAAGCTACCTGTGCCGATAATCACAACAGGCATGCAATCAATAGAGGTTGCATGGAAACAAATAGTGGAGGCCTTACAGGGCTACCAGGATAGTAAGATTGCCGATTTCAGCGAGAAAAGAGCTGGTGGTGAGTTCATTCTGAGAACGACGTAATTCAGGCTCAAGAGCCCTCTCTTGCTGTATAATCAGACAGACACGCCATAAAATCCAATCATCGAATTCAGCCCAAAAAAAAACCCTAAACTAGAACATCCGAGGGCCCGTTTGACCTAGCAAGTCTAGTTCATCTCTGGGGCCCAGCTGCCATGCTTTGACTGGCCGGGTGCCAGCTGGGGTTGATTTGAAGAGCTGAGGTTCGTCACCATATTGTGAGGGAGGGGCGAACGGCCTTGGCCCAAATGGATTGCATGAAGACAAGGGAAAGAGACGAGATTGTTTTAATCCTTCAATTTTGAAAACAAAACAACAGGAGAACTGGAGGGAAGAGATTAATAAAAGAGAAAGGATAGGTAGGGAGACAGGGGGGGGGGGGGGGGGAGAGAAAAGGGATAGAAGACGACTGTTGAGGGAAAGCAAGTAACAATCAACAGAGAGGCAAAACGAAAAGAAGAAGAGACTATTGTATCCATGTGAGAGCATTTTCTCATCCCCTAGATTCCATTACACGAATCTCGTGGCCACCTAGCTTGCACTACTCTTACCTCTCCTTGCCTTACATGGACGTCTGCACTGCAGCTTTTACACCGATTCCCCTTGGTACCAACCAAGACCCCCGTTGGTCAGGAAATATGTTTTAGCCACAAGGCTTTTCTGTGTGAGATAACCCTGCCCATCTGAATCGTTTCCTACGCATTAGACTGGGTACAGCCATAGCACTATCATTGCACAAACCCTCTTTATTGCCACAACTTCAGTCGCTTAGAATCTATGCCCAGCAGTCTGCACTGGTGTAGCAACATGACATGCTCCCTTATCCACTGGCAAACATGGGTTAGCAAGTTTCTTGGACTCAGATCGTGTTATTTGATTGTCTGCAAGCAAACTCTACAGCTCGCCTGTGATCAAACTAACTCAAACCCCTCGCGTTCCTTGTAAAAAGAACTTGAGAGGGAGGGTGGCAGTAAGTGGAGCTCAGACGGGGTCAACGGAGAGCATGGATCACAACTAGCATCAAAAGAAGGAGACAGCATGGGCAGGAGAGCAGAAGGCAGGGACAAGGAAGCACGGCAAAACAGAGGCCTTACAGGTTCTCAAGCCGAGTAAGAGAGCTGATTGCAGCGGGGATTGAGCCAGTGAGCTCATTATATTCAAGATGTCTGTGATCATGCACACGAATCGGGCAGACAGGCCAGAGACACGTCCTATTGGAAACGAGCAGAAAAATGAAACGTTACGGACTGGGCGAATTGTCAGGGTATGAAACGGAGCAGAGCAGAAGTGACAATAGAGATCCAAGGAGCATTGTAGACTGAAGAGGAGGAGAAGAATGAAGAGGGATCGATGGAGAGAGAAGAAGAGGGTTATCATTCCAAGAAGCAGTTGGAGAAAGAACAGAAAGAGGTAGAAACACAGCACAGCACAGCAGCACAGCAGAGGTCTTACAGGGATTTAAGGTTGGCAAGAGAGCCGATTGCTGTGGGGATTGAGCCAGTGAGTTGATTTCCTCTAAGGTCTCTGAGCCAATAAACACATCAGGCATGCATTTGAAACAGGTCGCTGGAAACGAATACAAGAGGCCTTAAAGGTTTGTAAGATTGCCGATTTCAGTGTGGAAAGGATTAGTGAGGTGATTTTGATAAAGATGTATGTGATGACAAAGACTTCAGTCAGGCTCACATATCCTCTCACTGGATAATCGGAAAGAGAGGCCATCTAAACCAATCATGGAATGTAGCCAATGAACCCTAAACTAGAACATCCGAGGGTTCGTTTGACCTAGCAAATCTAGTTCACCACTGGCGCCCAGCTGCCATGCCCTGGCTGGCCAGGTGCCAGCTGGGGTTGATTTGAAGAGCTGAGGTTCGGCGTCCCCCATATTGTGTGAGGGATGGGCGACTGGCCTTGGTCCAAATGGATCAAAAAGAAAGATAGGAGATTGGTTTATTCCTTCAAGATGTTTTGCCCATCTCTCAAATATCGTTCTTTGAGATGATGAGATGAGAAACTAAAACACATGAAAGAACTCGAGAGCGAAAATAGGTCAAAAAGGATCTTTGTTGAGATGAGAGGAGAGGTTAGGAGGGAGACAGAGTGAGGGAATTTTTTTTTTTTTTTTTTTTTTTTTAGGATAGGAGGCGATTGTTGAGCCAAATGCAAGTTATAATCAATAGAGAGACAAATAGAGGAGGAAGATACTATTTAATCCCAGATTCCATTGCGCGAATCTCAGCACCACGTGGCCACCTAATCTGCACTACACTTACCTCTTCGTGCCTTGCATGGACGCCTACAGCTGTTACACCGATTCCCCTTGGTGCCAAGACCCACCGATTCCCCTTGACAGAAAGTTCAGTACTTTCAAGAAACTTTCATGGAAGGCTTAAAAAAAGGGGGATTGTTGTTACAAACAGCTAAATGTTTCTTTAGAATTACATCCATAGTTCTGAGAGCTGACAGCTTCACAAACCCTCCCCTGATTCATGTACTACGTTCGAGACGAGAAATAGCCGCAGCGCTCTTGCCAGAGCAGGAGTACGACCAGCACCCATATCACAGTAGCGGAGCGGAGCAGTGAGGGTGTGGTAAGGTAGGCAGCACAAGTGACTTGGAACAGAGAAGTGGTAAACTTGAGTGTAACACTGTACTGCAGGCAGCTTTTGGTGAGTACGGCAAATCCACGGGGCCTAGATTTTGCTGGAGTGAGTCCGGCAGACATAAGCCTGGGGTGTCCTTGGGGTGGGGTTAGTCACCCATCACAATGGGATTTGCAAATCCCATCACAAAGGAAATTGCGAGCCAATCACATTATGTTGCATGAATCGTCAGAGGTGCATGCCACAGGTGGTCATAGTCCTCGCTCTCCATTGCTGCCCCACTTCCCTCCTTGTCCTTGTCATCAAGCATCGCCTTCACTGGCAATGTGTGAAATGAGTCGATTTTTGAGTCGACTAAAAAATCATTGCTGCCCCACTTCCCTCCTTGTCCTTGTCATCAAGCATCGCCTTCACTGCCATGTCTTGTGCTGCTGCCACATTCTTGGATGCTCCTCCCGTCTTCATCCCCTTCCACTCCAAGGATGCCTCATGTCCGTCGAAGGTGACATCCCTAGTCGCCACCGATTTGCATGTCTCCAAATCTCATTTAACCATCCTTTGCTCTTAGGGCAGATCCACAAGTGGATTCCCCGCTTGGTTCGAAGTAGGAACTTGTGACTGGGCCCTGTCGGCTCACGATACTGCACCATGCAATCCCATGAGGGTAAGAACCTCAGGTATGGCTTCCTTTTGTAGCCCCTAAATCACTCGGGCCGACTCGGTTTCGACTCGATTCGTGTATGCTCATGCCTAGTAATGAGTGGACTTCAAACGGGTATAAAAAGGATGGGGGGTCAATGGAGAGCATAGATCACGACCAGCACCAAGAGAAGGAGACAAGATGGAGAGGAGAGGCAAAGACACGAGAGCAGAAGCCTTACAGAAATGTAAGGTTTTCAAGAGAGCCGATTGCAGCAGGGATTGAGCCAGTGAGCTGATTCTGATTAAAAAAACTGAGTTCATGCACACGGGTCAGGCAGTTGATGTGTTCAGGGCAGAGACAAATGGAAACGAACAGAAGTAGAAGCGTGATGGACAAAGCGGGATAGACGGGGTCGGAAACGGAGCAAAGGGGAGGTGAAACGAGGGAACACAGAGGAGATACGAGAAGAGACACACACACGCAGCATAGAGGATATTAGAGAACAGACGGTAAGTAGAAGGAGTTGCATGTCGTATAAATCGAAGAGGAGGATACGCCAAAGGCCATATACTTCCTCCATACAATTTATGAGCCAACAGGGATAGAGCCAACCACACAACACAACACAACACTCGACTAGGCTAGCTGCTGCTGGTAGTTGTGGAAGCTGCCTTGCAGCTTGCTGCTTGTGCGAACCTCCGCTAGGTACCACTGCAGAAACCCGCTCTAGTAGTTAGTGAGCACAACAGGGGATTAACTAGAGTAGACATGACCGAAGGGCTGAGCCAGCGGCTCGGCTTGTCGGCTCGGTTCGTGTTTAGGGCGAGCCGAACCTTCCAGCCAGATGTTTCAGTTCAGGTTGAGCCTCCTGGCTGGCAATCTTTGAAACGACCAGCCGGGAACGGCTCCTGTCGAAACGCTTGGCGGTGCGGACCTGGTGGGCGAAATGCCCGCTGGCGTGGATCTGGCCGGCTACACTACACCCTTGCAAGCACGCCAAAGGAGGCTCGCAAGCTGGCTGGCTCCCAATTGGCGGTTTGGCTTGCAACACGCCGGCTCGAGTGAGCTAGGGTCGGCTCGGCCCTTGCTCATGCATAAATCGGAGTCTCGCAGCCACTAAGTTAGCTCTACAAGAATGTCCGCAGGCAGTCCATCTAGCCTTTAGTTAAATCCACCATCCAGAATCCCGTTAATTAGAAGAGCCCACATTGGAAACATTCCAGTGCAGTGCCATGCCATGCATGCACCCAAGGTGCAAAAAATGGCCGTATTTTATATTTTTCCCCGTATAATACGGTATCGTATTCTTCGGTTGTATAAAACGGTTAAAAACGGTCCGGAGCTGCTTTTATTTACTGGTGCAAAAAAACGGCCGAAATTTTGCCAAAAAAAAAAAAGAAAAACAACAACAACTTGCAAAACGCGTGGATTTGGCATTTCGCCTGCCAAAACGCGGGGATCTGGCATTTTGACCCCCCAAATGTGCGGGAACTCGCGTTTTGGCGAACGAAATGCTAGGATATATCATATATGGCATTTCGCCCGCCGAAATCCGCGAAACTTGCATTTTTGCCCGCCGAGACGTTGGATCTCGCATTTCGGGGGACGAAATGAGCGGATCCGGCAAGCGTTTAGGCTGTCTAAAAACAAAAAAAACAAAAAAAACAAAAAACAAACAAACAAACAAAAAACAAAAAAAAGGTGAAATGCTCTATTAAAAAAACGGCGTTTTTTTCCAAAATGACTGAAAGATACGGACTGTATTTTTTAACCTTGCATGCACCCCATCAGCACAGAAAATGGAATGCAGAGTAAAGGAGAGGGTGGTGGTAACTGGACTGGAGAGGAGAGGAGACAAAAGAGGGGGGGCCCAATGAACATAACAAAAATCTTACTGGCGTGTAAAGTCACTCATCACTGCAGCGACGATCAGATAAGTGACTTGATGATTTCCAAGATCTCTGTGCCAATAAACACAACAGGCATGCAATTGTAGGGAAACAGAAACAAAAAGAGGCCTGGAAACGAAACAGAAGAGGCCTTCCTTCCATGGCTATCATGAAGGAACTAGCTTGGAAGAGAAAAGATTGAATTGAGTAGGGAGCCAAGAGGCTCTTTTGTACAAAACAAGGAGCAAGGAAGAGTTGGAAGGGAAGCTCTCTTATTGGCCATAAAGTGGACCAATGGGAGAGGTTGCTTGTAGGGCAAGCAACCACAAAGTGTTGTGCTCTCCAATTGGCCACAATGTGGACCAATGAGAGAGATTGCTTGGAAGGCAAGCAACCACAAAGTGTGGTGCTTGGTGATTGGTTGGTTCCTAGCACCAAGGACCATTTGGTTGGAATAGTGCCAACCAAATGTCTAGGACCAAATCCAACCTTGACCAACCCAAATGTGGGGTTGGTCAACCCAACCAACAATCCCCCAATAATTATAATGACGACACCTCCTAATCTATGCATGCATGTTGTATAGTTATATATTTTACAACGTATCAGGTTTAAAGATTGCCAATTTCAGCGCACTTATAGTTAGTGAGCTCACGGAACTTACGGTGGCCAGTGAGCTCGTTTTGATGAAGAACTTAGCAAAAACAAAAAAATATTCGGTCTCATAAGTCCTCTGATGTTGGGTAATCAGACTCACGGGTCATCAAATCCAATAATCAGATATCGAGTGCATGCCCAGCATCCTGCCGAGGTATAACACCCGGGGGGCGATTTGACCTAGCAAATCTAGTTCATTACTGGCGCCCAGCTGCCGTGCACTGACTGACCCGGTGCTAGCTCGAGTTGACTTGAAGAATTGAGGTTAGACCACCATATTGTGTGAGGGAGGGGCAGATCGCCTTGGCCCAAATGGATGACAGGAAGACAAGTAGCAGAAGACAAGAGGTAGCTCTATCTATCTAAGTTCCGTTGCCCATCCTTCAAATCTGTTCTTTGAATCTCAGGTATATGCTTGACGTTTAGTGTATTCCCCTGCTTCGTCGTTGACACTCTCGTAAAACACTTGGAAGCACATGGGTCAACGGTCAGCCTGAGTCTCGCGGTCACGCCTACTTGGTAAGGATTTTGTGAGTGTCCGCAGGGTACATGATACATCCCACCTCAAATCTCCACCAGTGGGACAAACGAAGAGCAGGATAATAGAAAGGCCATACAGATACTTCAGTGATGTTAATGAGCCAAGGGTCTCTGGAATGGAGCCCGTGAGCTTGTTGTTGTTTAGACTCCTGTGGTTGTGAAACGTGGATCGGATCGGAAAAACCGTGGAACCGCAGGTATGGCAAGTGAAGGAGTAGGAACAAAATATGCTTTTGAGTCGACTCAAAGGCAGGCACGGAAGAGGATAGGAGAAAATATAAACAGAGAGTGATTAATTTACGTGGACCGCAAAGCGAAGCACAAAAGAGAGAGAGAGAGGGTGTGCCTGCTCTATGTGGACAGGGGAGGAGAGGGGAAAAATGAAGAGGGTCAATCAATGGTGGAGATGGAAGAAGGGGATGAACCTTATGAGAAGCAGATGGACGAAGAGCATAGGAAGAGCCAATGATAGGAGTTCACAGCACAACAGACAATAATACCTTCCTTTGCTCAGCACAACAGACAATGATACCTTCCTTTTCTCAGCACAACAGACAATGATACCTTCCTTTGCTCAGCACAACAGACAATAATACCTTCCTTTGCTCAGCACAACAGACAATGATACCTTCCTTTTCTCAGCACAACAGACAATGATACCTTCCTTTTCTCAGCACAACAGACAATAATACCTTCCTTTGCTCAGCACAACAGACAATGATAGGAGTTCACAGCACAACAGAGGCCTTACAGGTACTCAAGGTTCGTCAGAGAGCCGATTTCAGCGGGGATTGACTCATTGAGTTGGCATGCTCCAAGGTCTCTGTGCCGATAAACACAACAGGCATGCAACTGATGAAGGCATGCAACTGATGAAGGCATGCAACTGATGAAGGCATGCAACTGATGAAGGCATGCAACTGATGAAGGCATGCAACTGATGAAGGCATGCAACTGATGAAGGCATGCAACTGATGAAGGCATGCAACTGATGAAGGCATGCAACTGATGAAGGCATGCAACTGATGAAGGCATGCAACTGATGAAGGCATGCAACTGATGAAGGCATGCAACTGATGAAGGCATGCAACTGATGAAGGCATGCAACTGATGAAGGCATGCAACTGATGAAGGCATGCAACTGATGAAGGCATGCAACTGATGAAGGCATGCTCCAAGGCCACAACAGGCATGCAACGAATGAAGGTCACCACGGAAACAAACAGTCGAGGCCTTACACGGCTGGCAGCTTTGCAACATTGCCAGGAAATGTTATGCGAAATCATGTGATGGCAAACACCATTCGGGGTCACATGTCCTCCCTTGTTGGACAGTAGTCATCGAATCCAAGAATCGAATTGGAGGCGTATACCTAGCTAAAAGAAAACCCTAAATGAGAACATCTAAGGGCACCTTTGACCAAGCACGTCTAGTTTGCTACTGGCGCCCAGCAGCCATGCCATGCACTGACTGACCCGGTGCCAGCAAGGATTGATATAAAGCATGCGTGAGGAGTCTATTTTTGAGGCGCCTCAAAAACTGACTGACCCGGTGCCAGCAAGGGTTGATACAAAGAACTGAGGCCAGTCCCCAATAATTTGCGAGGGGGGACTATGCACAACTGGGAATCAAACCTCTGCTCTAGACACCAGTGTAGCAACACGCTCCTTTACCCCCTCGTAGTCCTTGTAAAAAGAGCACTATTCGCATGAAATACACAAAGTAAATTTTAGGCAGGGGATGGTGGTAAGTGGAGCTCAGACAGGGATGAAGAGGAAGAGGGGTCAACAAAGAGGATAGATCACGACTAGCGTCAAAAGAAGGAGACAGGATGGAGAGGAGAGGGACAGCATAGCAGCTGCCTTACAGGCTTCTAAGGTTTGCAAGAGAGCTGATTGCAGCGGGGATTGAGCCAGCGAGCCGATAGGAAGTCATATCTCTGCGATCATCCACAAGAATCAGGCAGCCCAATGTTTAAGAGCAGAGACATAGCCAATTGGAAACGAACAGAAGGTAGAAGCGTGATGGATGAGGGAGTAGTAAATGGAGCAGAGAGAGGGTGAAAAGAGGGAGCACATAGAGGAGAGGAGATACGAGAAGAGACACACACACGCAGCATTGAGAAGATTAGACAGATGGTGAGTAGAAGGAGATGCAAGATGTATACCATAATCCGAAGGCCATACACTGCATAAACCAACGGTAGCAGGGATAGAGCCAACAACTAACCAATGTAACGCAACACTCGACTAGCTGCTGGTAGTTTTGGACAGCTTGCCGCTTGTGCAAAGCAAAACAGGGTAGACATGGGCTCAAGGCCAAGCCCTTTTTTACCGTGACCGGCTCAGACACTTATTTCATGGGCCTATACATGAGTACACTTCTGAGTCGACATGAGTACATCGTCAGGGGTCATACCCCCCCATGGATGCTCTGTGGGAACATCATGAATGCGTATGATATAATCTCACATCTCCACGATCATCCCGCTGCTGTCGCATTTGATTCTGGTAGCAGTGCTACAGTTGGGATTGGTGGCACTCCACCCATGGAAGGTGTGCCCCCATACCCACTGGCAGACCTGCAGGAATTGCACTGCAGGTTGGTGGTGTGGGGTTGGGGGGGGAAGGGGGGCGGGGTTGGTGGAGGTGGGAGTGGGGAGGAGAGGGTGAAGCGGGGAGAGTGGGGGGGGTCACTCAGGCACGTGGCAATGTGGGGGGCTGTTAACCTACTATAATGCAATGGACTCTGTGGACCATTCCCAGGTCCCAAATTGGCCAGGTGAAATGCCCTGATTGCCCTGATTTTTCAGGGTATTTTTTTATTTGGTCTTAAAAATTAGACTTACGAAATTTATTACCCTGATCCAAAAAGTGTTACAAAAGTATGGCCCTGATGAAAACAGGGTTGCGGGGCCCCGCACCCGGAGCCTTCAGTTCAGAATGTCCTGAAAACCAACCTTGTACCGAAACTCTGAGATTCCCACTAAGTCCCTGGCGGCGAGAAACATGTCCCCCACAACACCCTGAAACCCAAAAATTTCGACCAAGTCCCTCGCGGCCAGAGTCATTCCTCCCATGCACCATGCAAACCATAAATTTCGGCTAAGTCCTTGTGGCCAAAGCCAAAGACATCACTCCCTTACCCCCTCGCAACCCAGAAATGGCTAAGTCCCCCACAAAAGACATGCCTCCCACCCACCACCCCGCTACTTATCTTTTTCGCTAAGTCATTTACACCGCAGCAAGTCACGTCACGTCGCATACGCCCCTCCCACACCCCAACCAATCACGAGCAGGTGGTTTTTCTCCCGCCCCTCTGCCGCCCTTGTAAATTCGATTCCCCTCTCGCGCCCAAGAATCGTTTTCCGTCCCATCCCCCAATCTCGCCCCGCACGCGCAAATCCGCTACAGAATACGCTTCTTTCCACACCTCAGTGCTGCCTAGTTCATTCCTGTCAAATGTTTTTATTATTTCTGAAATGGCCAAGGCTAGAAAGGGTGCAAAAAGTTCTGCACTTAGAGCAAAGACTTCGAAAAATTTTGCCCTGTCAAATCAGACTTCGAATTTTTTCTACTCTGACCGTCAGGGTAACTTCTTTTTCCTACTCTGATTCCTAAGAGTGGCCTAAAACCAATTTTGGGCCCTGACCGTTCCCCACCTTGCATTTTGTCCCCCACCGCTCACCTTTTCTCCCCCCGCTCACCTTTTCTCCCCCCGCCTCCCGCCCTGCGTTCTCTTCCCCGCCCTCTCCCCTTGTGTTCTCTCCCCCGCCTCCCGCCCTCCCCGCCCTCTCCCCTTACGTTCTCTCCCCCGCCTCTCACCTTGCGTTCTCTCCCCGGCCTCTAACTTCGCGTTCTCTCCCCCGCCTCCCGCCCTCCCCGCCCTCTCCCCTTGCGTTCTCTCCCCCGCCTCTCACCTTGCGTTCTCTCCCCGGCCTCTAACTTCGCGTTCTCTCCCCCGCCTCCCGCCCTCCCCGTCCTCTCCCCTTGAGTTCTCTCCCCCCCCTCTCACCTTGCGTTCTCTCCCCGGCCTCTAACTCCGCGTTCTCTCCCCCGCCTCCCGCCCTCCCCGCCCTCTCCCCTTGCGTTCTCTCCCCCGCCTCTCACCTTGCGTTCTCTCCCCAGCCTCTAACTTCGCGTTCTCTCCCCCGCCTCCCGCCCTCCCTGTAACGTCTGCGGACGGAAATTACCCTAGAGATTGTAAACGCATTCCGCTGCGCCTCTGGGTAACCTCGTTTTGACCCAGTGGGTAGCGAGGCGTTATACTCCCCGCCCTCTCACCTTGCGCTCTCTCCCCGGCCTCTAACTGCGCGTTCTCTCCCCCGCCTCCCGCCCTCCCCGCCCTCTCCCCTTGCGTTCTCTCCCCCGCCTCTCCCCTTGCGTTCTCTCCCCCGCCTCTCACCTTGCGTTCTCTCCCCGGCCTCTAACTTCGCGTTCTCTCCCCCGCCTCTCACCTTGCGTTCTCTCCCCGGCCTCTAGCTTTGCGTTCTATCCCCCGCCTCCCGCCCTCTCCCCTTGCGTTCTCTCCCCCGCCTCTCACCTTGCGTTCTCTTCCCCCGCCTTGCGTTCTCTCCCCTGCCTCTCACCTTGACTGGCGTCGAAAGGCACGGCGTTGACCATCGTCGCGAGGGGCGAGGCGGCAAGGGCGGCGAGGCACCATGCGAGTGGCAGCACAGCCGCGTGCTGCCCACGCCGCCGCTCACGCCATGCCATGCGCTGGCGGCTCACCGCCGCCACCGCCGCCGCCGCCACAGCCGCTGGAGCCCAGGTGGGCGGGCAGTTGAGGCTGGAGCGCCGCAGCCGGCGCATGCTGCGGTGCTCAATGGTCAAGACTCCCTAACTGATACTCCTGCTGTCGGAAACCGCTACTTCCGACAACTACTGACGACTACTGTCGCACTATGGGGCTCGTGCTGCTCACCGGCCCGTCCGCCGGACATGCAAGGAACGGGTGCGAGCACGCCGGCGCGTGTGAGAGATCGCCGGCGCGTGTTTGAGCACGCCGGCGCGTGTGAGAGATCGCTGGCGGGGTCAATGGGGCTACTGCTGCTGTGGGCGTGAGGCTCAAATGGGGCTACGCTGCTGGGTGTGTGTGGGGGGAGGAGACGGCGAGTCAACGGGGCTGCTACTAGTAACTCTTGCTGCTGTGGGCGTGAGGCCCAAGGATCAACCATTGAACGAATCAGGGAGTGTGGGCGCAGCTGGGGGAGATGAAACGAGGCCTTGGGCGAGGAACTGTGCGAGGAAAGTAGGGCAAGGAAGTGTGTGCGAAGATAATGGGCGAGCAGAAGTGCGGTGCATACACTCGGTGGCAATCGGTGGTGTAGTGTAGTGGTAGCATTTCCAGGCTTGGTGTGCAGAGACTGACGAGCCGCACGAAAGAGTGGCGTTGCCATGCCATGACGGGTCCAGCTCACAACGGTCTTTGGGATCCTCGTCACCCTAGGAGTAACAAAAGCTACTGTAACACCTCCGCTCTCGTTACCTACCTTGGGGTGTTCGTGGTATGCAGTATTCTGGTGAAGTCACGCGAAATGCCGCACACCCTTCACAGCTCAGCATAATCCTAGAATGTTTCGTAGGGCTTGTTTGTAGTAGAGCTTGTTAGTGACAGGTTCGTATTAGGTTGCTGTAACCACTTCTTTCACTCCCGTAGCAAGAAAGGGCAGCAATATTTTTTCCTGCTCAAATCAAACTCGGAGTTATTTCCATACTGGGAAAGCGGAATGCGACCTCGAGAGAGGTGTCATCACAAAGACTTGCAGGTTGCTTTTTTTGCCATATTGTTTCGGAGAAACACTGTCGGAAAGTATCTCACCAAAACAGTCGCCATAAGTTTACAATACATCCCAACCAAAACAATAACATGTATCAAGTGTGCGAATGGCTCAACCTCTTCCTCCATTTGCTTGCTTCTCGCCCTCTCATGGCACTGAATTTGTTGAATTTGTCAAACACACCCTGCCAGTGAGGCGGCTATGTTTTCCTAAGGAGCATGTATCCAAGTGAAAGACGTTGCATGGCACTTACTCGCACACCCTTCTTTCCTTGTCTACACACTCCCATGCCATGACCCCTTCGTTGTTGTACTCTTCACTTGCTACACATTACTGCTACAGTTTCTCCCAGTCCATTCCAAGTTGTACCGCCCCACTCCCACCCTGTCCACCAATGGAAGCTGCTGAAACCAATCCACGTCACCAAGAACCTGCGACGCAAAACATAGCACTTGCGATTAAGAATCTCGGCATACTCAGGAAGTATTGTCGAAACACACCCAGGCACATTCAACGAGTACACCCGGGCACCCACTTGGGAACATCCACAGGAGGGAGAGCGGGGCGGGGAGAGCAGAGAGCGAACCCACTTGGCACTTGGTGGAGACAGCAGAGGGCGAACCCACCTGTTGCAGCACTCGCATCTTTTCCTCCAACCCGAAACAGCAGTTCGCATGAACAGTAACCAGCCGCCCCAGCTGCCGCCCGATCTCGCAGAAACCGCCGAAGCGGTTTGTCGGCAGGTAGTGGATGGAGAGATGGAGAGATTCACGGGTGTAGAGGTCTGCTTCGGGCCGCACTCGCATGAAAGCATCCTGATCATGGATGCCAGGGAAGCTATTGAGTGTTGGGGAGAGGGGGGCGGTAGGGGGGGGGAGGGGGGGGGTGAGGAGGGAAAGGGGAGGAGGAGGGGGGGTCTTTTGTGGGTGAGTGGGGGAGGGGATAGTGTAGGGGTCCCACTTGCATGAATGCATCCTGTCGTGACTGCCTGGAAAATGGAAAGTTGGGGTCGGGGGGTGGAGGGGGGGAGGGGAGGGGAAGGGGGGGGGAGGGGGAGTGGGATTAGAAGGTGTCTCAAGTGTGGGTGTACGCATTCTCAAGAAGGTTGCCTGATAGTGGATGCTGGGGAATCTAGGTAAGGGAGGTAGCATAGGTGGTGCAAGGTTGTGGGGGAGGGAGGGAGGGGGGAAACAGTGGTTCCACAGAGGGGAGAAGAGTGTCGCAAGTGTGGGGATCTTCACCAGGCCGGAACCCAGATGAGTGCGTCTTAATCGTGGATGCCGGGGAATCTTTTGGGGGGGAGGGAAAGGAAGGAGGGAAGGTTTGGGGGAGGATGGTACATGGGAGAATGGAGCATTTTGAGTGTAGGGGTCTGTTTTGGGTCGCACCAATGCCCGGTGCAGGAGGTAAGAGAGGGAGGATGACGCAGGAGGAAGGGGGAAAAGGAAGAGTATGGGAGATACAGGGGGCGGGTGGGGGAAAAGGAAGAGGGACGGATTGATCGTTTGTGAGCATCCATCCGGTAGTCAAAGAAGCGCAGCACACGAGCATTGCTCCGAGCCAGGTGGAAGCCCCTTTGCATATCATGGCACATCAGAGCTTACCGTTTGTGAGCGTCCATCCAGTAGTCAAAGAAGCGCAGCACACGGGCATTGCTCCGAGCCAGGTAGAAGCCCCCATTGGCTGCTGCCGCCTTGGGGTCCGCCGACCAGCGATCGCACGCTATCTGGATGTCAGCTGAGACAGGCAGCAGGTGGGGCAGGGGGTTCTGCTGGCGGGGAGGGAAGGGCGAACAGCAAGGGGGAGTTAGGTCTTTTAGAATTCTCAAAAACCTAACTCAGGGAGCAGGTGGGGCAAGGGATTCTGGAGGTGGGGAGGGAAGGGCGAACAGCAAGGGGGAGTTAGGTTTTTGAGTTCTCAATAACCTAACTCAGGGAGCAGGTGGGGCAGGGGATCCTGGTGGCAGGGAGGGAAGGGCGAACAGCAAGGGGGAAGACCGCAGGAGAAGGAGAAGGGGAGAGAGGGACAACCGACCACAGGTCACAGGCTGTCTGGATGTTGGCTGAGACAAGCCACAACTGCAGCAGGGGGTTGTGGTGGTGGGCGGGAGAGTGACAGACGAGAATTTGAATGCGGAATGGTGTGGGCGCCATACTGGGAAGATGCAGGCACAGCATGGGCACTTCCTAGCCGATTCACAAGTCACCATGGCACACACTGAGGTACGAACCGAGTACAAACCGAGGTATATATAAACAGTCTGGCCACAGCATAGAGCATTATTTTCATGAAGCAGTTTGGAGCTATAGCATGTATCCCCCTCCTGTTACTTTTCCTTGCAGCAATATATGTGGGGCTCTGATCTTTCCACTACACGCTGACGTCACTCCACCCACCTGCAGCCACATGACGTCATTGTCTGTGAAGATCACATCAAATCCAAAAGATATGATCCTCCTGATTATGTGTAGCCGCCGCCACATCTGGGATTGAGATATGGGAGGGGAAGGAGGAGCAAAAGTGAGTCCGCAGGGGAAGGGGAGAGGAGAGAATAGAATAGGAAAAGAGGGGAGGAGAGGTGAGGACAGGGGAGAGGAGGGGAGAAAAGAGTGGTCAAGAGAAGCCCATCCTCCCCTCTCTATGGTGAAGGAGGGGTGCACGCACATCCTCAAGAGTGGTAAAAAGTTTATTGTTTGATCAGCTTAGACCAAGAATGGAGAACCTTGAGAAGAATAGAAGGGTCAAACAAGAACTTGATGCTTCATTCCGTTATATCAATGCGTCTCTGGATTGGAGGAAAAACTGGGTGTAGTTGGGCAGGAGGGGAGACGTCGATCACCAAGTGAAGATAGGAGGGGGTCATGAATTTCTTCTGCCCGCCACTGAAGTTGTCCCTCTCACTCTCTGGTGCATCCTCCTGGGCAGGTGAAAGAGCAGCCAGGACAAAAATAGCAAAGGCGTTATACGTAAGTATCAGCTGAATTGCTAGCGTTTTTCTGGATCAGAACCTTAAGTTAGCAAAACTTCAGACTGGATTCAATCTAAACCGCACAGACGACGCTAGCTTGCAGAACTGCAGGCAAACGTGTCATTGGTCCCAACTCACCTGGGTGTCAAGGAAGCCTACTGCTGAGCAGCAGAAGGAGAGGCTGACCTTATTGACTCACCTGCATGTCGAGGAAGCAGTGCAGGCGGAGCGAGCAGCAGAAGGCAAGGCTGCAATGATCGTAGCACAGTACCAGTAGGCGCGGCACCAGCACGCCTGGCCCTGGCAGTGGGGTGCCATGGCCGGTGGCAGGCACAGCAGCAGAGTCAGAAATTTCTACAGCAGCTGATGCAGGCGAGAATGCAGCGGCTGCATGTTGCTCGCTATTCTTCTCCTGCTCCTCTCTGTCGTCCAGCAGTCTCATCCGCGTTAGAAACATCTTCATCATGGGTATCCATGCCTCTGACAGCACAGTCACTATCACCGCGCCACGCCCTGCCTCCCCCTCCTCTGCTACTGCCTCGCCGACACGTCCACTCCCTGCCACACTTCTGCCTCTTAGACTGCTGATGCCAGCATCCTCAGCACCGCTCCTTGCACTTCTGCTCTCTACGGTTCTCTCTGGGCTTCCTCCCGTGCTGCTCTCTCCAGCGCTCCCTGAAACGCTGTCAGTAACGCTGTCAGTAACGCTGTCAGTAACGCTGTCAGTAACGCTGTCAGTAACGCTGTCAGTAACGCTGTCAGTAACGCTGTCAGTAACGCTGTCAGTAACACCACTGCTGGACAGATTGCTGCCCGTGCTGCTGCTGCTTGCATCAGCTGCACTCTCTGCTGCGTCAGACGCTGCTTGCGTGCTTACCATTGGAGGGGGCATTTCTGCTGACGTGGCCAGGTCTCTCAGAACCGCCTCTAGGCTCCTGCCACGTTAGACCACAGCGCAAATCAGAAGCTGAAATATGCATACATCTTAACTCATCTTGACCCTTATATATTTCAAACAGAGAGAGTGTGAGTGGGAGAGAACGAGAGAGAGTGAGGGAACCGCCCAAGTACCTGGCAGCCGAGCACATGGAAGGCTCTGCACAATCACTGCCATCATCACTGCCACCACCACTGCCACCACCACTGCCACCACCACTGCCACCACCACTGCCACCACTCTCTCCCGCGTCTCTCCCCCAGCTGCCCACCTCTTCGTCCTCGCTGCCCACCTCCCCAGTGCCCATCTCTCCCCCCTCACTGCTCCCCACGCCACGCCCCTCCGCCCCCCAAACATGTGTCCCAGGCCCCTCTGCTGCCAGCTGCGCAGCAGAGGCGGTCAGGGGGAGAGGGGAGCGGGGAGCGAGGAGGGGGATGGCGAGGAGGGGGAGGATGATGAGGAGGGAGAGGAGGAGCAGGAGAGCGTTGTTGAGGAGAGTGGGGGTTGCTCTTAGACGGTGCAGGATGGGATGAGAGGGATGAGAGGGGTGAGAGGGATGAGAGGGGTGAGAGGGGTGAATGGGATGAGAGGGGTGAGAGGGGTGAGAGGGGTAAGAGGGGTGAGAGGGGTGAGAGGGGTGAGAGGATGAGAGGGATGAGAGGGGTGAGAGGGGTGAGAGGGGTGAGAGGGGTGAGAGGGGTGAGAGGGGTGAGAGGGAAGAGAGAGGTGGAATTCATGGGATTCAGGAGCGTCATCTGGATCATAGTCGTCGTGCTTATGGAGATGCTGCTGGGGAGATTGCTGCTGGGGGTCTGATCGGGTGACAGGCAGGTGCTCGCTCTTCCAAGGAGCGAGGAAGTAAGACCTGAGGCGGGCCCAGACGCCAGGGATGAACGGGAGGGAGCGGGGGGAGGCGGAGGACGCGGAGGAGGCGGAAGGCGAGGCGGAAGGGGATCCACGGGCTGGAAAAGGCATCAGGGGACGATCAACGGTGTCCAATGCCTCGCCGATGTTATCATTGGAGTCAGCAGAATTGCCATGGCTGACGTTCGGCGCATTCTTGACATCATCGGATACATGGGATGCTGCGCTGTTGACGTTGTCAGAAGCAGCGTTAGGAGCAACAAAATCGCCGTGGTTGGCGTCACTAGACGGTGGAGGCGACGGCATGGCGGCAGGAACCGAGAATCGAGACTTGTCGGATCGACCCCTCGGAGGGGCCGTTACGACGCAGGCAGGTGTCTCGTCAAACGCACGACTGGAGCAGTAGAGCTTAAGCGAATGACCTTAACACCCGCCAGGGTCGCACAGACAACACGAAAACTCCACGGCAACCGGGGGGCAACTCCACGGCCTGTGGAGCACGCAGGGATATACGATCTCCTCGCACGGATTACAGGCTCCCTAGGCACGGACTGCCATATGAAAGCCGGACGGGTCCCGGCACCTCTCGAGAAGGCCATATGACGCGGCGTCATGGCCACAAGGCACAGGGTCGCGTGATTTTAGATTTATCGGAAGCGAATCGCCGCACAGTCCCGCTGGTAGTTCTAGCCTGGCGGTTCTCGAGGCTGCAGCGATTGCGACGCATGCGGGTTGACGAGGTGGGGACGGTAGCGACACATGTGTGCTGCTGACACTGACAAATCGTAGCCGTTCAGCATCATGGCGGCGGTGATAGCGGTAGATTCGGTAGATGCGTCTGAGTCGAGGCAAAGAATTGTATCCACAGGCGGACGCATGTGATAGCGACACGTGTGATAGCGACGCATGTGATAGCGACACATGTGTGCTAATGAACTCCTAGGTTTGCTGATCTGCTGCAGGTGTCTTGAAATGGTTCGGTTTGGTCTGCTTGCCCTCGGGATTGTGGAATTCTCTCCAGCGTGGCCGGTCTGGTCTGCTCGATGGATTTGCTCAGGTTAAATCTCCGGTATAGAAATTTCGATAACGCATCAGAACATTCAATGTGGAGAGCATTGTAAGGAAGAGCCAGTCTGGTTTGGAAATATCGAGGTTCCATCAACTGCCAAGCCGAGTCAGACCTCTGTTTGTCAGCTCGTTTCGCGCCAAAAGGAGTCACCATTTCTGGTTCAGTCAGCACGCCAGCCCGTTCCAGATCCTGCTTCGTGGACCCTACGATCCCCAAACTACCTGTCACAATTATCGCACCTTCGCGTTACTCAGACAGGAACGGAACCTGAATATCAAGGACTTGCGAATCCGCTCTGATCATAATTATCTGACATGGCGGGCGACACGGACGCAGACGGATTGGCGCCAACGCTTCAGAACATTCTAGACCAGACGTCTTTAAAGTGGATCTTCGTCGGCGGGAAGGGCGGCGTCGGCAAGACCACGTGCAGCAGCTGCCTGGCCGTGCTTCTAGCGGCGGTTCGCGAGAAGGTTCTTATAATCTCCACGGACCCCGCGCACAATCTCAGCGACGCGTTTCGGCAGAAGTTCACTCGGACGCCGACGCTAGTTAACGGGTTCACGAACCTCTACGCCATGGTACGTACACGAGTAGTGTTTTCTCGAGCAGTGTATGCACGAGTAGTGTTAGCAGGAGTAGCGCCATTGCACGCACGAGTTACACCATGTGTGCAAGTGTTGGTTACTGATAATGGACTTTCACACCACGGTATGCACGCTGATCAACCCTCTTCTTCCGATCCCGCTTTTCTTGGCCCTGGCCGTCGATCCGCAACAGGAGGTGGATCCGACGGTCGAGACCGACGATTTTGACCAGATGGCGGGGCAATTGGCGCAGGCGAGCGGGCTGGGCGGCGCTGGGGGACCGGCGGGGGGGCTGAGCGGGCTGCTGGAGGGCAGCGGCATGGGGAGCGTGTCCGAGCTGGCCGGAGCCATCCCTGGGATTGACGAGGCGATGAGCTTCGGAGAAATGATCAAGTGAGGACCATTGGATTGTGATCCATAAGTTGGGGTCTGATTGATTGCTGGGAGCAGGTAATGGGGGGGAAGGGGGGGGGGGGGGGGAAGGGGGGGGGAAGAGAGAGGGGGGGGTAGGTTGTCGGTTGTTGGTTGGAGGAGGAAAGAGGAGGAGTGGGGAAGAAACGGACTGCTGGCTGGCAGGCAGTAGCATGGGGAGCGTGTCTGACCTGGCAGGAGCCATCCCTGGGAATGTCGAGGCGATGAGCTTCGGATCTTGTAAGGACCGCTGGAATGTGAACGATTGCTGAGGAGGGTGGGGGGGAGGAGGAGGAGGGAGGGCGGGGAAAAGGGGGGGAAATGGGGGGGGGGGGGGGGGGGGGGGGACAGATTGCTGGCAGGCAACGGCATCGGGTTAGTGTCGAACTGGCATGAGTCGTTTCTGGGATTGACTATCCAGTTAGCTTTGACGAAATTATCAAACGAGGCCCATCGCAGGCTCGTGCAAGCAATGGACTAGAGCTGCATAGTGTTTGCCACGGCACCCATGGGGTTTTTTTTTTTAGAATTCTCAAAAGGGCCTTGTGCTCGTTGACACATGCGCGGCTGATAGCTTACTATTACTCCTCCCTCCTTGGGCCCCCACCTCCTGTCGCCCCGTCTCAGACTGGTTCACACCAAGAATTCACGAGTCATGTTCCTTTTTTTGAGGCGCCTCAAAACTAGACTTCTATCACGCTGGTTCAGACCAAGAATTCACGAGTCGTGTTCCTTTTACCGCTTGCTAACTTCGCCATTCCTCATCCCTCTCTCCCCCCATCCCTCAGACTCGTCCAAACGATGGACTACAGCTGCATAGTGTTCGACACGGCCCCCACGGGCCACACCCTGCGGCTGCTGCAGTTCCCCTCCACCTTAGAGAAGGGGCTGGGCAAGCTTATGGCGCTCAAGAACAAGTTTGGCGGCATGATGGACCAGGTGTGTAGTGCGGTGATGAGGGATGTGAAGGTGGATCAGGTGTGCAGGGCAATCAGGTGTCTGCTGCAATTCCCTCCATGCTGGAGCAGGGGCTGGGCAAGCTCATGGCTCTCAGAAACAAGTTTGGTGGCATGATGGACCAGGTGTGCAGTGCGGTGCTCAGGGATGTGATGTGGTGATGGAGTACTTAGGCATCTGGCGTGGTGACCAGGTGTCTGCTGCAGTTCCCCTCCACGCTCGAGAAGGGGCTGGGCACGCTCATGGCCAGGCAAGAACAAGTTCGGAGGCATGATGGACCAGGTGTGCAGTGCGGTGATGAGGGTTTGTTATATATAGGGAGCGAAGGACGTGGTGAGATTCCTCTTGTCTCGACCTGCACTCTCTTTTCTCCCATGCTTCGTGTATATGCAAACATGTATGTATGTGTGCATGCATACATGTTTTTGTACAGGTCCCTAGGATGATGGGGGTGGGGGTGGGCATGGTAACATGGTAACAGCTCGCATGTTTCACTGTCCCGATGCTTCTCTCCTCCCCCCTGTTCGGCATGCAAAGGATCTGCTCCTTTCTCCCCCAGGTCTTGCACATGATGGGCGCCGGGAGGAGTTTGACGAGGATGCGGTGACGTTCTTGTTATCTAATGTCCCAATACCTCCTTCCCATGCGTGTTTTATGCATGCTCCTTTCCGTACGAGCAGGTCTCGTCTCGCGCATGATGGGTGCGGGGGAGGAGTTTGGCGAGGACGTGGTGACGTGGTGGTCGTGTAATGTCCCGTCACTGTCTTCCCGTGCTTGCTGCGTGCATGCTTCTCTCGGTGCGAGCAGGTGCCGCGCATGATTGGGGCCGCGGGGGAGGAGTTTGGGGAGGATGTGGTGACGTCCTTCCTGTCTCAATCTTTGGCATGCTTCGTGTTTGCTTTTATGTGCATGCATGCATCTGTCTCTTTCTACAGGTCTCGCGCATGATGGGTGTGGGCGAGGAGTTTGGGGAGGATGTAGTGACGTCGAAGCTGGAGGGCATGAAGAGCGTCATTGAGAAAGTCAACACGCAGTTCAAAGACCCGGTGAGTCAACGCAAGTCAACACGCAGTTCAAGGACCCGGTGAGTCAACGCAAGTCAACTCGCAGTTCAAGGACCCGGTGAGTCAACGCAAGTCAACACGCAGTTCAAGGACCCGGTGAGTCAACACAAATCAACACGCAGTTCAAAGACCCGGTGAGTCAACGCAAGTCAACACGCAGTTCAAGGGCCCGGTGAGTCAACGCAAGGCAACTCGCGGTTCAAGAACCCGGTGAGTCAACGCAAGTCAGTTCAAAGACCCGGTGAGTCAACGCAAGTCAACATGCAGTTCAAAGACCCGGTGAGTTAACGCAAGTCAACACGCAGTTCAAAGACCCGGTGAGTCAACGCAAGTCAACTCGCAGTTCAAGAACCCGGTGAGTCAACGCAAGTCAACGCGTGGTTCAAAGACCCGGTGAGTCAACGCAAGTCAACACGCAGTTCAAAGACCCGGTGAGTCAACGCAAGTCAACACACCGGGTCAAAGCATGCTCTTGTTGGTCTGTGTGCACTCATTGGGGCTGCTCATTGAAATCTCTTCCTCCTCTTCCTCCATTCCCCTGTGCGTGTTGCATTGACCCCGCCAGGACATGTCCATGTTCGTCTGTGTGTGCATCCTCTCGCTCTATGAGACGCAGCGGCTGGTGCAACAACTGCCCTGAGTCTCAAGCCATCTCCCTTTCACTGCGCCCGCCACCACGACACGACACCATTCAGTTTTGAGACGTTTCAAAACTAAACTACTTAATCACTATGCCCGCCAGCCACCACGGCATGACTCTGTTCGTGTGTGTGAGCAACCAGGCGAGCGTAAACCATTTTTATATCTCTGCACCCTCCCCTTTCCCTGTCCTTCCATCAGGACATGCCCACGTTCGTCTCTGTGTGCATTCCTCTCGCTCTTCAAGACCCTAGTGGTTGGTGCTCGAGCTGAACTTCTGTGTCTCGTGCCATCTCGCTTCCCCTGTGCCCCCCCACCAGGACATGACAACGTTCGTGTGTGTGTGCATTCCCGAGTTCCTCTCCCTCTACGAGACCGAACGGCTGGTGCAAGAACTGGCTCGGTTTGAAATTGACACGCACAACATCGTGATCAACCAAGTGCTGTTCCAGGAGGAAGGTGGGTCTCTGTGGGTCTCGGAGGAAGGTGTTGCTGTTGAGTGCTGTCGTAGCGCGCATTCGTGGTATGGTGGGGTTTTAGGTAGACACGCACAACATTGTGATCAACCAAGTGCTGTTCCAGGAGGAAGGTAACTTGATTCTGTCAGGGTGTCACACTGCGGTGCAATGCGGTTTGAGATTGTCACACACAACTGTGTGATCGACCAAGTGCTGTTTAAAGAGGAAGGCGAGATGCCCTCTTGGTGAGTGCCTGTTCTGTTCCTGGTGACTGCTGTCATAGAGCGCATTGGTGGTACGGTGGGGTTTGAAATCGACACGCACAACATAGTCGTCAACCAAGTGCTGTTCCAGGAGGAAGGTGACATTGGTGCGATAAGAGTGGTTGAGTCCAAGGAAGTAATCACTGGCGTGATTCTCTCCTTTCTTCACCGTTTGAGTCGCCTCAAAAGTCACCTCTTTTCCTCCCATGCTCTCACTCCTCCCTCCCCTCTTCTCCTGCTCTTTCTCCTCCTCCTCCCTCTCTTGTCGTCCACACCACCCCTTCTCCCCCTATCTCCTTCACTCCATCCTCCACCCCATTAGTAAAAGCTTCTAGCGGCACGAGTGAAGATGCAGCAGAAGTACCTGGACCAGTTCAACGAGCTGTATGAGGACCTTTTCAATACCTTATGCCTCCCAATTCCCTCCCGTCTTTCCCTCCCCCCCCAAAAAACCCCCTCCTGTCTCCTCCCCCCCCCCCAACCCCCTCCCTATACTCTTTCTCCCCCAGCCGGTGAGTCAAAGCTTCTAGCGGCGCGAGTGAAGATGCAGCAGAAGTACTTGGACCAATTCAACGAGCTGTATGAAGACTTTAACATCACGCGGTTGCCATTGCTGGAGGAGGAGGTGAGGGGAGTGTAGTGAAGTGTGTGTCGGTGCTTGAGAGTTAGGGTGTGACGATGCAGCAGAGGTACTTAAACCATTTCTACAAGCTGTATGAGGACAGAAATCATGCAGTTACCGGGGTGGAGTGTGTGGGGTTGGGTGTGGGTGGTTGGAACGAGCTGTATGAAGACTTCAACATCACACGGTTGACTTTTGAGTCGACTCAAAAGTCATCTCGAGCTGTATGAAGACTTCAACATCACACGGTTACCAGTGCTGCAGGGGGAGGTGAGTATTTATGTGTGCGGATGTGATGTATGCATCATTCGTCTGCATGTATGTGTGCGGATGTGATGTATGCATCATTCGTCTGCATGTATGTGTGCGGATGTGCGGATGTGCGTGTGTCTGTGTGCGTGTCTGTGGGTATGTGCATCTGTGTGTGGGTGTGATAGGATGCACTCATACTCCCATAAATCTTGCACCCCATCCCCACACTCCAGCCAGGTGCGAGGAGCAGACGCCCTCAAATCCTTGGCATGTGTACACCCCCCCCACATCATGGGCGGCATGTTGTATGTGCATTTCGAGGAGTGGAATCGGTTCTCGGTGACTGGATCCGCGTTCATCTTGCAACCCATCCCCACACTCCACATGCCAGGTGCGAGGCGTGGACGCGCTCAAATCTTTTGGCAAGCACCTGCTCACGCCCTACATGCCCCGGCCAGTGCCACCTGTCGCATCACGATTGGTGGAGCTGGAGCAGGAGGTGAAGGACTTACGGCAGAAGCTAGAGGAGGCACAGAAGGAGCTCGCTAAACACAAGTCGTGATTCTTGAAACAATGTGTTGTGGTATGCCTAGTGTGGATCAGAAAAAGCAGTGGCGCTCATGCCAGGGATGTACTGGTACAAGCTGGCATGTTTTATGCCGATATGATATACATGGTGAACTACACCCTTCTCAGACCCTCTCCGAAGCTTAAAAGTTGCAGAGCCTTCAATTTCCGTGCATCATATCTTACATACTTGGATCCACTCTTCGGCTGGAGCACAATGTTAGGTACAGGTACAAAGCATGCAGCACGCAGCCCCTCCAGCTACACATGTACAATCTAGTGCCTATTCGTTGCTCTCATCAGGCCCTGGCTACTTGAAAGCTTGATATTGCCTCTTGCAGCTGGGCCTAAGCGAATGCACAACCACCTATTTACAGCGGGATGGGGCATGCACAAACCAATCCAAAGCTGCAGCAGCAGCCTAACCCAATGCTACGCTGATCTGCTGATCTTCCCTACCACACCACGACAGCCTGACCTGTCACAAAAGGCCTGTTGCAGACGAGGGAGATATCAGAAGCATGCAGGATTTAGGGAGTACGGTAGGCTGATCTTCACGAGAGAGGTCTGTTGAAAACAATTATTCCCAGCAGCAGAATCACCAGCACAGCCACTGCAGGCACCACCGCCTCTCCTTCGCGTGTCTCTGTCTCATGACCATCTCCCAAGACTTCCCCGCCCACACAGCTTCCACCACCCTCCTCCTCCTCCTGCTCCTTCGCCATGTGACCATACTCAATAGTAGCAGCCGCAGCTCTGTTGGTTTGATGCCACTGATAACCATTCTCCTCCCGTTCCTCTCTCTCGCTCTCCTCCTCCTCCTCACTGCTCTCGCTCATCCGTTCCAGGGAGTCATGGTGGTCCGCGCCCAGCAGGTTGAGCAGGGAGTGCCAGGCGGAGCTGTGCAGGCTGGACAGCTGGTCTAGCAGGTGCGACACCACTGACACCACGGATGGCGATGGGGGGGAGGCGGGTGACGCTGCTGATGCTGGTGATGGTGGTGATGGTGGTAATGCTGGTGATGGTGGTGATGCTGGTGATGGTGGTAATGCTGGTGATGGTGGTGATGCTGGTGATGGTGGTAATGCTGGCATGGGGGTTTGATAGGAGCGGGAGACTCCAGTAGCTGCTGGTACTGATAGCGTAGGCAGTGATGGCGTTGCTTTTGCCAGTGCGGATACTGAGGCTGTGGCTGCTGCTCGGTTGACAAACCCCCGTTTGACCTCTGGTGGTACCGTCGCAATGATGGTTGCTGCTCCTGCTCCTCTCACTGCTCCTGCTGCTGCCGCAGCCACTACTGCTGTTGCAGTATCTATTCCTGCTGCTGCTGCTGTTCCTACCCTTGAGGAAGCTTCACACGGCCAGGCCTCAGCTGTTCTCACAGACGATACGGGATGGGGAGAATAAACGGAGAATACGGAGCAAAACGGTAGAGTGTGGGGACTCAAAGAACGCACCCAAAAAAAAGAAAAAAAAACTGAAGACTTTTCCTGTCTCTCGACAGAATTATCGCCACAGAACACGCACTTACCGTTACCACAGGGAAGCAGGGCAACTGGCCGACCCCCTGGTAGCTTCCTGACTCGATCGTCATCACTGCTGCCTCTTCTGCTGCTTCCTGCCCTGCCCCCCTCACCGCCCCCTCTGCCTGTTTCGGGTCCTTCCCATAGAGCATTACTCAACACTCTGGCCCCACTATTGTCATCAGCAGTATCTGTGGCAGCGGCAGCAGCATCATCACATTCAGCAGCATCCGCATCAACAGCATTGGCCTCAGTAGCAGCAGCAGTAACAGTAACAGTAACAGTAGGCGCAGGTACTCTGCTCCTCCTCCTGCGGCAGATGAGCTTCTGAACGTCGGGGTTGCTGCCTATGGCCGCCCACACTGCAGGGTCGCGTGCCACTGACGTCACTGCACTCTAAAAAGAGAACACAGAGAAAGCAAAATACGCAAAAGACAGCCTTTTACATTGAGTTGAAGGTCGCTATGAGTACCTCAACAAAACATTGCTGCCGAAGGCCGCCCACGCTGCAGGGTCGCAAACAACTAACGTCACTCCGCCCTTGGAGGAAAGGTAAAAGGAGGAAAGAGAAAAGAGATGACTCCTCTGGTGCTGAAATGAAAAGGGTGAGTCAGAGACGGAGCCTGCAGCCTTGCAATCTTAGGGGAGACCTCCAGCTCATGAAAAACATATGTTGTTACATGTAAAAACCTCTCCATGTAAAAATATATGCTGCTACATGTAAAAACCTCTCCATGTAAAAACATATGCTGTTACATGTAAAAACCTCTCCATGTAAAAACATATGCTGTTACATGTAAAAACCTCTCCATGTAAAAACATATGCTGTTACATGTAAAAACCTCTCCATGTAAAAACATATGCTGTTACATGTAAAAACCTATTCATGTAAAAACATATATTGGCAAGGAGAGGTTTGAAAAGCCTCAAAGCACCAACCTGTGATTCTGCACCTCAAGAAAACAGACCTGCAAGGCCTCAAAGCACGCCACGCAACACCTACCATCAGGTCGAAACCCTCAAGCCCTACCTGCAGGTCCGCATCCCTGGAGAACATCTCGAGCGCTTGCGAAACCACCAGGACACGCCTGTCCCGCCCGCCTTCCTGCACGGCCCTTCTGCGGACATCTGCCACCAGCTGATTGGCCGACACGGAATGGCTGCCAGGAAACAAAAGCGGGAGAAAGGAGGAAGAGCTGTGTGTGTGGACGCGGGGAGAAAAAAAAAGGGGGAGGGGGGGAGGAGGAGGGGGGGAGGGATGCGGGGACAGGGGCAGGGGGGACACAGCATGCACGGACCTTCTGCGTACAGTCGGCACGCGGGGCAACAGTCGGCAAGGGTACGGCGTTGGGGAGGAGGTAAGACCAACAGTGGCCATATCATTGGTCAACAACCCGATTTGTGAGCCAGCATCCTTGTGTCTGCACTGTTCCTCACCTTCCTCCAACCCTTACTCCATTCCCCGCAAATGATGTTTGAGTCGACTCAAGAATCCATTCCCCGCAAATCTGTGAGTCCCGGTCGGTCCCTGACCTGCCTTGGAGCAGCTGCTGCTTCATAAAGACGTGGTCTCACATCTCTCAAACAGCACGCCGCACTGCCTTCTGCTCACATATCAGACCACGTGTTTATGAAACCACCCAGCTACAAATCGCCTTTGAGCTGTGAGCCATCAATCTCACCATTCTTCAACAATTTCCAACAAGGGTGACAAATCCCACCTGGGAAGCGACTGGATGCTCGCTTGCAGCTGCCTCGCCGCGTCAGTCACCTCGGATTCCGACGGCGCCGGGCCTATACGCAGCGCATCCCCTCCTGGCGACGGTGCCGGGCCTACTCGCAGCGACTCCCCTCCTACTAGAGGCGGCGACGGTCTCCCGGACTGTTCCAATGCAACTAGGGCGCGTTCAGGGAGTTGCCCGGGATGCGTCAAGTGCTCGGCTGATTCGGGGTGGACCACGCGCTCGCGAGCAGCAAGCTCGGTGATCCAATCGTCACGTAGGGATTCGGACACGTCCGCACAGAGGTCGCCACCGAGATCATCGGTGAGATACTCTCTTTCATTGTCCCTGGCGTCCTCCCTGGGATTACTCCTGAAATCCTCTCTGCGATCATCCCTGAGGTCCTCGCACAAGTCCCAGTCTTCCTCTCGCGCTGACACGGCTGGAGCTTGAGATCCCTGAGAGGGAGAAAAACGGGAGACGGATTAGGAATGAAGGACATGAAGGATGCGAGAGAGCGTGTGCTTTTCGGAGTCGGACTGATTTGAGCCAGGGAGAGGTGAGCTAGTAGCTCGTCCTGAAGGTTGCGTTTTTCTTTCTTTCTTTTTTTCTGTATTTTTATAAGCTCACCTGATAGTGGAGTCTTCCCACCGCCTCCATTGGATCAGATGAGTGCGGTTACGATCTGATGTCGTGAATCCGACGCTTGCAACCGCCACTACCTCCCGGCGAGAGAATTCTAATTCAGTCGGAAGGACGTGTGACTACTAACATGTCCTCGCCGTACAGCGCGTTGAAGGCAAACCTAGTGTAAGACCTCCTAAAGTCCACGGCCAAGATAACATACGTTGTTCGCGCAACGCAGTGCCGAACTACTGGAGGTCCCAACTAGTTCAAACGCGGAATGAAACAGCAGCTCCCAAGGACGGGAACCACCACATGGCTCCGGCATTCGGAAGGTTGAAATATGGGTACAAAACAGCACGCACAAGCTGCTGTAACCCTGACGCAAAATTTCCTGGTCTGGTTGCTCAAACTCTTGTTCCATAAACTGCCCGTTCACATATCCCTTCCCTTCGAACGAAGGGAAGCACCCTCCAGAGGGGGTAGTGACAGGTTCCCCTTTTCCCAACTTCTACAAGTTGTTAGGGCGGCCTGAAGTACCCTTGGGGTTTCACAAAGCATAGCGGCATTACACTCCTGCAGTTCCTGAACTCCAAGAATTCCGCCAATCCGAGTCATTCCCGCGCAGCCTTCGGTGTGCATGTTTGCAAACCAACCAATAGCGAGCGCCCGTCTGGCACGATAAAAATCACTTCGACAGAGCACCAACCAGAGCTCTCTACAGTGTTCCTCGTGTTTCGCTCGTGTGCCACGTCCATCAGACAAGCCCCCATCCACCTTTCTCCATACTCCATACAGCACGCTGCACGAATTACTCGACTATACATAGCCACTAACAACACTGACAAAACAAGTACATTAACACTAAACACCTTGTAATAGGAGAACAGTTTCACCTAAATGATCGTCCCAGATGGGATGGTTGCATTCCTCAACACAGTTACAATGCCCTTGTTGATGACGAAACCAGCATCCTCCTGTGCGGACTCTTGGACACCGTCCTTGTTGATAATCTGCAAGAGGCGACCATTCACGCAGAAGCACGTGGAAATCAGTCTCCGGATAAGCATGAGAGAGCGAGCAACCCCTTCTGACCGTGAAGGGTAGATAGACACACAATCAATCTCTTACATGCACGTTGTCCCCTATCCGCGCATTCTTGTCCAGGATAGCCCCCTTGATGACTGAATTTTGCCCAACGCCGATGGGCACCCGCCCAGACGCAAGTATCTTCTCCAGCTCATCCGCATTCTGCAGATGCGACCATGTGGATCCGCATTTGCAAGGTTCAGAAAGAGATTTGAACAAATAGGGAACTCTGATGAAACAGGTTGAGATGAAAGAATTTGAGCCAATCCCCAGGGGAGGAGTTGGCACATGGGTCACATACCTCATAGTAGTCCGCTCCCAGCAGCAAGCTGTCGTGAATGGACGACCCGGCACCGACTATTGACCGAAGGCCAACCACAGAGTCGTGGATGGCACATTCCTGGAGTCAGCAACGGGAAGAGGAGAGGTAATTAGGTAATTAGCACAGGTACGCAGCCAGTGAACACAGGTGACAAGATCCTAAACCAATGTGGGGGCAGGAGCAGGGAAAAGCAACCATGATGCATGCATCGATTGTGAGAAAGGGGTCGAAGGTTAAAAGGGTATGGAATGCCATACCTGCATCTGCATCTGCATCTTTTGCTGATGAGCGAGGGGTATGGAATGTCGTACCTGCAAGATGCAGCCCTCACCAATGACACTGCGATGTCACTTTCGAGTCGACTCAAAAGTCAACTTGAGTCAACTCACAAGTCACCTCAAAATGTCGTACCTGCAGGATGCAGCCTTCGCCAATGACGCTGCCAGCAATGTCCACGTCATTCAGCTTGGAGGGCGGCAGAGAGCGCGACTGAGTGAAAATGGGAGCAGAGCGGTCATAGAACCTGAAAGCGTTCCAAATCACACAGGTGAGAGGGAGAGAATCCAAGTAACTGTTACGGTTCACGACGTGCTACCGCCACTTGGGAGAGACAAGCATGAAAGAGCTCGAGAAGGGAGGGTGTGTGTGGAGCGTGTCTATGAGTGCTGCATCGTAATGGCAGAGCTCTCACGTGAAGGGAGGGTTGGGCTTGGTGAGCCTGAGGTTGGCGTGGTAGAAGGCATCGATGGACCCAATGTCCTCCCAGTACCCGTCGTAGATGTACGCTTGCACCTGGTGCATGTGAAACACGAAGAGGGGGAGAGGAGAGGGTGAAGCAGGGGAATGAGGGGGGTGTGGCGTGGGGGCGGGGGGAGAAGGGGGGGGTTGGGGAGGGGATGCACCACACTCCTTATCTCATATTCAGTTGCCGGAGTTGAACAAAGGATTCGTTGCCTCACATTGGAGCCATTGGCACATGCAGCAGGGATGACCTCCCTGCCAAAGTCGCTGGCGTCTGGGAGTTGCTCCAGCAGCAGCCGGTTCCTGAATACTAGAAAGCAAGAAACCCAAGTGAAATTACATGTACATCAGCTCACCTTGGAGCCGTTGCCACACGCAGCGGGGATGAACTCCCTGCCGAAATCGTTGGCGTCTGGAAACTGCTCCAGCAGCAGGCGATCCTTGATGCTTGAAGAGGAAAACAAAGTGCTAACAAGGCAGAATAGCTCACCTTGGAGCCGTTTGCACAAGCAGCAGGGATGACCTCCCTGCCGAAATCGTTGGCGTCGGGGAACTGCTCCAGCAGCAGGCGAGGCAGGGCGTCCCTGCTGATGACGTAGATCCCCATGGACGCAATGAACGGCCGCTCCGCCGCCTCCCGGTCATCCAGACCCACACTCGTGGTGTCCACCTGGCATAGGGGAGGTTCAAGATGAAGAATTGGAGTCGATGTGGGAGTCCCTGCTGATGACGTAGATCCCAATGAATGCAATGAACGGCCGCCTCTGCTGCCTCCTGGTCAACCAGACCCACACTCGTGGTGTCCACCTGACGGAATGAAGGTCAAATTGGGAGAAAGTCAGCAAGAACCTGCAAGCATTGTGTTCTGTAAAGGTAAGGGGGCGATTATGCTGCCATGAAAGGTCATTCCCGGGAAAAAGTCCTGCTTTCCTGATTCAGAAACAATTCTTAGGTGATTTTTGAGTCGACTCAAAAGTCATGCTTTCCTTATTCAGAAACAATTCTTCAAGCTGCCCTGTCACATCTTGCAACCAATGGATACTATTTTTCCGTACCTTCATCCTGTCGAGCTCTGCTCCCTGAGGCTTCTCCGCGAATTCAATGACACGGCCGTCGTCATCCACCTTCATCAGACCGAAGGACGTCGCACGCTCCCTGGAGAACGCAAGCACACAACAACCAACAAGGAGCGTGAGACATCGCGGGAGACATCGCGGGAGACATCGCGGGAGACATCTACGCCTCAGGGCTTCTTTTGAGGCGCCTCAAAAGGAGCGTGAGACATCGCGGGGGACATCTACGCCTCAGGGCTTCTCCGCGAATTCAATGACACGGCCGTCGTCATCCACCTTCATCAGACCGAAGGACGTCGCGTGCTCTCTGGACAAGACACGCACACGACCCGCAAGGAGCGTGAGACATTTACACTTGAAGGACGCGAGTCCGCCAGGTAAGGAACGCCTTGAGAATCTTCCCTCACCTGTCGACAGGAATCGCTGCAACGGTGATGTCAGCGCCGGCCCTGCGGTGGCACTGGATTATCCTGCGGTAGTCGAACCGGTACAGCTGGTCGCCCGCCAGGATCAGGTACTCCTGGGGGTTGTGGTCCTCCAGCAGCCATATGTACTGACGAACCGCATCTGCTGTTCCCTGCATGAGGAGAAATCCAAAAAAACCATGAAATCTAAAATCGGGAAGAACCAACCATGAATCGGTAGAGCTGGTCCCCCGCCAGGATTAGGTACTCCTGGGGATTGTGATCCTCCAGCAGCCATGTGTACTAACGCACCGCATCCGCCGTCCCCTGTATTCGGAAAAGTACTATGAATCCCAAAATCAGGGTGAATCAACCCCTGATCTGGACGACTCTTAGAAAAAGGGCTTACTTTACGGAGTCGAAATTGTGATGCTGGAAAGGAATTTGCTGACTGGCGGTGGTTGTTCTCTGCAGTATTCACTCAGGGCCTTGTCGTACTATCACAGAGGACTTCTAAGAATGATTTCCTAGAAGTGGATAGGCTCTTACCTAAAACCAATTCGGATACCTGAAACCGGTTCGAATCCATACCTGGAACCAATCCGAATACATACCTGGAACCAGTTGGGATTGTCGGGGCTCTGCTGCGCCGCGAGCACTTCCACGAAGCCCTTGCTTTGATAGCCGTTTAAGCACGGCGCGTACGCCGTGAAGCAGTGACGGTTGAGCGACGCTGAATTGACCTGCAGAGAGTCGTTGGTATACGAAAAGAAGGAATTTGATTACTTACAACGATAATTGTTGGTTATCTACAGCGGACGCTATCGTCGGCGCTAAAAAAAAGGCTCTATTTTTCTTGCTCCGATACTGCAACGTTTTAAAGAGCCGCCGTAACGATAACTAACATACCTGAGTGAGAACGTAAATCCGATCGATGTCGCTGTTGAGGCAGTTGCTAACGGGGATGTCGATCAGCCTGTAATTCGCAGCCAGAGGCACCGCAGGCGTTGCTCGGTCCTTGGTCAACGGGTAAAGCCGCGCGCTTGCGCCACCGCCAAGAATGACCGAGAGAACACTCTGCGTTACAGCAGCAAATAGAAAAACTATTTAATCGCAAGAGATGTAGAAGAGTAATGTCATAGTTGGGATAAAAAAACCACACATGAAGCGATGAATTTCAACAGACAAGGACGCACCTTGTTCGGCTCGGGATCAAGGCAGAAATCAGTGAACGTTTCCGAGTCGGAAATAGCTCGCGGAGTCACCGGCCTCTTCAGAATTTCAAATTGTCTGGTTCCGATCTTCTGCTGGATTGAAAGAGGTTGTGAGACGGCACTGCTCCAAGAAACCTTGGCACTAGTCGGAGCAGCAGCAAGTCCCTGTTGACACCGCGAATTGGCGAACTGCTTGTTATGCTGACTTGCTCTCGTAAGGCACACGCCCGTAGAAGACTTTACAGCAGCCATGTGGCTAGCTACCATGGAAGAGCAACCGTTTTTGATAACTGAGGACAGATTCAAGGAATTCTGGGAATCCTTTCGACTTAGCAAGGAGCTTTGTGGGATCTTGAATCTTTCCAGCAGTGGAAGTAACTTGAGCTCAGAAACTCGCGTGCTATGAATTTGGAAGTTCGCTTGCAGATGGATTTTCCAGTACCCCCTTTGTTTGCTCGCAAACGCTCTCCAGCGTTTGCGACGAGAGACTGCTGTGCCGATGCGACGGTTCGCGACACATGGCTACTGGAAGAAGCTCACGCAATTCGCTGAAATTGTTTCTCTGCGAAGATTTCTTCGCGAAAGGATCTCAAGCATTCCAGTCAAGAGCAAGGAGATTCTGAGGTTATTGGCGCGCCTCGGCGAGTGTGGGTCCTTGATTGGGGGAGACCGACGTGGGGGATGGCGTGGACAATTCATGGTGACCATCCACATAACGCCTATGACCTGGCACATGAGTCAATAGCGCAGCAAGTTGGCGCAATTTATACGGCCTCCCAGAAGGACTCATCTCGTCAAACTTCAGTGCATTAAGATAACTCAAGTAAGAAAAACACGTGACTTTATCAAGCCATATTTGATGTTACCACTTTACGTAATTCTTATTTCTCCACGCACGTTGTCTGTATTACGCTATTCCTCATGGCACGCTGTGTTAGCTAGCTAGCAAGCCTCAATCAGTGGCATTGGATTCTTGCCCTTCAACCTGAAGCTGCCATGCCACATTCAGCTGGGCAGTTCATTCTGCAGGCCCACTCAATGAAACGTTTTCGCACAACCTAAGTACCCATAATGACCCTCCCTGCCAGCTCATCAAGATATCTGTATACATTTCCACTGAAGGTAGAAGGCAGCCTCGTGATGACAGTGTCTTTCATTGCTCAACTACTTCCATAATCACATCGCACATTAAAAAATATAGCCTGGGAGTTGGGATGGGAAACTGATGTCATACCATTCTGCTTGCTTGTCAATAGTCCAACGGACCAGAGAACACATGAAGAGGACACACACTTCCGTTCCGTTCATAGAATGACTGATGCAGGAGCAAGGGGCCTTAGATTTACAAAAGAAAGGGAGGACCCCCTCGTTTTGTGAAAGGCTAGCCCATGGCATACTTGGCTGTCCAAGTACGTGCAGTTGCTTCATACTTTTGCCTGTCTGTCTTATACATGTGGGCGATTTCAGGAACCAGAGGATCATCTGGGTTCGGATCCGTCAACATGGAGCAAATCGACAAAAGAACCTGCCGAGGACGAAAACACAAGCGTTAAGACAGCATCGCAGAGAGTGACAACATCGAACAAAAGGCTTAGCCGAATACCTTAGAGATGGTCAAGGCGGGACTCCACTGCTCCTTCAAAATGTCCAAACAAATGCTCCCGTTACTGTTGATGTTGGGATGAAACACCTTCGTCCTAAAGGCGACCTGCAAGATTGAAGCGTAACGTCCCGACAAAAGATAATGTTAGAAGGCGACACTCTTCATACGAAATGACCTGGATTAACGGCTGAGACTGTCAAAGGAGACATAGTATACGGTACTGCTGAGACTGTCAAAGGAGACATACTATAGTAGCTACGAAGACAAAAAAGATGACGAATATGATAATATAGAATCAACTTTGCCATTCAACATGTCTGCTGCCAGATCGTACCTTGGGAGGCTTAAAAGGGTAGTCGGGAGGAAAGTGTATGGTAACCAGAAAGACGCCACCGGCGTAAGGACTATCTGGAGGACCCATAATTGTTGCTTGCCAGTGAAACATGTCTTCGGCGACTGGGCCAGCACTGCATGATGTAGGAGGATCTCTCTGAAGATCTTTCAGCTCCTTAAGAATCCTTTTCGAGGCCATCGTGGGCCCTTCCCCAGCCGAAGCTAAACTTAAACCTGGCAATACAAAGCGATGACGAGACAAAAGCGAAGTAGTCGGCTACGAGATACGTTGAAGCCTGCAGGTCCAAGCTTAGGAGCTAGCAGATCCTACGGATGGGGGCTTAGGTTGCAGGAAGGAGGGGTTGGAGGGAAAGCTTGGAAGGCTGGGAAGGATGAGGAATTGAACTGGCTGGAGGAGCCTTGACAATAGTCGCAGAGCCTTCTGCTGTCGCCAGCGGCGGATCTGACACCCACCGTGCACAGTTCACGCACTAGATGACTGGCTGTGTCATGCGACTTTCAGGGTTCGGTGATGATGACCGTGGGAAACTGCATCGCAGGACTACCTGGAAGGGTTCTGCGAGAGTGCTTCGCCAAGCAAAAATGCCCACGCTACACACATCCAGAATGATCCAGCCTGCTGCACCTCAAGGATCAGAAGATAGCCTTACGCAAAAACAGAAACCGAAAGTACAATCGATTAGACCACAACATAACTGATGGCCAATGGAATAAAGAAAGTGATATGCTACGTAGGAAAGAGGAGTGAGGAAAAAGTCTCGGTTGTTTGCAATCCTATTCCACGACTATATAATCAACATGTTGAAGTTGTCAAGTGAGCTATGAAGACTTGTTTGCCCTATAATGATAAAATTCATACAACGGCATGTACACAAGCAACTATCATGTCATTGTGCATCCCTACATTTTACATCGTCCCCACATCCAGCACTGAAGATTCCCAAGTGCAAGTTTGCAACAACCGTGCCGCCAAGTCCCTGAGAACCTTCTTCTTGTGCATCCTAAACCGAACGGCCGTGATTCGCTCCTCCACCATTGGCAACAATGACTCGCACCAAGCATCCAACCTCCCCCCTTGTCGCCCCATAGCTTCACAAGATCGAAGATCTTGGAGCACAGCCTCATCCTCTTCCATGGTTGTCGGAAATTGCTTCAATCGTGCCTCTACAAGAAGGCGGACGGTCTCGGCTGCGGCTCGCAAGGCTGGTATGAGGGAGGAGCCGATTGGCAGCAGGTGGTGGCAGAAGGTGTTGGAGAGAGCCCACCCATAATGGATGGCAGCGCTGGCAAGGGAGGAGTAGTCCGGGTCAGGAAAGGCTGGAGGGGTGGGAGGAAAGAGGGAGGGGGGGGGGACGGAGGAAGCAAGGATTTAGGTTGGAGTGGGTATGAGAAAATATCTGATCAGCAGCAGATGATGGTAGGAGGTGGATTTTAGAGCCCAGCCATAACAGATGGCAGCGCTGGCAAAGTGTACATGAATGATCATATATCAACACACCATCGGACTGGTCTCAGCCACTCACATGCTGACACGTGGATGGATTGCCAGCTGGCAGCGAGGGCAGCGAGGAGATTCGGCTCCACAATCCCCCCTGCCCACACCGACACCCCCACTCCCTCGTCCTCCTCCTTTACAAGCACCTCCTTTACAATCTCCCTGCTTTTGCCACTGTAGCACCGATCCTTTCTCGCCCCGACACCCTCATTCAGATCCCCCTCAACCCCCCTCTCATCTCTTGTACTCTTCATCTCCCTGCCCCCCTCCCTCCGCTCTATCCGCTGGCGCAGCTGCAGCTGAGGAAGCCCATTCCCCTCAGCATACGCCCCCCCTGCTTCCCTTGCCTTCACCACCTCACCCACCGCCGCTGCTGCTGCCCGCCACATAGCACGCTCCAACCCTTCCGTCCCTCCCTGCCACCGTACCATATGCCTATCAACCCCTTTGTATCCTTCCCTACCCTTCCCCGCAGCCTGATCATCATTTACTTGGGAGAATAGCAGAGAGTCCTCGCCCCACACACGGAGTAACCCCTCCCTCAGATCCACCTCCCCTTGACGAACCTCTCCACTGCTTCCCCCCCTCATGCTTCTCCCCGCACCCCGTTCCTGCTGCTGGCGGCACACCACCGAGGCTACGGTTCGGATGGCTCGGGAGAGGTTCGGGAAGAGCCGGACGTGGTCATAGGGATTGTCGTCGAGAACAAAGCCATAGCCCAGCAGCAGGTGGTGGTTGGGCTTGTACCCGTACACTGTGAACAGCTCTGCGCCCTTTGGAACATCTTCCCTAGCATAGAAGTCAAAGCTGCTCTGATGAACCTGGTAGGGGATTATGAGGGGGGGGTGGATGATACATAGAGATTGTCTGGCAGCACCGAGGAAGGCAAAGCCCAACAGCAGGTGGTGGTTGGGCTTGTACCCGTACACTGTGAACAGCTCTGCGCCCTTAGGCACACTCTCGCTGGCATAGAAGTCAAAGCTGCTCTGATGCACCTGATGGGGGATCAAGCGGGGTCGATTACATGAAGAGATTATCAAGTGCTCACCTTGGTTGCACTCTTCACCTGTACATTGCATTGTTTTGAAATGTCTTAGCACACCTGGAATCGATCATTATTGATACTTTGTTACACTGCTATGCAATGCATCATAGTATGCTATGGGATATTGTACTGTATAAAGTTATACTATACGACATTGTATGCTACAGAGTTATATTATTCTACAATAAATTAGTAAAATGGGATCACCATCAAATCGCATAACTGCACACTATTGTGACACATCTCAACACCCACCTCATACTGTGCGTGTGGTGCACCCGCACTTACCTTATACTGTGCGTGTGGTGCACCCACGCTGACCTTATACTGTGCGTTGTGTGGGTGGTTGTGGTCGATCAGCTCGGCAATGGGCACCAGTGCCATGGGCTCGCCAACAAACCGCCGCCGTTCAGACGGAGGCAGGGCCAGCAGCTGCTCCAACATGCCCCCCCTTCCCCTCCCTTGCTCCCCTCCTCTGCCCCCCTCTTGCCCCCCCTCTTGCTCCTGGGAAAATCTTGACGCGGCACCATCGTCACCATGCCTGTCAGCATCAGGCTCGGCGGAGGTTCGGGGGTTAGGTGCGGGCGTGGAGAAGGCTCGGGAGTTCATGATGGCAAGAGCCCAGAGGAAGTCGTGGAGCGAGGCAAAGGCGATGGCTGGGGGGCGGCATAGTCTGTACTGTTGTTCGTAGTACTGGCGAACCATGCGCACCTGGGGGGGTGTGTGGGGAGGGAGGGTGGAGATCAAAGGAATAGATGTGTATGAGAGGTGGTTGTTGAACTTAGGAAAACGGGACTGCGAAAATAGGAAATGTTTAAAAGAAACAATTGATTTTTTATTCGGGGGGGACTCTTCTCTTGCGCGCACTCGTTCCACAAATGAGGGTGACTGTAGCTCAGCCAGCGTGGCGTTATCAAAGAAGTATGGCAGAGGAACATAAGCAGGCAGGATCTGCAGGTACGGCCACCACTCCGAGCCTCGCCCCCGAGCCTTCTCCCGAAGCAGCCACGCAGCTCCGGCGGCGAGGGTCCACACAGGGTTGGCGTAGGGCGCTGCTTCCTCTGCCATGGTGTCGGTTGACACCCAAAGAGCTCGAGGGATGGAGAGAAGGAGCTGACCCTTCTTCTTAGACTGGCCTGCTACTACCGTGAGCTGCTTCCTGGGGTGAAGGAACATAGTCCAAGCCAAAGGGAAAGAAAGGGAGCGGTGGGGAGAGTAAGAGACGGTTGGGACTGCTGTGTAGGGCGCTGCTTCCTCTACCATGGTGTCGATGGAGACCCAGAGGGCTCGAGGGATGGAGAGGAGCAGCTGACCCTTCTTCTTAGACTGGCCTGCCACCACTGTCAGCTGCTTCCTACGCGGAGGTAAGGGGGAATGTGGAACGGGATGAAGGACCGAAAGAGAGGAGAGAGGAGAGGCGTTGCCATAGGGCGCTGCTTCCCCTGCCTTGGTGTCGGTTGACACCCCAGACGAAGCGAGGTATGGAGAGGAGCAGCTGACCCTTCTTCTTAGACTGGCCTGCCACCACTGTCAGCTGCTTCCTGAGGGGAGATGGCGCAAAGGGAGGGAAGAGGGAGTGAAAAACGAGGGAGCGAAGGAGAGGGGGGATGGGGAGAAGAAACCGGTCCTTCTTCTTAGACTGGCCTGTTACCGCTGTCCGCTGCCTCCCTACCAAGGCGATGGGTTGAGGAGACAGGGAGAGGGAGATGGAGGCCAGAAAGGGAGGGAAACAGGGGAGAGGCAAATTCGGGGGGGAGAGAGAACAGTGCTTTATGCATGATGGGATTCGTTGTTAAAACATCCTAGGAATAGCAAGCAGAGTGACACAGTGAACGAGGGAAGGCGGGTTTGACCAGGCCGCAGGTTGCACTAGGCTGCTCGTCGAAGCCGGTTTCTCAGAATTCTCAAAAACCATTTCACTAGGCTGCTCGTCGTCTTACCTGGACTGTGCCTTAGCCTCCAACAGTTGGGTCGCAAAATCTCCTTGTGCTTTGAGCGAACGATAATGCGAGCTGTTGGGCTCCTGGCGGAAATGCACCTGAGAGGGATGGAGAAGAGGAAAATCCGGACGGATTAGAGGAAAGTCCGGACGGATTGACAGAACAAACAGGTCTGAGACAGGGTCAAATGAGGGGAGGGGAGGGGAGGGGAGGGGAGGGGAGGGAGGGTTATGTAATGTGGCAGGTTAAAGGGCACAAGAGAAAGGTGGGAAAGGAGGGGGCCAAAGTGGGGGGGCAACGGAACCAGTGTTGAATCAACTCAGCCAATTGGTGACGAGACGAAAGAAGCGACTCCTGAGTACCTCAAAGGTGGATCGTGGCTTGCCAAAGTCGGGGATTCCTCGCGCACGCACCCACTCCAGAAACCCCCCGAGCTTCTCCTCGTCGCCACCCCTTGCCTCCTCCTCCCCTTCCTCCTTGCCACCTGCCCCCAGGCGCAGGTCGTACTGGGGGTCGCAGGCGAGCAGCAGCCAATCAGAGGTGTCGATAAGCACTCGCTTCTTGTTGGCGCGCACCTGCAGCACCTGCTGCACCTCGTCCAGCGCGCCCATGAACCACGGCAGGCACAACTGGGGAGGTGGTATGTGGGGGAAGGGTGGGGGAGGGGGCATGTGGGGGGAAGGCAAGCAGGAATAACCTCTTGCACCTGCAGCACCTGCTGCACCTCGTCCAGCGCGCCCATGAACCACGGCAGGCACAACTGGGGAGGTGGTATGTGGGGGAAGGGTGGGGGAGGGGGCATGTGGGGGGAAGGCAAGCAGGAATAACCTCTTGCACCTGCAGCACCTGCTGCACCTCGTCCAGCGCGCCCATGAACCACGGCAGGCACAACTGGGGAGGGGGCATGTGGGAAATGGAGGGCGGAGGGAAAAGCAGGCGGTTGTGTGTGGGGAGGCATGCAGGTACACCTCATTCAGTGCCCACATGAACCAGGGCAGGCACAGCTGGGGGAGGTGGCATGTGGGCTGTGGCGGAAAGGAGGTCGACAGGAAGAGAGAGGTGCGGGGCTGGGTGGGGGTTTGGGGGTGGATAGGCTGAGAGGAGTTGGGTTTGCGTGGGCCATTAACACCACCTGCCCCACACCTGTTTGGGTCATTCAGCGCTCCCAAGAACCAGGGCAGGCACAGCTGGGGGAGGTGGGGATGTAGTGAAGCAGAACCTACAACAGATGTGGCCACAACAGAATAAAGGGGACGTTACATGGAACCTGCCCAAGATGTGGCCAGATAGCACCTACCCCAGATGGGGCCTCTTCCAGCCGCCCAGCTTCGCGGTATCGCCTGCAGATGGCTGCTGACGTCAGCATGAACTCATCCTCGCTAACGGACGAGGAGAAGCCGCCCAGAAGCTTCTCGACAAGCCGCCTCAGCATGCTGGTAGCCGCCCGCAGAGCCGGTACCAGGTCGGCGACAGATGGTGGTATGTCATAGGTTGAGGAGGAGGAGGAGGAGGAGGAGGAGGAGGAGGAGGAGGAGGAGGAGGAGGAGGAGGAGGAGGAGGAGGAGGAGGAGGAGGAGGAGGAGGAGGAGAAGGAGGAGCAGGAGAGGGGGAGGTGGAGAGGGTGGGAGGGGTGGGAGAGCAGAGGCATGTGCGTGCATGTGGTGCTGCTGTCCAGGTTCCACGCCACCGCCACACTGGCCCGGGCGAGGAGGGCCGGGTCGGGGTCTGTTGTGGTGGGTTTGATGAGCAACAAAACGAATCAGAAGGTGCTACGACTCTGGCCTGGTGGCAAGTGGGAGCTGTGAAAAGTGCTATCTCTTTACAGCTCCCCTCGTGGCTTTGGCTTTCAGAGCACCTTACCTGTGCCAGTGGATCGCAAGAAGGCGAGCGCAGAGAGGTAAGCGAGGAGCTCGGGGTCGATCCTCCCCTCCGGATACGCAAAGAGCCCCTCGGGATCCATCTGCACTGGAGCAAACGCCTTTGATCCTCTGGGCACAGACGCTCCTATTCCTTCGTGCTCCTCATTCCCCCCTTCCGCCTGGGGATGTTGCTTTATCTCCACCACCATGTGCTCCCCTCTCTCCTTCGCCTTCCTCCACTCTTCCTGCTGCTTCTGCCGCCGCATCTCCCAGAACCCCATCTGCTCCATCCCAGCCCACATGCCCCTCCCCTTCCCTGGGTCCCCTCGGGCAGCGCTCAGAACGTCCCTTTTCACCTCCAAAACTGCCCGAATGACGCGATCCTCCATCACAGCTGCCCGCTCCCGAAATTCTTTCTCGGGCAGTTTGGCGGGCAGGCCAGTGGCGGGAAACGCAAGGGAGAAGGAGCGGAGGGCGTGGGAGAGAGACGAGAAGAGGAGTACCCGGTCCAGGGCAGTGTCTTGAGGGACGGCACCGGTGCTTAGGTAAACATCATCGTTAGAGAGAAGGGGGGGTGGAGATGGAGGGAGGAGGCCTGTGCTGATGTCTGAGTGTGTTTTAGTTGAAGGGGTGGTATCTGTGCCTGTAGTGTCAGCTGTGTCAGCGTGAACAGTGCTGCTGTCAGCGTGAACAGTGCTGCTGTCAGCGTGAACAGTGCTGCTGTCAGCGTGTGCAGGAGGGACAGTGGGCGTTGGTGCGAGGATGAGAGGGGAGTGTGGGGGGATGTCCTCACTCGCATAAACGCCGATTGAGTCTCCAGAGACCTGCAAGCCAGTAGGGTTGGGTTGGTTGGAGTGGAGGGAATGAGTGGTGGGTCAAGTGTGAAGTCAACCCATCCCATCCCATCCCATCCATCCCATCCATCCCATCCATCCCATCCATCCCATCCATGACCGTCAACATCTCCTGTTTCTCCTATCCCTATCCCTGCCTGCCACATCAACCTCTTGACCATCTGTGGCCGCCCATTGACTTGCCGGCCCTCCCTCTCATCCCTCCTTGCCCTCCCAGAATTACCCCCCCCACTCTGCAACGTTGCTCTCATCTGCACGTTGCATCCATTATTCACCCACCTCCCACTGCACGTTGCATCCACCTCCCACAGCTGCACTCGTGGCTGCTGCTGTTCGCACTGCTGCTGCTGCTGGTGCTGGTGCTGCTGCCAGGGTTGACTGCACGGGTGCAGGTTGGCCCATGATATGCAGCAAGGGCACTATCGCCAGAGTGGTAGCTGATCCTTCCGATACTGATGCGCCAGGTGCAGGTGCTGCCAGCGATGGTGAGTGTGGGAGAGGAGCGGCCAGAGGAAGGGGAAAGGGCAAGGAGAGAGCAGCAGCGACAGCTTGAAGGAAGCTGTCAAAAGACAGGTCCGTGTTCTGTGCAGAAGAATCGCTCGCAGTGGCGTTGATCCATGCGTCGTACTCGTCTTCATAGCGCTTCAGCTGCTTGTCTAGCTGGCAGGGATGGGGAGACCATGGGTACACGCGAAAGGGAGAAGGAGGTTTTGGCAGATGACAGCAGCGTTCTGTGCAGTACCATCCCTCGCAGTGGCTTTGATCCGGTGGCGTACTCGTCCTGGCAGAGCTCCAGCTGCTTTTTTGAGTTGACTCAAAAATCGACTCATTACACACGTCGTACTCGTCCTGGCAGAGCTCCAGCTGCTTTTTTGAGTTGACTCGAAAATCGACTCATTACACACGTCGTACTCGTCCTGGCAGAGCTCCAGCTGCTCGTCTAGCTGGCACGTAGGGGACACAAGGGTTTAGGAGGAGGGCAGAAGAAGAAGAAGAAAAAAGAGCACTTTTTTGGGCAGAAGGGAGTTTTGGAGCTCCAGGTGGAAAAATAATGATCCATCCATATCACCCTGCCAGTTACCAGATCAGTCAACGCCTCAGATTCACCTTACCCTGTCGATCAACGGCTTGTAGCTGAGCTCCATTCGCAGGTCGTCATCCAGCATCAGCGGCAGCGGCCTCGGCAGACTCACGGGCAGCAAGAGCACTCCCGCCAGTGCCGCCCAAGACAGGCCCCCTGCCGCCCCTTCTTCCCTTCGGCCAGCGGCTTGCAGCAGCAGACAGGCCGCCAGACGCCCTTCAGGTGAAAGGTCAGGTGAAAGGCCAGAGGGAGAGGAGCAGGCGGAGGAGGAGAAGGCGAGGTGAAGGGGAATGGAGAATAGGCGCTGGCCTTTTGAAATGGTGCGGGCTGATTGCAGCGATGGGTGGTACCTGATAGATGATGAGGAGAGATGAGATGAGATAAGGATTACACAGGTGTTGGGATGAATAGGAGAGGAGGGTTAAAACAAGGAAGGATTTTGGGCTGAAAGGGGAGGGAAGATGGAAAAAGAACACGCCGCTTCTGAGGCCACTCCGAGGTTCAAAGCAGGACAAGTTGTGAAGACGTCTCCCTCGAACACACAGAAGAAAGAAAAGAAAAGAAAAGAAAAGAAAAGAAAAACGGTCCTGACAAGCCTTCTACAGGAATGCTTGGGTAACATCAGCATGCCATCTGCGGAATACTTGGAAAGCTGGCAGAAGCAGCACCTGTACTCTGGTGCCTTGCCATCCTCCTCCTCCTCGCCCCCCTCGTTTTCTTCCTCTTCCTCGTCCTCCTCTTGCCGGGCCATTTCTAGCCTCAGAATCTTAAGCTGCGCACAGGGATACAGCCAAGTGAAGGAGGAGAAGAAAATAAAGGCGGAGTCGACCTTAAGGGTGAAGGATGGCACACTCCGGCAGATTCTCTATGATCAAAGAGATCAGATTCAGTTTCCAGGAGAGACCAGAGTGAAGTATTCGTTTTACTCACACGAACTGGGCTGCCAGGAGCTGCCACGTCACCCTGGACTCCGTGCTCTCGCAGCCAATCAAGATACTCCATGAATCCGGACTCTTTCAAGAGTTCTGCACTTGGATACTCATCCTGTCCGCCGTCCTCGTTACTATCACCCTCCTCCACCGCCCCCTCTTCGATATAGTCATCATTTGCGTCCTCAACATCCACGTCAGCATCATCCAGCAGCCAGTCAAATCCTTCCTCCATACTCCCCCCACTCCCTCCTCCACTGCTCTCCCACCGCTCCCCTGAAACCCCTTCCGTTCCGCCAATCCCCGCTTCCCCCCCCACTGGCGCTTCCCCAACTGGCGCATCATAGCGGGGGACGCCGCCAGCGCCAGCAGCGGCGGAACAGCTCACCGCCGTGGGTGAACGGGGGGAGGAATGACTGGCGGAGCATGACGTGGGCGGATCGGCGCAAGCGCGCGGAAGAACAGCGGCGGAGAGGACGAGCGCGAGGAGGACGCGGAAGACAGGGGGAAACGGCCCACAGAAACCAGCGGAGTTTCTGCGGGAATCCCGGAGTTTGCTCATGGTGTTCGGCGGGGGACAGCCATAAGCAGGCTCCAGGGTTCCGCGCGCGCGCGCGCCCGATGATGCGGAGAGTGCGGAGAGTGCGGAGAGTGCGGAGAGTGTGGAGAGTGGACTTCGGGCGTGTAACATTTTTTACGAACACGCCTCAGGGTCGACCATTCAGAAAGGTTGAACGCGGTCTGGTGAGATTTACTGCGATGGTTAGTAGAAAACACGTGTTACAGTACGGTGAATGTTCGGTTTGGAAGATGTTCGAGAAAATGTTACACGCTCTTAGGGCGTGTCCAGCGCGTACGTTAAACGGACACCAGGGGATACAGTACACCCGAAATACTGTGAACAGTGAAATTCGACCCACAAGCGGACCTGCGCAGTTCGTGATCTAAAACGCGCGGTGTACCCCACTTGTACCCTGGTGCGCAGAGGGAAAACGAGCGGAAACGTACTGATGCACGTCTGAACAGCGGGTCGGGTCCACAAGACTCGTTACCACAGATCATGTTCGCCATGCCCGAACAAGAACCCCGTGTGCGAAACTTTTGAAACACAGATGGGCGAATTTTATTGGCCGACGAAAATTCCCTTCTTGGAAGTAACAGAAACAACCTAACCACTTGCCGTACCTGTTGTGTGGGCACCGCATGTCCACGCGGGAGTAATTCGTGCAGTACACCAGAGACACAGGAACACCCGATGGTACATTTTTGTGGCGTTTGTGTAGTACGTACCTAGCTCTTAAAGATCTCGAAACGTACGCATTGAACACGCCCTCAGGCTTTCTGACAGGGTAACCATGTGGTATCCGCTCGGCTGTGTGGATGTGTCTGACAGGAAATCCTGCTACAGTTTATATATGAGTATATTTAAATGTATGCGGCAATCCAAAGAGTAGCATTACAAGTTACGAGTCAGTCTCAATGCAGGACACAACTTGCTCCAATCAATCCAGGCAAATCCCCAACTCCCAGTGTCAGTCTGGCAACTAGCCGCGAGACTCGGCGCTAGTCTTACATGCATTCCCTCTCAAGCCGTCGCCGCAAACCAGCCATATCCGATCTCCCTGCTCTCTCTCGCTCCATCTGCTCTCTTCCGCCCGGTCCCGCTGAGATCGCAAAGGCTTCTATCATCAATAATCAAACCACCGATCCGGAATCTTCGCACGCCGCTCTATCCTACGGCGACAATCATGCCCACGTCACGCTAGAACGCTGCCAGCAAGTCCAGGGAATCCTGCCACGTCACCCCCTGAGGGCGTTCCTGGCAATGATGGCAGCAGCGGCGCCAGCAGCAGCAGCAGCGGCATCAGCAGGAGCAGCAGCACGTGCGCGTTGTGCTCCCCCTAAACGTTGCAAGCTCCGTGCTTTCAGCCCTGGCCTTCCCCCCTGGTGCTCTCTCCTCTGCCTCCTTCTTCTCCTCTCCCCCTCCGCCTTCCCCTCGCCGGCGTTAGTCCGCGCGGAAGCGCAACGAGCGGAAGTGGAAGCGCAACGAGCGGAAGCGGAAGCGGGAGCTGACGGGGGGAAGGCGCATGCGCGGGCTGCGCAGGCGGAGGAGGGATTCGACTGGCTGCTGCGCGAGCTGAGGGGGGACTCGGAGGGGGATGAGGGGGAGGTGGAGGGGCTTGGCGCAGAGGGCTGGGAGGAAACTCCGCTGGAAGGTTCGGGATTCGCGGAGCTGCTGACGTGGCTGCGCGCCAATGGAGCTGGGGGAGAGGTGGTGGAGGGAGAGAGTATTCGAGTAAGTGGGTGAGGGACGGCTTTTGAGGCTGCTAAAAAGTCGACTCATCACACGTGGGCGGGTGGGGGACTGAGAGACCAGTTATGACGCGCAGGAGGGGGTTCTGAGTAAGTGGGAGATTGCTGCAGTGTAAAGCCCCAGCTGCTTGTGTCTGCGCTGCACTGCACCTTAAAGCCCCAGCGGCCTGTGTCTGCACCTTAAGCTTTTGCTTCGGACGAGCAATGTTTTGAGGCGCCTCAAAACGAGACACCTTAAGCCTTTGCTTCGGAAGAACAATGTTGCAAGGCAAGCATCCCCTCCCCTCCCTCTCCCTCCCTCCCCGTGATTCCGCCCTTTCACCCGCACAGTTGAGCGTCTTCCGAATGGAGGTGCAAGGCGGCGATGCTGGCTCGGACTTGACACATCCGCGATCGCGGGTGAAGGTAGAGGGAAATGGCAGGGCGAAGAAGGAGGCCGAGAAGGAGGAGAAGGAGGCGAAGGAGCAAAAGGAGGAGGATTGGGCTTCGGGTGATGGGGAGTCGGTCGAGGAGGGGGAGGAGCAAGGCAGAAAGGCAACCAGCAGTGGAGGCGACAAGGCGAACACGTTCAGGCAAGCAGAGGGTTGCTTTCTGCGGATGAGTTTTTAAGATGATTTTTGAGAAAGTTTTTTAGAAAGATTCTTCAGAAGTCTCAAAGTTTAGGCAAGTCGAGGGTTGCTTTTGCTACTACGTACGGCTACAGGCAGCAGCGTCCATCGCAGCTTATGAGAGCCGCCTCAAGAGCCGCCTCAAGAGCCGCCTCAAGAGACGTCTTATGAGTTGCACATTTACAACTCACTCTCTGCCTCATCCTCCCTCTCCCTTCCCCCGCCCCCCCTTCCCCTTTCCCCCCCACCCCCCTCTCCTCCCCCCGTCCTCTCTCCCCCTCTCCGCAGGATCTTCCCCCAGCTGGTCGCAGCATCCCCCATAGCGGTGGGGCAACTGCTGCTGCGGCTGCCGCTGCCTGTGCTGCTCAACGCCTCGCGCTGCTCCCTGCCCTCCCCTCGCCTGCCGCCCTCCCCCGAGGCCGCCCTCGCTGCCTGCCTGCTGCTGCTGCTGCAGCAGGGGGAGGGAGGGGCGCAGGGGGAAGCAGGGGCGGAGGATGAGGGGGAAGGCGTGGGGGAACGAGTGGAGCCTGCGCTGCTGCCTCTGTTGCTGGCCTCTCACACTGCCCACCTGCTGCCCATGCTCAGAAACGACCTCCCCCAGTTGCCCCTCCTCCACCAGGTCCGCCCTCCCCCTCCCCCTTCATGCTCTTCCTTCCACTCCCTGCCCGTCTTCTCCCCACTCCCTGCCCGTCTTCTCCCCACTCTTGACCCCTTGCTTCCTGCCCCTTCCTCCTGCTGCCCCGTCTTCCCCTTCCTGCTCTCTCGTCCGTCTCCTTCGCCTTGCCCCCCTCACCCGCCAGGCCGTGAAGGAAAGGCACAAGTACGAGCAGGAGTATGGCAGCTGGATTTCAAGCAACAGCAGCAGCAGTGTTAGCAGCAGCCCCAGCAGCGGCGATGGCGCGAGCAGCAGTGCCCCCGGGCTGCCTTCCCTGGAGCAGTTCCTGGCGACAGTGGCGGCAGTGAGGGCGCTGGCTCTGCCCATGCGCCTGCCGCCCCTGCCGGAGGGGCGGGGGGAGGGGGGAAGCAATGGTATCGGAGGGGGACAAGGCAGCAGTGGGGGGGAAGGGGGGAGGCATGGGGGGAAGAAGCAGAGGCAGCGGCGCTTTGAGCTGACTGTGGTTCCCTTGGTGAATGCGATTGGGCGGGTAGCAGGAAGGAGCGATGGCAACGTGCGATGGCAGGTGGGATGATGTGAATGATGCCAGGGCCAACAGCAGCAGTCACAGGGAGGTGCGGTGATGACAAGCAATGTGCGATGGCATGTGGGATGATGGAAAAGTGCGATGGCATGTGGGATGATGGAAAAGTGCGATGGCATGTGGGATGATGGAAAAATGCGATGGCATGTGGGATGATGGAAAAATGCGATGGCATGTGGGATGATGGAAACGCGCGATGGCATGTGGGATGATGGAAAAGTGCGATGGCATGTGGGATGATGGAAAAGTGCGATGGCATGTGGGATGATGGAAAAGTGCGATGGCATGTGGGATGATGGAAAAGTGCGATGGCATGTGGGATGATGGAAAAGTGCGATGGCATGTGGGATGATGGAAAAGTGCGATGGCATGTGGGATGATGGAAAGGTGCGGTGGCATGTGGGATGATGGAAAAGTGCGATGGCATGTGGGATGATGGAAAAGTGCGATGGCATGTGGGATGATGGAAAAGTGCGATGGCATGTGGGATGATGGAAAAGTGCGATGGCATGTGGGATGATGGAAAAGTGCGATGGCATGTGGGATGATGGAAAAGTGCAATGGCATGTGGGATGATGGAAAAGTGCGATGGCATGTGGGATGATGGAAAAGTGCGATGGCATGTGGGATGATGGAAAAGTGCGATGGCATGTGGGATGATGGAAATGTGCGATGGCATGTGAGAGGTGGCACTCATGGTATCAGGGAGGGCCAACAGTCAGAGGGAAACCGAGTGATGGCAGAGGGATGGGATGACATGCGATGGTGTTGTAGATGATACCAGGCGTGAGCAGTCTATTTTTGGGGCGCCTTAAAAAGAGACCCGGTGATGGCAGAGGGCTGAGATGAGATGAGATGATGTAGGTGATACCACAGAAAATCTGCTTCATGCCACAATCTCTCCTCTACATCGTCCTCCTTCCCTCCTCCCCCCCTCCTCCCCCCCCCCAACTCCACCCCTCACCCCCTAACCCCCATCCCTGCCCCAAGGTCCTGCTCAGATGACTTTTGAGTCGACTCAAAAGTCCCCCCCCCCCCAACTCCACCCCTCACCCCCTAACCCCCATCCCTGCCCCAAGGTCCTGCTCAGATGACTTTTGAGTCGACTCAAAAGTCCCCCCCCCCCAACTCCACCCCTCACCCCCTAACCCCCATCCCTGCCCCAAGGTCCTGCTCAGATGACTTTTGAGTCGACTCAAAAGTCCCCCCCCCCTCAACTCCACCCCTCACCCCCTAACCCCATCCCTGCCCCAAGGTCCTGCTCAGATGACTTTTGAGTCGACTCAAAAGTCCCCCCCCCCTCAACTCCACCCCTCACCCCCTAACCCCCATCCCTGCCCCAAGGTCCTGCTCAGATGACTTTTGAGTCGACTCAAAAGTCCCCCCCCCCCAACTCCACCCCTCACCCCCTAACCCCCATCCCTGCCCCAAGGTCCTGCTCAGATGACTTTTGAGTCGACTCAAAAGTCTCCCCCCCCCCAACTCCACCCCTCACCCCCTAACCCCCATCCCTGCCCCAAGGTCCTGCTCAGATGACTTTTGAGTCGACTCAAAAGTCTCCCCCCCCCCAACTCCACCCCTCACCCCCTAACCCCCATCCCTGCCCCAAGGTCCTGCTCAGATGACTTTTGAGTCGACTCAAAAGTCTCCCCCCCCCCAACTCCACCCCTCACCCCCTAACCCCCATCCCTGCCCCAAGGTCCTGCTCAGATGACTTTTGAGTCGACTCAAAAGTCTCCCCCCCCCCAACTCCACCCCTCACCCCCTAACCCCATCCCTGCCCCAAGGTCCTGCTCAGATGACTTTTGAGTCGACTCAAAAGTCTCCCCCCCCCCAACTCCACCCCTCACCCCCTAACCCCCATCCCTGCCCCAAGGTCCTGCTCAGATGACTTTTGAGTCGACTCAAAAGTCTCCCCCCCCCAACTCCACCCCTCACCCCCTAACCCCCATCCCTGCCCCAAGGTCCTGCTCAGATGACTTTTGAGTCGACTCAAAAGTCTCCCCCCCCCCAACTCCACCCCTCACCCCCTAACCCCCATCCCTGCCCCAAGGTCCTGCTCAGATGACTTTTGAGTCGACTCAAAAGTCCCCCCCCCCCCAACTCCACCCCTCACCCCTAACCCCCATCCCTGCCCCAAGGTCCTGCTCAGATGACTTTTGAGTCGACTCAAAAGTCCCCCCCCCCCCCAACTCCACCCCTCACCCCCTAACCCCATCCCTGCCCCAAGGTCCTGCTCAGATGACTTTTGAGTCGACTCAAAAGTCCCCCCCCCCCCAACTCCACCCCTCACCCCCTAACCCCCATCCCTGCCCCAAGGTCCTGCTCAGAGGTCCTCCATTGATGTCCTTCAGTTTCCGCCCATCCCAAGCTGCTGTCTCTGGCCTGCACCTGAGGCCGCCAGCCAATTCATTGGCGCTTCCGCCTCCTGCCCAGCCTGTGGGCCTCAGCCATTTGGTCCCCCCATGTCTCCCCCCATCTCTCCCCCCATCTCTCCCCCCATGTCTCCCCCCCATCTCTCCCCCCATCTCTCCCCCTATCTCTACCCCATCTCTCCCCCCATCTCTTCCCCCATCTCTCCCCCCATCTCTCCCCCCATCTCTCCCCCCATATCTCCCCCGCCCCCAGCTCTCACACTCTGGCTTCCACCTGTGGGCGTCAGCCGCCATTCCTCCTGGTGCTGCCCTCCTCCTGCCCCTCAATGGCGGCCTGCCAGACCCGCTGCAAGGCGACTTGCTACAAGCAGAAAATGGAGCACAGGGTGCAGAAGCAGAGGAAGAGGGGGAGGAAGAGGAGGAGGAGGAGGAGGAGGAGGAGGAAGAGGAGGAGGAGGAGGAGGGGGAAGAGGAGGAGGGTCGTTCTCCCCCCAGGGATCTGTGGGAGGTGCTTGAGTCAGACGCGCATCTCTCCCCGGCCACTCTCCTGTCCAACGACGATGCCTTCCTCTCCCTTGGGATCATCCCTAACTGCTCCGCCTTTGACCGCGTGCAGGTGAAATCACATGCTTCATTCCCTTAGCTTGCGTGCAGGTGAAATCACATGCTTCGTTCCCTTAGCTTGCGTGCAGGTGAAGTCACATGCTTCATTCCCTTAGCTTGCGTGCAGGTCAGAACCATCTCCTCCTCCTTGTCCCTTGGGATCATCCCTAACTGCTCCAAATTCGACCGCGTGCAGGTCAGCTGTGAGGGGCGCAGGTCAGCTTTGAGGGGTGCAGGTCAGTTGTGAGGGATGCAGGTCAATTGTGAGGGGTGCACGTCAGCTGTGAGGGGTGCACGTCAGCTGTGACGGGCACAGGTCAGTCGTGAGGGGCACAGGTCAGTCGTGAGGGGCACAGGTCAGTCGTGAGGGGTGCAGGTCAGTCGTGAGGGGTGCAGGTCAGTCGTGAGGGCTGCAGGTCAGTCGTGAGGGGTGCAGGTCAGTCGTGAGGGGTGCAGGCAAGGGGTTTTTGCCTTCATGGCCCTCATCCCCTCATCCCCTCCCCTCATCCCCTCCCCTCATCCCCTCCCCTCATCCCCTCCCCTCATCCCCTCCCCTCATCCCCTCCCCTCATCCCCTCCCCTCATCCCCTCCCCTTATCCCCTCCCCTCATCCCCTCCCCTCATCCCCTCCCCTCATCCCCTCCCCTCATCCCCTCCCCTCATCCCCTCCCCTCATCCCCTCCCCTCAACCCCTCCCCTCATCCCCTCCCCTCATCCCCTCCCCTCATCCCCTCCCCTCATCCCCTCCCCTCATCCCCTCCCCTCATCCCCTCCCCTCATCCCCTCCCCTCATCCCCTCCCCTCATCCCCTCCCCTCATCCCCTCCCCTCATCCCCTCCCCTCATCCCCTCCCTCATCCCCTCCCCTCATCCCCTCCCCTCAACCCCTCCCCTCATCCCCTCCCCTCATCCCCTCCCCTCATCCCCTCCCCTCATCCCCTCCCCTCATCCCCTCCCCTCATCCCCTCCCCTCATCCCCTCCCCTCACCCGCTCCTCTCACCCCCTCCCCTCATCCCCTCCCCTCACCCCCTCCCCTCACCCGCTCCTCTCACCCCCTCCCCTCACCCGCTCCCCTCACCCCCTCCCCTCACCCCTTCCCCTCACCCCCTCCCCTCATCCCCTCCCCTCACCCCCTCCCCTCACCCGCTCCCCTCACCCCCTCCCCTCACCCCTTCCCCTCACCCCCACCCCTCACCCCCTCCCCTCACCCCCTCCCCTCACCCCCTCCCGTCCCCTCTCCTCTCCTGGCAGCTCTTCCCTTCCCTCCTCAGCGCCACTCGCAGCCTCTCCGACATTGCCGCATTGCAGGTGATTTTTAAGAATTCTAAATAATCTCCCCACCTCTCCCCTCCACTCCCTGCCCTCTCCCCACCTCTCCCGGCAGCTCTTCCCTTCCCTCCTCAGCGTCACTCGCAGCCTCTCCCAAGTCGCATTCCCGGAACCTTCCGCCCGAAAGCTGTTTGAAGCCCGGGCAACAGCGGCCGGCCGGAGGGTGGTGGAAGAAGTGAGGGTAGTTAAAGCCCACCTTTTCAACTCTGCCCTTGGGCGGTTGGGCGTGGTCAACGGGTCGCAAGAGGATAGGGTGTTAAGGAATGGGGCACTAGGGGATGTTGGCGATGCGGAGGAGAATACAGGCGGGGAAGGAAGCAACGAGTGGGATGTGGAGGGGATGCGGCGAGTGGTGCTGCAGATGCTGTTCTGGGAGAGGAGACGAGCCATGCGGGAGAGGCTGGCGCGTAGACTGGCGAAGAGGAGGGGAGGGGAGGCAGGGGGAGAGGGGCAAGAGGTGAGAGACGCGAGAGAGGAGGAGGAAGGGTTGTTTGTGTACCCGGATGGGCGGATGGACCCTGAGCTCGTGGCTCATTTCACTGCTGCTGTGCTGCTGGCTTCCACCTGGCAAGGTACTGCTGGGCTTGGTGCCGACCAGATACTAGTAAATAAATATACGAGACAGACATTGCGCTGCGTAAATCTGCATTGGTAAATCGTCATCGTCATCATCATCATCATCATCATCATCATCATCATCATCATCATCATCATCATCATCATCATCATCATCATCATCATCATCATCATCATCATCATCATCATCATCATCATCATCATCATCATCATCATCATCATCATCATCATCATCATCATCATCATCATCATCATCATCATCATCATCATCATCATCATCATCATCATCATCATCATCATCATCATCATCATCATCATCATCATCATCATCATCATCATCATCATCATCATCATCATCATCATCATCATCATCATCATCATCATCATCATCACACGACATCAACCCAATTGAGCCTGACTCCGTATCCCACATATGCCGCACCAGACCGCACCAGACCCCGGACCTGGCCCGGCTCGCCTGTGCGAGCATGTAATGGGGGCATGGAATGCCACTCAAGCGTTCCGCCTCTCGTCCCTCGTCCCTCGTCCCCTCGCCCTCCCTTCAACAGACCCTGACCCGGCCCTGCTCGCCCGTGCCAGCGTGGCAGTGGCGTGGAACCTGGACGGTAGCACCACATGCACGCACATGCCTCTGCTCTCCCACCCCTCCCACCCTCTCCACCTCCCCCTCTCCTCCCCCTCCTCTTCCTCCTCCTCCTCTTCCCCCTCCTCCTCCTCCCTCTCCTCCGCCTCTTTCTTGAAGGACCTTCCTGTGATCCTAGACGTGACTGCCAGCAGCTTACAACGCCCAGTGGGGGAGCTTATAGAGGGGATGGAGCAGGCAGTGAGGGAGGCTGAAGGGTGGGTGGAGAGAGGGGTGGTCTGCCGGGAAGGGAGGGCGGCTGGGATTGACTCCGTTCAAGTGGACGAGGTGAGAGATGAAGGGGGAACTTATAGAGAGGATGGAGCAGGCAGAATGGGAGGGCAAAGGGGTGGGTGGAGAAAGGGGTGATCTGCCGGGAAGGAAGGGCGGCTGGGGTTGATTCTGCTCATGTAAACAAGGTGCGAGAGAGAGGGCGTGAGAGATAGAGGGGTTGAGGTGGAAGATAGGTGTGCTTATAGCGGGGATGGAGCAGGCAGTGAGGGAGGCTAAAGGGTGGGTGGAGAGAGGGGTGATCTGCCGGGAAGGGAGGGCGGCTGGGATCAACTCTGTTCAAGTGGAAGAGGTGAGAGATAAAGGGGGAGCTTATAGCGGGGATGGAACAGGCAGCAGGCAGAGAGGGAGGCGAGGGAGTGGGAAGCGCAGGGGGTGGTGTGCCGCGAGGGAAAGGAGGCTGGGGTGAACTGAGTGTGCACCTTGAGTGTGTGGTACACTAGCCTCCCCAGGCATCTCTTGCCCCACGCGCTGCACTTGCGTCAGTCTATCAAGCCGTTTAGATCCCAGCATCGACTTTCCAAGTCCCTCAAACTGCGTGTTCTCCTCCGCGCCCATGCGCCGACGTCCAAATTTTGGCCGGATTTTCGGACTTAAGCTTCGCACGTCTCCCATAATGAGCGGAAGTCCTTGACAAAATTAAAGCCTTTGTAAATGGTCCTTCACCTGATCAGGTTTCCTGCCATTACACGAGAGTAAGGAGTAAAGGGAAACTTAACAGACGAATCAAGTCACATCATTTGACGATGAAGAACTTTCTCCTCTCACCTTGCACGAAGAGCAAGTGGCGCTCTTGAAGCTCCTACTTCAACGTTGTAGAAAAACCTTTGGACGAAGATGCGTGGCTCCTGTTAAAAAGCGAATCAAGTAGCGGCCTCTGTCTCCACTTTTTATCGAGAAGCGAAGGAATGCGCAAATAAAACCAATCTTGTCTCAACTATCCCCCAGATCGGTAGAGGATTTAACCTCTTCTAGCGTAGTCCTCTACCGATCTGGGGGATAGTTGAGACAAGATTGGTTTTATTTGCGCATTCCTTCGCTTCTCGATAAAAAGTGGAGACAGAGGCCGCTACTTGATTCGCTTTTTAACAGGAGCCACGCATCTTTGTCAAAAGGTTTTTCTACAACGTTGAAGTAGGAGCTTCAAGAGCGCCACTTGCTCTTCGTGCAAGGTGAGAGGAGAAAGTTCTTCATCGTCAAATGATGTGACTTGATTCGTCTGTTAAGTTTCCCTTTACTCCTTACTCTCGTGTAATGGCAGGAAACCTGATCAGGTGAAGGACCATTTACAAAGGCTTTAATTTTGTCAAGGACTTCCGCTCATTATGGGAGACGTGCGAAGCTTAAGTCCGAAAATCCGGCCAAAATTTGGACGTCGGCGCATGGGCGCGGAGGAGAACACGCAGTTTGAGGGACTTGGAAAGTCGATGCTGGGATCTAAACGGCTTGATAGACTGACGCAAGTGCAGCGCGTGGGGCAAGAGATGCCTGGGGAGGCCAGTGTACCACACACTCAAGGTGCTGCGCTCCTGCTGCACTCCTTCTGCGCTCCTGCTGCGCTCCTGCTGCGGTCCTGCTGCGCTCCTGCTGTGCCCCTCCTGTGCTCCTCGTGTGCTCCACATGTGCTCCTGCTATTCCTTTCCTACTCATGCCGCTGCAGGCCTGCCGCCCATCCGTCCAAGCCCACGTGGCGCGCTCACATTCGCTGCTGCGATTCCTCACCAGCAAGCGTAGCATCCTATTGGATGCCTCCTCTCGCCTCGCCTCCGCCTGCAGGCCCCAATCAGCGTCAGCCACACCCGAAGCAATAGCAGCAGTTCCATCTGGGGGAGGTGGTTCTAGTGAAAGCAGCAAGAGGGATGCTGCTGCTGGGAAGGAGGAGGAGGAGGAGGGAGAGGAGGAAGGGAAGGGGGGCGTAGTGCAAGAGGGCAAAGGGCTTGGTGCACGGACCAGGGGGGGCGGGCAGGGCACGAGCATGGGGTTTGGGAGGGGTGGCAGCGTGCTGACGGGGAGGGGAGGGGTGTGGAGTGAGGTGGCGGGGGAGAGGATGGGCGAGATGGGCGAGGAGGAGCGGGTGAGGGTGTTTGTGGAGTGGGTGTGCGCCAACGGGATGGAAGACTACAGCAAGCCAGGCTCAGGGATTGAGGTGGGTTTTGGATAGAAGTGGGTTTTGGATAGAGGTGGGTTTTGGATAGAGGTGGGTTTTGGATAGAGGTGGGTTTTGGATAGAAGTGGGTTTTGGATAGAAGTGGGTTTTGGATAGAGGTGGGTTTTGGATAGAAGTGGGTTTTGGATAGAGGTGGGTTTTGGATAGAAGTGGGTTTTGGATAAGTGGGTTTTGGATAGAGGTGGGTTTTGGATAGAGGTGGGTTTGGGATAGAAGTGGGTTTTGGATAGAGGTGGGTTTTGGATAGAGGTGGGTTTTGGATAGAGGTGGGTTTTGTGTAGAAGTGGGTTTTGAATAGAGGTGGGTTTTGGATAGAGGTGGGTTTTGGATAGAAGTGGGTTTTGGATAGAAGTGGGTTTTGGATAGAGGTGGGTTTTGGATAGAAGTGGGTTTTGGATAGAGGTGGGTTTTGGATAGAAGTGGGTTTTGGATAGAAGTGGGTTTTGAATAGAGGTGGGTTTTGGATAGAGGTGGGTTTTGGATAGAGGTGGGTTTTGGATAGAAGTGGGTTTTGGATAGAGGTGGGTTTTGGATAGAGGTGGGTTTTGGATAGAGGTGGGTTTTGGATAGAGGTGGGTTTTGGATGGAGGTGGGATTGCAGTCCACGTGGGCAGTCAACATGCCTTGCTTCACTTGAGGAGCGGGTGGGGGTGTTTGTGGAGTGGGTGCGAGCCAACGGGATGGGGAAATACAACATGCCGGGCTCAGGGATTGAGTTGTGTTGTGTTGAATAATTTTCTGTAGTTTTGAAGAAAACAGAAATCATTTTAACCACTCAACAGGAATGATTGTCAAAAGTAGTAACAGGTTGCTGTGCCTTACAGTTGCAGTCCATGCCGTTTTTGAGGCGCCTCAAAAATAGACTCCTGTTGCAGTCCATGCCGTGACTTCCCGGGCTGTGAGTGCCTTACCATTGGTTTTTTTTCTTCTTCTTCTTTTGGTCCCGGAAACACTTCCTCCCTGTGTGGCAGATAGTATTTCGGAACGAAACTGCGCCGGTCCGTAGCGCCACTGAAGGGCAAGAAACGAGGTAAGATGATTGTTAATGACCCGTCTGTCTGAAAAGAAGCACGTGAGTCGATCGAATCTAATGAATTGCGTGAGACAAGGTTGAGAAAGCACGTGAGAGAGAGTGGCATATCCACATGCCCACACACTGAATACGCAACTCTCTCTCACTACCATCTCTCCTGTCTCTGGTCTGTAACCCTCCATGCCCACCAGGTGGGTTGGAGTCACATTTGTCTCTCCCTCAATGCGGGGCAGGGCCAGGGAGGGACCACGAGTATCCATCCATTCTTCTCCTTCCCTCCCTCCATTTTGCAGGGTGTTTTTGAGAATTCTCAAAAACACCCTCAGAGATCTCTCCCTCACCAGACCAGGCGCGCAAGGTACCAATGCGGGGCAGGGCCAGGGAGGGACCACGAGTATCCATCCATTCTGCTCCTTCCCTCCCTTCCACTCTTATTCCAGCCGCCAACTATCAGTGCGAGCAGGGAGGAATTTTAGTGTAGAATTCCTTCCTCTCCTTCCCTCCCCTCCCACTCTTATTCCAGGCGCCAACTATTGGTGCGAGCGGGGAGGGATCACGAGGAGGAGTCAGTCCTCCTCTCAATCCCCAAGTCCCTCTGGCTCACCACCCCCGCCATGCTCCAAGCCATAGGCGGGCCCCCCTACCCCGGGCCTGTGTGGGCATTCACTGTAGCAGCTGCGTGGCTGCTAAGGGAGATGCTTAAAACGAGGACGGAGTCCTTCTGGTGGCCGTACCTGCAACTGCTGCCGCGGCACGTGCCCCTGCCGTATTTCTTCCAGGAGGAAACGCTGGAGGAACTGCAGGCCCCGTCCACAGTGAAAACAGTGAGTTTCAATTCAAGAGCTCTCAAATTCTGGCTGGAGCGAGGCACGTGCGCCTGCCGTATTTCTTTGAGGAGACCCTGGAGGACCTACGGGCCCCGTCCACGGTGAAAACAGTGAGTTATGGTGAAAACAGTAAGTTTCAAGAGCTCTCAAACTCTGGAGCGAGGCAGTATAGTGGGCTTGCCTGCAGCTGCTGCCGCGGCATTTTTGAGTCGCTTCAAAAGTCACCTTATAGTGGGCTGGCCTGCAGCTGCTGCCGCGGCATTTTTGAGTCGCTTCAAAAGTCACCTTATAGTGGGCTGGCCTGCAGCTGCTGCCGAGGCACGTGCCCCTGCCGTATTTCTTCGAGGAGACCCTGGAGGACCTACGGGCCCCGTCCGCTGTGAAATGAAAACAATAAGTTATAGTGAAAACCGTAGTTATGGCGAAAGCTGTAAGCTTAGTCCAATACTGAGTTCTAGTGAAAACAGTAAATTCTGCTGAAAACTGTCTAGTGAAAAACTGTAATTTCTGCTGAAAAAAGTCTAGTAGTGATAACAGTAAGTTTAGTGACATCTGTAAGTTCCAGTAAGAACTATCTATTGAAAGAACTTGCACCCGTGTCTGAAGTTACCGCCATGTCTGCCAGTGAGGGTTCGTTAGACCCATACGTCTCAGTCCAATAGTAGCATCGCCACCTTGAGACGAGTTGATGTGGGCGCAGTCCTCCGTGCAGTCCAGAGGCTTTCACGACTCGAACGCAGAGACTTGTGGCACCAGTGGCACGAGTTGCAGGAGTGGCCACAAGCTCATATCCCCCCTGTCTCTTCCTTTCCTCGAAATTACCCCAAACCCTCTTAGGTTTACAACAACCTGGCCAACTACGAGTTTGAGTACCGGCGGTGCGGCCCCGCTGTGCTGGCCAACGCCACGTTTCATGAGTTCATGTGGGCGCTGTCCGTGGTGCAGTCCAGGGGCTTTGATGACTCGCGCTGGGGGAATGTGGTCACGTTCCTCCCAAAGGGCCTGGATGCCTCTGCTGCCTCTGCTGGTTCTGCTGGCTCTGTTGGTTCAGGAGAATCATCAGGGGGGCTACCGGAGGAGAGATCGGGGGCAGTGCAGGTGCAGCTGAGGAAGGGTGCGCTGATGCTGGTGCCACCCGCAGAGCTCTTCGACCACAGCAACACCTTCCAGACGTCCTACCGGGTAATTTGCTCTTCACGGTGACGGCCGGGTTGGCTGAAAGGAGCACTGCGCCGAGTCTTACAGGTAATGCGCCGAGACTGAACGGAAAGGTGTGCTGCTCTGCTGGTGCCACCTGCGGATTTGTTCCACCACAGCTTCTCCTTCCAGACACCTACCGGGTAAGTGGAGATGACTTGCATTGCCGGTGAACTGGAAGGTGCAGCTGAGGAAGGGCGTACTCATGCTGGAGCTGCCTGCAGAGCTCTTTGACCACAGCAACTCCTTCCAAACGGCCTGCTGGGTACTTAGCTTGAGACTGGAGGCGTGTGAGAGCTCAACGCCTTCCAAGGCGCGCACATGGTATGGTAGGCGTTGCGCCATGTGGCACATGGTATGGTAGGCGTTGCGCCTTGTGGTACATGGTATGGTAGGCGTTGCGCCTTGTGGCACATGGTATGGTAGGCGTTGCGCCTTGTGGTACATGGTATGGTAGGCGTTGCGCCTTGTGGCACATGGTATGGTAGGCGTTGCGCCTTGTGGCACATGGTATGGTAGGCGTTGCGCCTTGTGGCACATGGTATGGTAGGCGGTGCGCCTTGTGGCACATGGTATGGTAGGCGTTGCGCCTTGTGGCACATGGTATGGTAGGCGTTGCGCCTTGTGGCACATGGTATGGTAGGCGTTGCGCCTTGTGGCACATGGTATGGTAGGCGTTGCGCCTTGTGGCACATGGTATGGTCCGTGCGAACACGGTAGCTTGAGGCGACTTGTGGGTCGACTGAAAGGTTAAGGGCAGGCTGGGGAAGGAGGGTACAGGCGCAGCTGGGGAAGGAGGGTACAGGCGCAGCTGGGGAAGGAGGGTACAGGCGCAGCTGGGGAAGGAGGGTACAGGCGCAGCTGGGGAAGGGTGCACTGCTGCTGGTGCCGCCTGCAGAGTTCCCAGACCGCAGCAACTCCTTTCAGGCCGCTTGTTATGGTTTTTTTTTTTTTTTTTTTTACATAACACAACCTTTCAGACCGCTCGCCTACACGGTAGCTAGCGTGAGGTCATTGTCTTGACACGTGGTCAAGTTAAGCACACATAGAAGCTGCTGTCAGTCAGATTGCCTCACTGTAGCGGTAACCCTATCTTCATCCATCCATGCGGATTCCCACACTGCAGTGTTGATTTTTTGGCAGCAGTCAGTGTGATTCAATGCGAGTCAATGTGAGTCAAGGCAAGGGAAAAGGTGAGTGAAGCGTATGACTCCCTTCCCTTCCCCCTCTCGCTCTCTCCCTTTCTATCTGTCTCTCTTCCCTCCTCCCCCTCCCACCCCCTTCCCCCCGTTGTCTTCCCCCCCCCCCCACGCCCTCAGTTTGGCGCCGGTACCGTTGACTTTGTGGCATCAGAGAATGGGACTGAGAATGGGACTGAGAAGGGGACTGAGAAGGGGACTGAGAATGGGACTGAGAAGGGGACTGAGAATGGGACTGAGAAGGGGACTGAGAATGGGACTGAGAATGGGACTGAGAATGGGACTGAGAATGGGACTGAGAAGGGGACTGAGAATGGGACTGAGAATGGGACTGAGAATGGGACTGAGAATGGGACTGAGAATGGGACTGAGAATGGGACTGAGAATGGGACTGAGAATGGGACTGAGAATGGGACTGAGAAGGGGACTGAGAATGGGACTGAGAAGGGGACTGAGAATGGGACTGAGAAGGGGACTGAGAATGGGACTGAGAAGGGGACTGAGAAGGGGACTGAGAATGGGACTGAGAATGGGACTGTACGGCAACATGTTCGACACAACGACGCGCCTCTGCTCTCGTCCCCTCTCCCACTCCCCCCCCTCCTCCAGTTGTATTTTGAGTCGAAAGACTCCCACTCCCCCCCCTCCTCCAGTTGTATTTTGAGTCGAAAGACTCCCACTCCCCCCTCTCCTCAAAATACATCTGCTCTCGTCCCCTCTCCCACTCCCCCCCTCCTCCCCCCCTCCGCGTCCCCCCCGCTGTCTCTCCCTCCTTTCCCCCCTCTCCTCCCATTCTTCCTCCCTTCCTCTCGCCAACTTTCTCTACCGCACCTGCCAGTTTGGTGCAGATGCCTTTGACTTTGTGGCATCAGATAGTATAACTCAGAGGGAGGAGGTGAGCACGAGCGAACGATGACCTGCTCGAAGTGAATGGTTTCCCCCCCTCCATTTCCCCCTTCCCTTACCCCCTCTCGCTCACCTTCCTTCCATCTTTCTCTCTTCCCCTTCCCTTACCCCCTCTCACTCTCCCTCCTTCCATCTTTCTCTCTTCCCTTTCCCTCCCCCCCTTTGTCTTCTCTCCCCCCCCACGCCCTCAGTTTGGAGCTGATACTTTAGACTTTGTGGCATCGGATAGTATAACTCAGGGGGAGGAGGTGAGCACGAGCTACGGCTTGCGATCCAATGAGGATCTGCTGGTGGCGTACGGCTTCGTGCTGCCCGGCAACATGTTTGACAACGCGCCTCTGCTGCCCTCGCTCTCGTACGCCGTTCGCTTGGTTGCTGCCCTCGTGCACCACCGGATGACGCAACACAGAGGGGCTGGTGAATGGGAATCAGTGCACCAGGGCCGGAAGCGGGAACCAAAGGGGGCAGTGGACATGTGCGGTGCTGCCGCTGGCTTTAGTGAAGTACAGAACACATGCAGTGCTGCTGAGCCTGCTACAGCCCCCACTCCTGCTGCTACAGCTGAGGCTACAGTTGCGGCTACAGCCGCCACGGCTGATGCTGCAGCTGCCACTGTCCCCAGCCTTTCCCCTCGCCTGCACCCACCACCGCCCCCTCCCACCACATGGCGAGGTGGAGTCAAACAAAAGCTGCTCCTCGTGTGGGGGAGTGCTGGTGCGCGGCTCATGGGTGGACGCTTGGAAGAGAGAGCAGGGAAGGGAGACGGGCGAGAGGAGGGCAGAGAGGGGGATGTTGGTGCAAGCGATGATGCTGATAAACAGGAAAGAGACGGAGGAGGAGGAGGAGGAGGAGGAGGAAGGGAAAGAGGAGTGAGAAGCGAACAAGGGTCTGGAAGACACGTGACGTCACTGCATCAGCTGAAGCGGCGGCTGTGGCGGGTAGCAGCGAAGGCGGTGGAGGCGGTGGTGAGGGAGCGGGAGGAGGAGGGAGGGAAGTTCTATGGCGTGGAGGAGGAGGGCGGCACGCCCTATGAGCTCATGCAGCGGATAAGGCGGGAGAGTGAGGCGGAGGAGATAGTGGGGGGCGTGGAGGAGAGGACAGAGGCGGACAAGGAGGGGAGTGTGGGGGTGTCGGTGTGGGCGAGGGGCCTTGTGGAACCGAATCTGATCGCTGCTCTTGCTGCTGTGTACTACTTCCTGCAGTACCGCCGAGGTGGGTGGGTGGGTGCTTTGGCTGCAGCTGAGGCGGGAAAGGAGGGGAGTGTGGGTGCTTTTGAGTCGACTCGAAAGGAGGGGAGTGTGGGTGCTTTTGAGTGGACTCGAAAGGAGGGGAGTGTGGGTGCTTTTGAGTGGACTCGAAAGGAGGGGAGTGTGGGTGCTTTTGAGTGGACTCGAAAGGAGGGGAGTGTGGGTGCTTTTGAGAGGACTCGAAAGGAGGGGAGTGTGGGTGCTTTTGAGTCGACTCGAAAGGACGGGAGTGTGGGTGCTTTTGAGTCGACTCGAAAGGACGGGAGTGTGGGTGTCTCAGTGTGGGCGAGGGGCCTTGTGGAGCGGAGTCTAATTGCTGCGCTTGCTGCTGTGTACCAATACCCGCGGTATCAAAGAGGTGAGGCGCACAAGGTATGGAGTGTTAGGTTTTTGACAAATTAAAAAAAACTAACACGGTATCAATGTAAGCAAGAGGGATGGTGGGCGGTTGACAACAGCACCTGCAAGCTCTTCTCCACGCGTGCCCCTTTTGCCCCATCCCCCTTCCCATACCCCCCTGATAAACTCACATACCCCTCTGCAGCAGTCACCGGCTCGGCAGCGTACCTGGGTTGAAAAGGTGACTTTGAGTCGACTCAGAAGTCACCTAATACACACACAGACCCCACTGCAGCAGTCACCAGCTCGGCAGTGTACCTGGGTTGACACTGTCAACTTGACAGCAGCACCTGCAAGTACCTCTCCTTGTTCCCTCTTCCCCTCCCCCTCCTCTTCCTCTTCCCCCTTCCAATTACAGATCCTCCAAGTGTGCTAACCAGCTCAGCCGTCTACCTGGGCTGGGCGGTGGACAACACCACATGCAAGTTCCTCTCCTCGCCCGCCCCTGACATGCTGCCCGCCCTGCAAGCAGTGGCTGACACCGTTCGTCTGCTAGCGCAGGCGCGGCTGCAGCAGATGCCGACCAGCGTGGAAGAGGACGAGGCGATCCTGAGGGAGTTGGAGGCGTGTGGGAGGGGAGGGGGGGGGGTGGGGGAAGAGGGGGAAGGTGGGAGAAGAGGGGGGGGTGTGGGGGAAGAGGGGAAGGAGGGGAGGCTGGAGGGGTACGAAGGGAAGGAGGTAAGGAGAGGAGAGGGAGAGGAGCGAGAGGGAAGGGAAGAGGAGGTGGACTGGAGAAAAGAAGAAGAGGACGGAATTAGGGGTTGTGAGGAGTGGGTTGAAGGGGGTGGTAAAGGGGAGAAGGGAAGAGGGAGGTTGACAGTGTTGTCCGTGCGGTGCAACTGTGCTGCCCTGCTGCCAGTGCTGGATGAGAAAAAAACGGCCGTGCGATTCCGATTTAACAGGAAGCGGGTGCTGCAGGGCGTTATCTCCCGGCTTGAAGCTGCCTGCCCACCCACTGATAGCCCTGCACTGTAGAAGACATACTCCTGTACTGTAGAAGACATACTCCTGTACTGTAGAAGACATACCTACTCCTGTACTGTAGAAGACATACTCCTGCACTGTAGAAGACGTACTCCTGCACTGTAGAAGACATACTCCTGTACTGTAGAAGACCTACTCCTGCACTGTAGAAGACATACTCCTGCTGCCTCTGTATAAACAGGAAGCAGATGCTGGAGGGATTTATAGCCTGGATGACAGTGGCATGGCATGTCCTCACACCTCTCCTCACCACCACCTCCCATCCACTGCCGGCCGCTGAGGCGCCTCACGTGAAGGCTGTGGGACGGTGGCAGGTGAGTGAGAGGGGATGAAGGGATGAAGGGAACGGACACTGAGATGGAATTGGAATGGAATGGCATGGCATGGCATGGCATGGCATGGAAGCATCTCTATTCACAATCCTCTCTGACCGTGAGGCCCTGTGGCTGCTTCTGTGATGCTCCATGGCGGCATGCCGTCCTGGGTACAGCAGGGCAGGGCACACAACATGCACAGCTGGACGGGATTCTGGGCAAGGTGGAGTGGAGTCTGGCTGGATGATTTGTTAAAGCCAGAGTCTAAAATAGCACACCCTGTTTCAAGTTGGGCCTCGCTGGTAGGTGCACGCATTTGACCAGACGAGACCAGGCAAGCCATGCAATTTAAACAAACTTCCAAAATTCCTGACTGATGGCCAGGAGGTTAAGAATGTTAAAACATGTCCAATGCACTGCCAACAATCCAAGCGAAGCACCCCCCTAAGCCGTGGCTGGCAGCAGGCGGAGCATGCACGGCAGCAGAGAACCACGTCTGCCAGATGGCAGAGCAGCGCTGCAGTGCAGTGCAGAGCCCTCTGGAACAGTGCGGTGCTCTGGAACAGCGAAAAGCCTAAAAAGCCTGGCAAGTTGCTTTTTAGAGGTTGATTCCGGCTAAAAAGCCTCTTGAAGCAACCTGCCAGTGCTCAAGAGCAGGCGCACCCCCCACCCCAATCACCGTCCGTCAGCCTCTTGGGTTTCGGTTTAGAGGGAGGCAATGGGCGCAGGCGGGCAGGCCTTTTTGAGCCGGTTGATCACCTCCCACAGCACGTCCTTCTTCACCTTCCTGAACCGCACTGCCATTGCCCTCTCATCCCCCTCCCGATGACCCCCTCACACCCACACCTCACACCGTCCGCCTCCTAGGACAGAAACAGATGGATGAGAAGGCAGCAACGCCAGCAGGGCAGGCCTTCTTGAGCCGGTTGACACCTTCCACAGCACGTCCTTCACCTTCCTGAACCGCACTGCCATTGCCCTCTCATCCCCCTCCTGATGACCCCCTCACACCCACACGTCACGCCCATCACCGTCTGCCTCCTAGGACAGCAACAGACGGATGAGAAGGCAGCGACGCCAGCAGGGCAGGCCTTCTTGAGCCGGTTGACACCTCCCACAGCACGTCCTTCTTCACCTTCCTGAACCGCACTGCCACGGCCCTCTCATCCACCCCCCGGTGACCTGACCCCCATTGCCGTCAGCCTCTTGGGCGCAGATCAGAGGGAAGCAACGGGCGCAGGGGGGCAGGCCTTTTTGAGGCGGTTGATGACCTCCCACAGCACGTCCTTCTTCACCTTCCTGAACCGCACTGCCACGGCCCTCTCATCCACCTCTGGCAACAGCGCCTCACACCCACACCGCACCCCCATCACCGTCAGCCTCTTGGGCCCATTGTCTTTGCTGCTGCCACTGCTGCTGCCCTTCCTCTGCTGCTCCATCTCACCATTCGCATCCTCCCCATCCTCCCCACTCTCCTCCTCGCTCTCCTGGCGTGCCTGCTCCTGCTCCCAAGCGTCGCAGTCCATATCTTCATCCCCACTCTTGCTCCTGGCCTCTAGAAACATCTCGTCTTCATTGTCACCCTCACTATTGTCACCATCGCCCTCGCTGCCCCGCCCTTCGCTATTGGCACGCCTGCGCCGGCGTCGGCTGAGTCGCTTCGCAGCAACTTCCTCCTCCAAGCTCGTCTGCTGCTGCTGCCGCTGCTGCTGCTGCTGCTGCTGCTGCTGCTGCTGCTGCTTCTGTGGCGACTTTTCCTTCTCCTTCCTCTCTTTCCCCTCCTTCCCCTTCTCCCCCTCCCCCACCCGCCTGCCCCGCTTGCACCGCTCCAGCTCCCTCAGGATCGCTTCGTCCTCTTCCACGCTGGTTGGCATCTGCTGCAGCTTTGCCTGTGCTAGCAGACGAACGGTGTCAGCTGCTGCTTGCAGGGCGGGCAGCACGTTCGAGAAGGGGGAGGCCACATTGCGACAGGCGCTGTTGCCCACCCCCCAGCTCAGATACAGCGCTGACATGGCCATGTCAGCCGGGGGCTCTGGTGGTAACGAGTAGTGGGGGGGGGGGGGGGGTAGAATAGAAGAGGAGATGGGAGGGGAGAGGAGAGGAGATGGGAGGGGAGAGGAGAGGAGATGGGAGGGGAGAGATGGTTCTCACCTAACTGGTGCTTGAGGTAGTACCACATGGCAGCAAACGACACCAGGAGGTTCAGCTCCTGGTAATCTCCTTCATCCCCCCAATGCGGTTCTCACCTGACTGGTGCTTGAGGTAGTACCACATGGCAGCAAACGCCGCCAGGAGGTTCGGCTCCACGATCCCCCCGCGCCACACCGACACCCCCTGGCTGTTCTCCTTCACTCCTTCCGCCAGCACCTCCACGCCCCCATTCACCTCGTCCGCGTCGCTCTCCCTCCGGATCGCCTGCCGCGCCTGGTACTGCGGCATCTTCGCCACTGTGGCGAACTGCCCCTCTGCTGCCCGCTCCTTGGCTATGCCGTCGATGGCCTTAGCTGCCACCCGCCAGAGCGCCTGCCGCACCTGCAGCCGCTGGGCTGTTGGGGATGCGGTCGGGGTGGCTGGGCCCCCCTGCTTCTTCCCTTGCCTCCTGTTGCTGCTGCTGCTGCGACTGCTGCTGCTGCTGCGGCCCTTGCTCTTGCCCCGGCTCCTTCCCTTGACCTTTTCCTTTTCCTGCATGCCCCACCTGCTCCTGACTTCCTCTCTTGCTTCCTCCTCGTCCTCCTCGTCGTCCTCCTCCTCATCACCATCATAATCATCATCAACGTCATCATCAGCATCAGCATCAGCAGCACCCTCATTCACCAGCCAGTCACCCATTCCTCCACCCCATATGCGAGCCAGCCCTTGCTTCAGCTCCCTATCCCCTCCACTGCCCGCCTCTTCACTCGTAGCTCTACCATCCGCCCTAGCACCACTCACCGCACCACCATCCGCAGCACCACTGCCATACTCTGCAGCACAGGTCCTCTTTTCCCCACCCTCCTCCTCTCCCTCCCCCTCACCATCCCCCACGTGACACTCACTGACAGGTCCACCCTCCCCTTGCTTGCCGCCCGCCCCCACCGCCCCTGCGGCCCACTCGCCCGGGTGTGTGGCTTGGCGGTGAACCATGAGCGCGACCAGGTTCACTGCATCTAGCAGCGTGCGGAAGAGCAGCACGTTCTCCTGGCGGTTGGCGTCCAGCACGAAGCCGTAGCCCAGCAGCAGCTCCTCATTCGTCTTAGGCCCGTACGACGTGAAGAGCTCGTCTCCCTTGCTGAAGGGCACGAGGGACACAAACTCAAACGAGGTGTCCCCAACCTGGGTAAGGGGAGGCGGAGGGGGGGGAGGAGGGCGAGTGGGGGAGAGAAGCGGGCAAGGTGGGGGGTTTGAGGCACGAAGCCGTAGCCCAGCAGCAGCTCTTTGTTCACCTTAGGCCCGTATGAGGTGAAGAGCTCATTTCCCTTGCTGAAGGGCACGAGGGACACGAACTCAAATGAGGAGTCCCCAAAGTGGATGAAGAAAACGGGGCACGGTGGGGCCTTTTGAGGCGCCTCAAAAACACCCTGCAAAATCGGGGGCACGGTGGGGCCTTTTGAGGCGCCTCAAAAACACCCTGCAAAATCGGGGGCACGGTGGGGCCTTTTGAGGCGCCTCAAAAACACCCTGCAAAATCGGGGGCACGGTGGGGCCTTTTGAGGCGCCTCAAAAACACCCTGCAAAATCGGGGGCACGGTGGGGCCTTTTGAGGCGCCTCAAAAACACCCTGCAAAATCGGGGGCACGGTGGGGCCTTTTGAGGCGCCTCAAAAACACCCTGCAAAATCGGGGGCACGGTGGGGCCTTTTGAGGCGCCTCAAAAACACCCTGCAAAATCGGGGGCACGGTGGGGCCTTTTGAGGCGCCTCAAAAACACCCTGCAAAATCGGGGGCACGGTGGGGCCTTTTGAGGCGCCTCAAAAACACCCTGCAAAATCGGGGGCACGGTGGGGCCTTTTGAGGCGCCTCAAAAACACCCTGCAAAATCGGGGGCACGGTGGGGCCTTTTGAGGCGCCTCAAAAACACCCTGCAAAATCGGGGGCACGGTGGGGCCTTTTGAGGCGCCTCAAAGCTGGATGAAGAAAAGGGGGGCACGGTGGGGAATTCATTGAAGCACGAAGCCGTAGCCCAGGAGGTGCTCCTCAGTGACCGGAACACGATGAGAACGTGAATTTGGGGCCATGAACACGATGAGAACGTGAATTTGGGGCCATGAACACGATGAGAACGTGAATTTGGGGCCATGAACACGATGAGAACGTGAATTTGGGGCCATGAATACGATGAGAACGTGAATTTGGGGCCATGAACACGATGAGAACGTGAATTTGGGGCCATGAGCACGATGAGAACATGAATTTGGGGTTGTAAACACGACGTGAAGAGCTCAGCCCCCCCTGGTGCAGGGCATGAGGGCAACTCAAAGGACGACTCACGCACCTGAGAAGTGCCTTACAGCGTGACAGTTACATCGTTACCACTAGCGCCGTTCGGAATCAGACCTAGTCACAAATCCATTCACTCACATGACTGAAACATCATTTCCTCTTGATCTAGCAGCTCCGCTATCAGCACGAGCGTCAGTACCCCGCTCACAAGCGTGACTTGCTCTCCTCTCCGTCCACCGTCACCATTCCACCGTTACAGCTAACACCATTCACCCCCACTCACATTGTACTGCGCCTGAAACATGTCTTCATGGTCCAGCAGCTCCGCTACGGGCACGAGCGTCAGCGCGCCGCTGGCCAGCGTGACCACCTGCTCCTTGCCCTCCAGCGTGACTGCCACATCGCTGGTGCGGCCCGTGTCGGAGAACGCGCGCGAGTTGATCATGGAGACCGCCCACAGGTACTCAAAGAACGTGGTGTTGCCCCGAGCTTGTGGCGGGATGCGGCTGTACTCACGGCGGTAGCTGTCCAGATGGGTGGATGTCTGATGACAGTGGGGAAGGAGGGAGGGGATGTGAAGGGGTTGGCGGGGAGGGGAGGTCGGGCAGCAGAGAGAGGGGAGGGCAGCATGTGAGTGAGTGAGTGAGTGATTCGTCTCCTTCAGAGACGGGTGCGCGTGTGTCGACGATGGAGACGGCCAAGAGGAACTCGAAGAATGTGGCGTTGCCCTGGGTGTGGGGGGGAATGCGGCTGTACTCGCAGCCGTAGCTGTCCATATGGCTCGATGCGGCTGTACTACGCACAGGCACACACGCGCACCCCTCCCACCTACGCACAGGCACACACGCGCACCCCTCCCACCTACGCACAGGCACACACGCGCACCCCTCCCACCTACGCACAGGCACACCCCTCCCACCTACGCACAGGCACACACGCGCACCCCTCCCACCTACGCACAGGTACACACGCGCACCCCTCCCACCTACGCACAGGCACACACGCGCACCCCTCCCACCTACGCACAGGCACACACGTGCACCCCTCCCACCTACGCACAGGCACACACGCGCACCCCTCCCACCTACGCACAGGCACACACGCGCACCCCTCCCACCTACGCACAGGCACACACGCGCACCCCTCCCACCTACGCACAGGCACACACACGCACCCCTCCCACCTACGCACAGGCACACACGCGCACCCCTCCCACCTACGCACAGGCACACACGCGCACCCCTCCCACCTACGCACCCGTTGCACGAAGGAAGGTGAGTCGAGCTCGAGCAACGTCTCCAGCTTGAAGAAAAACGGGAGACCAACGGCAGGCGGCAGGAACTGTAAGTACGGCCACCAGAAGGAGTCCCTGCCCTTGAGCGTCTCGCAGCACAGCCACACGCAATCTCATCCACCTACCCTGTGCACGAAGGCAGGCGAGTCGAGCTCGAGCAGCGTCCCCGGCTTGAAGAAGAACGGCAGGCCGACAGCTGGCGGCAAGAACTGCAGATACGGCCACCAGAAGGAGTCGCGGCCCTTGAGCATCTCGCGGCACAGCCACGCCGCCGCCATGCCGGTGGACCAGATGGGCCCCTGGTAGGGCACCATGTCCTGCACCATCATCTCGGTGGAGAGGAAGAGCGCGCGTGGGATGGACATCATGTGCTCTGCCCGGTGTTTGCGGCCCTGGCCGGCATACACTGTCAGCTGGCGCCTGGTGGGGTGGGGTGGGGAAGAGGAGAGGGGGAGAGGGGGGCATGGAGGGGAGCGAGGGCGCGCGGGATGGACAACATGCGCTCGTGCTGCTGCCTGCGTGCTTGGCCTGCGCACACTGTCAGGTGTGCTTTGAGTCGACTCAAACGACGCGCTTGGCCTGCGCACACTGTCAGCTGTATTTTGAGTCGACTCAAAATACACGGCTGGCCTGCATTCTTACACTGTCAGCTGACGCCTGAAGAACAGGAGGGGAGAGAGGGAGAGGGGAGCATGGAGGGGAGCGAATGAGTGTGTAGGATAGGATGTCTGATACTGCCACCCCACCAGACGTGGCTAGTTAGATTCGGTTAGAATCCCTCCTCAACCTTCCAATCTCCTATCTTCCATCATATCATACTCCCCTCCTTGCCACCGGTATCCTTCCCGAATCAATTCATTCGGCTAATTTTCAGGAAAATCTTCGCCACCAGCTTGCAGCTGAAGCTACCTGATCACACATCTGGCTCTTTTCACCTGGAGCCACCTGTGCTTCCACCTGAACGCACCTGGGCTTCCACCTGAACGCACCTGCGCTTCCACCTGAACGCACCTGGGCTTCCACCTGAACGCACCTGCGCTTCCACCTGAACGCTCCTGGGCTTCCACCTGAACGCACCTGGGCTTCCACCTGAACGCACCTGCGCTTCCACCTGAACGCACCTGCGCTTCCACCTGAACGCACCTGAGCTTCCACCTGAACGCACCTGGGCTTCCACCTGAAAGCACCTGCGCTTCCACCTGAACGCACCTGCGCTTCCACCTGAACGCACCTGGGCTTCCACCTGAACGCACCTGGGCTTCAACCAGTTGTGTGCTGTGGCCTTTGATGCAGATGGAGTGGCGTTCCGGTAGACCAGCTGCAGGGACGGGGAGGTGGGGGGAGGGGGCGAGGGGGGGGGAGGGCATTGGGGCGATGGGAGGAGGGGAAATGGGCGGAGGGTGGGGATGAGGGAAGAGTAGTGAGCAGGGACGTAGGCGAGGAGTTGAGGCATGCGTGGGTACGTGTCTGCTGTTCTCTTAGATGCAGACAAAGTGGAGTTGCGGTAGACTAGCTGCAGGGGGGAGGCATTGGGGGCAGGAAGGAAGGGTTGAGGGAAGAGCGGTGGGTGGGTGGTGAGAAGGGGCATTAAGAGGGGTTGATGTGTATGTGTGTGTATGTGCGTGTATGTGCGTGTGTGTGGGGGGTGGGGGGGAGACCTCAGATTGAAATGCAACGTCTGGGGCAGACGGGGGTGGACCCTGGCTACAGACGAGCTGCGGGGAGAGCAGATAATGAGGGAGATGCTTCAGAGTCAGACCAGGTGTAGAGGAGAGGGGCACGGACAGGGAGGCTAAGAGGGATGCATTCACATCAGAGTAGACTTTTAGGCGCCTCAAAAATCGACAAGTGCTGAGGAGAGGGGCGCAGACTGGGAGGCTACGAGGGATGCATTCATTCAGATGGTAGCGCAAGCTGGGAGATGGTAAGTGGAGAGACACACAATTAAAAGCAGAAACTGTTAAATAATCAAAATCTCCATGGAGAAACTTCTTAGCAGTTCTGTTCTCCCTGATCCACTCCACTGCAAAGATCCATCCAGCCGCTCGTCGTCATGCCAACCGGTTCCTCTGCAGCTTTCCAGTCGACTCAAAAGTTGCTCCTCGTCATGCCAACGGGGTCCTCTGCAGCTTTCTCACCCAAAAGATGCACCCGGGCGGCAATTTCTCACCTGGAGTATGGACCCTGGCTCAGCAAAGTCGATAACTACTCAGCAGTTTCATTCTCTCTGGTCCACTGCATGTGATTTTTGAGTCGACTAAAAATTCACTCTCTCTGGTCCACTGCATGAACTCCTCCAACCACTCCTTGTCAGCCCAATGAGTTCTTCTGCCGCTTTCTCACACTAAAAGCTGGACGGTGGTGAGCATATCCCAGTGGAATCGACTGCCGGAAATATGGCTCCATTCAAACCGTTCTCACCTGGAAGATGGACCCCGGCTCAGCAAAGTCAGGAATGCCGTTCTCCCTTATCCACTGCACGAACTCTTCCAGCCGCTCTTCGTCATCCAGGTCCTCCATCGCCTCCCGCACCTGCTCACTCCACACCCCCCTCTCGCCTCCCCCCTTCTCCCCGCTCGCCTCTCCCGCTCCCCCTTCCCCTCCCAATCCTGCATCAGCACCAGCACCAGTACCAGCAGCAGCGGCAGCACTGGTGGCAGCAGCGCCGGCCTGGGCTTCGTGGGGGTAGTTGACGGAGCAGGAGGCTTTGAGGTGCGCCGAGAGGATGGCCAGAATGTCACGCTTGCTCGAGCGGAACACCACCATTGGCTTCACTGCTGCTGCCTCTGCGAAGAACGCAGGTGTGCACACCTGAAGGGGGGAGAGTGAGAGGGGAAGAGGACGGGAGGGAGGAATAGAGGGGAGGCAGATGAGGGGTTGCTGCTGCCTCCGCGAAGGAAGGAAGGAGGTAGGGAGGGAGGGAGGGAGGGAGGGAGGGAGGGAGGGAGGGAGGGAGGGAGGGAGGGAGGGAGGGAGGGAGGGAAGGGGGGGGTCGGAGGGAGGGAAGGGGGAGGGGAAGGGAGGGAGGGGGAAGGGAGGGAAGGGGGGAGGGAGGGAGGGAGGGAGGGAGGGAGTGAGGGAGGGAGGGAGGGAGGGAGGGAGGGAGGGAGGGAGGGAGGGAGGGAGGGAGGGAGGGAGGGAGGGAGGCAGGGAAGGGGGGAGGGAGAGAGGGAGGGAGGGAGGGAGCGTGGGAAGCGGCCACCCCATGCCAAGCACTAACCGCAATCATGACCTCACCTTATCCAGGGTCTCGAACAGAATCCCCGAGTGCTGCGCCATGTGGCAAATCGGCTCCGTTTCCAAAATTCGCCGCCCGACCTCGTCCAGGCCAATCATTGCCGTCATCAGCTCCGATATCGGCCGCTGCAGGCTGCTGGCCGTCACGTCTAAGGCCAGGGACAGCCCCGTTACAGCCGGGTGGTTACTGGGTGATGGGGCGGCGGAGGGGTTGGCGGGGTCGGTGGGCATGTGGAGGTAGAGCGGGTGGGAGGGGTCGGAGAGCAGAGGCATGCGCGTGCATGTGGTGCTGCCGTCTAGATTCCATGCGTACGCCACGCTCACACGCGCCAGGGGAATGACGTCCGGGGCTGGTCGGGGGAGGGTCATAGGAATGGGGGAGAGGATAGGGGAGAGGATGGGGGGAGAGAGGATGGGATGAGGATGGAGGGGTGGGTGGGTGGGGGAGAGAGGATGAGGGAGAGGAGGAGAAGGTATCCATGGGGGTTTAGGGTCGCCAAGGCATGTGCGTGCATGTGGTGCTGCCGTCCAGGTTCCATGCATATGCCACGCTCACACGCGCCAAGGGGGTGTTGTCCAGAGCTGGTTAGGGGGAAGGGAGACGGGGATGGGAAGAGGGTACGTGAGGTGGAGCAGGAAAAGGTGGGCCATGAAAAGGTGGGCCATGAAAGGGTGGGCCATGAAAGGGTGGGCCATGAAAAGGTGGGCCATGAAAAGGTGGGCCATGAAAAGGTGGGCCATGAAAAGGGAGTGAAAGATGCAAAGCAAGAGGGCATGTGGGGTCTTATAGCAGTGGAGTGGGGGGAAGCACACTTGCGCTGGGCTGTTTGGATTGGATTGCTCAATAGCTCAAAGCATACTAATCATCCCGCACCTCGTCCAGTGCCCACCAGCAGCACAATCACACCGACGAACGCCACGAGCTCAGGGTCCACCCGTTAAAAGGTGCCTCAGATAGAAGGCCTCATTTGTGGGGTAACTCATAACATGACTCACCTCGTCCCGTGGCCGCCAGCAGCACGATGGCGCTGAAGTACGCCATGAGCTCGGGGTCCATCCGCCCATCCGAGTACACATACAGCCCTTCCACCGCATCCTCCTCGTCCCCCTCCCCCTCCTCCTCCTCCTCCTCCCCTCGCCCCTTCCGCCCCTTCCTCCCCTTGCCGCCTTTGGGGTATGTCTCTGCCTCTGCTCGCCCCTCCTTCTCTGCTTCTAGCTCTGCCAGCAAGGCAGCCGCTCTCCTCCTCTGCCTCTGCCGGTACCGCTGCCTCATCGCCCGTCTCCTCTCCCAGAACAACAGCTGGTCCACCACATCACCCCCACACCCCTCCTCCTCCTTTCTCCCTCTCACCCCTCCTCTCCCTCTCACGTCTCCGCTCTCGGCTCTGACAGCAGCAGCAAGCAGCTTCTCGCGCACCAGAGCTGAGAGGACCTTCTCCTTCACTTCCTGCACCTCCTTCAGCAGGCTCTCCCGCACCTGCGCTGCCACTTTGGTGAACGTTCCCGGCTCGAAGTTCGGGTTGACGTTCGCGGCATCGAGCACGCTCTTGGTGAGGGCGTCATAGGAGGTGTAGAGCTGGTGGGGGTTTGAATGGGGAGTGGTGGGGGGGATTGTGGGGAGGGGAGGCAGGGAGAGGAGGTGGGAGATTGGGGAGGGAAAGGGAGGGAGTGAGTCAAAGCACCTCCTTCAGCAGGCTCTTCCCCACTACCACTTTGGTGAAAGTTGCGGGTTCAAAGTTCGGATTGACATACGCTGCATCGAGGACGCACTTAGTGGGGGCGTCGTAGGACGGGTAGAGCTGGTGGGGTGAAGATGGGTGCAGAGGGGCGCAAAGGGGAAAGGGGGGGGTTGGGGGAACACGGGAGCTGGAGGAAGCAGTTCGGGTTCACGTACAATGTAGGTGGAGGAGGGGAGTGAGGGGGGTGTTGGCAGGAGTATTAGGGTAACTCTCGGGATTCTAGTGAAGGGTTAAATGCGTTGGGTTGGCCTGTGGGGCAGGGTTTCGGGTATTGGTGCGCTGACCTACTAGATGAACAGTGCTTTGGGTCTGCATTCATGAACATGGTATCAGGGCTTAGGTCACGGGTTCGAGTCCCAGAGTGACTCTGTTTAGTTTCGAGCTTAAGGTCAAGGCTCATAAGAATATCATAAGAACTGATCTGCACGCGGTCGAATTTGGAGCAGTTAGGGATGATCCCAAGGGACAAGGAGGAGGAGATGGTTCTAACCGGCACGCAAGCTAAGGGAATGAAGCATGTGATTTCACCTGCACGCAAGCTAAGGGAATGAAGCATGTGATTTCACCTGCACGCGGTCAAAGGCGGAGCAGTTGGGGATGATCCCAAGGGAGAGGAAGGCGTCGTCGTTGGACAGGAGAGTGGCTGGGGAGAGATGCGCGTCTGACTCAAGCACCTCCCACAGATCCCTTGGGGGGGGGGTGTCTTCCTCCTCCTCCTCCTCCTCTTCCTCTGCTTCTTTCCCCTGAGCTCCTGTGCCTGCTTCTGCTTGAGTTGAGTCGCCTTTCAGCGGGTCTGGCAGGCCGCCGTTGAGGGGCAGGAGGAGGGCAGCACCGGGAGGAATGGCAGCAGACGCCCACAGGTGGAAGCCAGAGTGTGAGAGCTGCGGGGGAGGGGGTGGGGGGAGGAGAGATGGAGAGGAACAAAATGATCCAAACAGGCTGAAGGCTGCTGAAAACCACAGGTGGAAGCCAGTGTGCGAGAGCTGGGGGCGGGGGAAGTGCGGGAAAGAGAGGGAGGATGGATCATTGAGCAGTGAGCACGCAGTTGTGGAAGAGTGGGCGGAGGTGGAGGATGTACTGCGGCACAACTGGGAAACAGAGGTAGGATTGCAGTGGTATCATTCACATCCTCTCACCTGATTTTGCAGGGTGTTTTTGAGAATTCTCAAAAACACCCTGCGGAAACAGAGGTAGGATTGCAGTGGTATCATTCACATCCTCTCACCTGCCATCGCACGTTGCCCTCGCTCCTCCCAGTCGCCCTCGCAAGGGCATTCCCCAGCGGCACCACAGTCAGCTCAAACCGCCGCTGCTTCTGCTTCTTCCCCTTCCCCTTCTTCCCGCCCTTCCTCCCTCCCTTCCTCCCCTTTTTCTTCCCTCCCTTACTCCCTCTGCCGCCCTGCTGGTCCTCCTCCCGCCCCTCTGGCAGGGGCGGCAGGCGCATGGGCAGAGCCAGCGTCTTCACTGCCGCCACAGTTGCCAGGAACTGCTCCAGGGAAGGCAGCCCGGGGGCACTGCTCGTGCCATCCCCGCTGGTGGTGCTGCTGCTGGTCCAGTTGGCATACTCCTGCTCGTGCTGCTGCCGCTGGTTCACAGCCTGCCAGGGTGGAGGGGCGGGGCGGCGAGAGGAGCAGGGGAGAAACGGCGTGAGGGGCAGGCAGGGAGGGAGGAAAGGATGAGGAGCATGAGGGCTAGTTTTGAGGCGCCTCAAAACTGGGCAGGGAGGGAGGAGGAAAGGATGAGGAGAATGAGGGTGGAAGGGAGGGTTCAGGAAGCAAGGGAAAGGGAGGGAGTGTAACGCCTCGTGCACTAGACTAGACCACTAGGCAAAACGGGGGGTAACCAGAGAGCCTCGCAGCAGCTGGGTTAGCCCTTCGTGAACATCCGCAAATGTTACAGGGAGGGAGAGGGAGGGGAGGGGGGGGAGAGCGAGGAGAGGGGGGGGAGGGGTTCGGGGTGTGGGGGGTTTTAGAGAGCAGGAGAGGAGGGGGAGGGGGAGGGCACACCTGGTGGAGGAGGGGCAACTGGGGGAGGTCGTTTCTGAGCATGGGCAGCATGTGGGCAGTGCGGGAGGCCAGCAGCAGAGGCAGCAGCGAAGGCGCCACTCGCCCTCCCCCTCCTTCCCCCGCGCCCTCCCCCTCCCCCTCCGCCCCTGCTTCCACCTCCGCGCCTCCCTCCCCCTGCTGCTGCAGCAGCAACAGGCAGGCAGCCAGGGCGCCCTCGGGGGAGAGCGGCAGGCGATGGGCGGGCGCGGAGCAGCGCGAGGCGTTGAGCAGCACAGGCAGCGGCAGCCGCAGCAGCAGCTGCCCCGCCGCTATGGGCGCTGCTGCGACCAGCAGGGGGAAGAACCTGCGGAGAGGGGGGGAGGAGAAATAGAGGGGGACGGCAGAGGGGGGAGGGGGGGGGGGGAGGGAGGGTGGAGAAGGGGGAGGGGTGAATAGAGGGCGACGGGGGGGATAACTGAAAGGCTATGGGCGCTGCTGCGACCAGCTGGGGGAAAGGGGGGAGGGGAGGGAAGGGGAGGGGGAGTTAGGAAGAATGAGATGACAGGGGGGATCGAAAAACGGAGGTGAGGGAGTTGAGGGGAGGTGGGTGGGTTGATTTGGGCTGTGCAGGCAGCGACCAAGCTGGCAGCAGTGATCACTGCGCACTGGCTTGTGCGAAGCCCACAAGAGAGCGAACCTAAACCCCAGAAACCTGAGACACAAAACCCAGAACCCTCCACTTGCCCCCACCCTCACACTTGCCTGTACTTCTTCGGCTTTCCGTCCCCATCGCTCGCTGCCTTTCCGCCCTTCTCCTTCTCTTTCACCTCGTCCTCCTCGTCCTCTGCCTCCTCCTCGTCATCGTAGTAGTCATCATCGCGCACCCTCTTCTCCTTCTCCTTCTCCTCCTCCTTCTCCTCCTCTTTCTCCTCCTCCTTTTCGTTTTCCATTCCCCCATCCTCCACTTCCTTCGTCCCCGTGCCTTCCGCTTTAGAGTCCGAGGCAGCATCGCCTTGCACTTCCACTTTAAAGACTTTCAGCTGCGTGGTTGTGAGCGCAGAATGGGAGGAGACGGAAGCGGGAGGGGGGAGGGGGTAGGGGGGGGGGGGGGGAGGGGGAAGAGGGAGAGTGTAGGGTGGGGGAGGGGACACATCCTAAAGATTAAAGCTCGACATACAGTTTGCATTGCATACATTCGCGTGTACGTAGTATGTGTATGGTACAATTACGTACACTTAATGCACTTTACATATACACATGCGTTAACATTCCCTGGGTTAATTTACGCTATTCGATGTGCGCATTTACGGGATGGAGATAAGAAAGAGCAGTGAGGAGGGAGGACGAAGGGAGGGGAACGGGGTGTTGTAAGTATAAAGCATTATTTCCATAATTAAACATTGTTGCACATTGGTTTTGACGCAGGCGAGCTGTGTGTGGGTATAATACTAAGGCCGGGAAGGGGCAGAAGGGTTACAAACGAAAGTATACGAAAGCGACATCGGATTTCGATTCCTGTGGCTCAGATTAGCTCGAGAGTTAAAAAAAAAAAAAAAAAAAAAAAAAAAAAAAAAAAAAAACGTCATTCAAGGATTTGGCGAAAGATTGCTCAGTGCATGAAGCCAAACCCCCTGGTCAACGCTCCGTCTGGACTCACCTTCAGATTCCTCCCCGTCAGCGCGTCGCCCTCTTCGCCATTCTCGCGCAGCCACGTCAGCAGCTCCGCGTACCCGGACTCCTCCAGCGACGCCTCGCTGCTTCCGTCCAGCGGCGCAGAGCCCCCCGCCGCGCCTCCCGCGCCCCCCGCAAACTCGTCCGCTTCGGACCCGCCGAGCTCGTTCAGCAGCCAATCAAATCCCTCCCGTTGCGGATCCATCGGCCCGGAAGTTGCGGAGGACTCGCATTGTGCGGTATGGATAGCGGCGAGGAGGGCGAGCAGGAGGATTGGGGAGAGAAGGGGGAGGAGGAGAGGGGAAAGGAGGCGGAATCGCGGCATTTTGAAGAAGAAAGCGTCGGAATGCGGAGACATTCTTAACGCGGTGACGCCGACGAGAGCGCCGCTGAGACGGCGGCTGAGACGGCGGCTGAGGCGGGTCTGGAGAATCAATCACCCGCGGCTGATGTTCGATCGTCCAGACGGCGCTCCTGGAAAGCGGCGAGAAATTGAGCACGTAGACAGGCTCCTTCGGGTGGCTAGTACAAGCGGCGACAATGGTGACTTTCGAGTCGCCTCGGCTCGAAAGTCACCTCGTGAAATGGAGGCCTTTGGTGGCTGGAAAGCGGTGCCGAGGCCACTAGTATACTGAGGCTAGCGGGAGTTAAGGGGAGCAAGGAGCCACGGGAATGGCTAAAACACGCTGAAACGAGATGTTTAGTTATAAATATGTAGGAGAGCCTCCTTTTCCTTCACGAATCCCCCTCGCCGCGGCTGGAAATCTCCCTGAGTGAGAAGATCATCTCAGGAAATGAATGGAGAAGTGCGGATTCGGGAAATGCGGAACAGCTAGCCCTGAAGAACTTCAAATGGGCCTCAAATGAGGAGGATAAACAGGAACGTAATCAAGAGCACGAGACCAGACGAGACGATCACTGGAGAGATCTGTCCTCAAAACATCCTGCTCTTGAAACATTTCAGCAGCACAGCCATGGCGGCGATGGTCTCGATAAGGTTTGCATCAGCAGCAGAGTTGACATTGGGCTGGGAATTGCCGAAAGTCAGTAGTCAAGACCAAACGCGGAACCGCGCTATGCAGTCAAGAGGCTCGGGCAGTTTCTTGGGCAGCTAGGTGAGTTCACTTATAACAAATATTGCAATTAGAACAGAACACTGTCCTAAATTTGCTAATACCTTTCAACTGTTAAAAAAGACCCGGTCCAAACAAATTAGGAACTGTTGAGAATGGCTTGGAATGGCCAATGGCGAAGCAGCGCCTTGCACGTGAGATTGCTGCTTGAAAGTTGCCTCTACAGCACGCATTCTACCTTCAAACAAGAGCTAACGATGAAATCCGATATCTGAGTGATAACTAGATAACATTCCGATATATGAGTGATAACTAGATAACATTCCTTCTCACCTAGGAAATGTACAACCAAGAGACCATATTTTTTTCATCCTTGCTAATCTAATCCTCATTGGCCCTCCTATAGCTACTTCTTCACCTTTATTTGAGACTCGAAATTGAGAATGCTGACTGACTCTCCTGCCTTCTCATCATAATCCGAAAACTCCTGGTCGCTCAAATCAATGTCTTCGAACTTGGTACCGGACTCTGCCCCTTCCGCCTGCCAGCCATTTTTTGGAATAAATTCCACCGGCTCCATTCCTCGACAGTCCAGGCAGACAAGAGGGACAAACTTCCTGTTTTCGCAATCGTCTGCAGTGAAGGGCTTTGCATGCCCTTCTACTATCGAAATAGAGCCTGCTCGGCTGCAGAAATTGCACTGTAGATGTGTGGCAATGGGGAGAGATGAGGAGCGTGAGGAGGGGTTGAGGAAGCAGAGACAAAGAGTGGCAAGTGAGGAGAAGGCAGGAAGGAGGAGAAGCAAGGAAGGTGTAGACAGAGTGTGGTTTATGACAGACAGCAGGGGCTCTTCATACACTACGTCAAGGGAGAATACCTTAAGCAAGGTTTCTTCATACTCCTGTCCTTCATCGACGGGTGTGCTCGACGTACCTTCTGGACGAGGTTGGCGGTACCTCGGCTGCCCTTCATCTCGTATTCCTCTCCCTTAGCCACAGACGACTCTTTAGCACTCACTTCGCCACAGGAACACCTGAGGCCAGCAACAAGAAGGGGCCAGGAGCGAAATGAGAGGGGTCAGAAGCGACATAAGAGAGGTCAAAAGCGGCATGAAGGGGTCTGAAGCGACATGAAGGTGTCTGAAGCGACATGAGAGGGGTCAGAAGCGACATGAGAGGGATGGTGGCGTTGTGAGAGCAGCCAAGGGGTGCAAATAGTCAGGCTCTCTATTACGACACCCATCAGACCGTCACGTAGAATGCAGCCGCTCGAACTTAAGCTGGTGCCAGCCAGGCCAAATCCACACGTTCGTTCTGACCAAACATCGGTGGTTTTCACCTGAGACTTTAGTAGTATGTAAAACGCGAAATATCCTCGATCCGGAATTCCAAGTTGGGTGACCAGCAACCAACCTGAGCTTCATGCAACAGGTGAAATCACCTGATGCGGGCCGCAGGTTGATCGGATTATCTGCTGCTTCTAGAACCCACCTGAGCTTCATGTAGTAGGTGAAATCGTCAGATGCGGGCCGCAGGTTGGTGAGATTCTCCAGCTCGCATCGGATGGAGATGACGAGTAGAACCATCGCCGCTCGACTGATTAATAAGCTAAAAGTGAACGTTTCTGTACAGCGGATTTCCGAACCTCGGAAGTCTACTGCTAAGAAGACGAGCGTAAGTACACACTGCCGCAGCGTAGTTGTGGTGCCAGCGGCTAGCCGAAATAAACTAATGATGAAACGAAATCGCGACCTTGATGTGTGGGCTATGAAGTAGGAAACGGGGTTTAGAAGCAAGCCGTGCGGAAGGGAAAGCAGGCAGAAGGCGAATCGACTCGCTACGCAATCTACGTGCGTGGAGAGTGGCCAGCATGCAATGAACCCGATGCATCTGTAAGGCACTATTTTACGGCTGAAAGCGTGACCTGCGCCACCTTTCTCTCTCAATACCCTAACCAACCGCTCCAGATCGTTTTTTGGACTTTTTATATTAGACAGAATCTCACCCAACCGTAATCAAACGTACACGCGGAACACACCCTAACAAATCAGTCCGCTGAACCAGGCAGGGACAGCACAGCGCGGTTGGGAGGGGTAAGCAGCAGTTTGGGAGGAGACTCGTCGGGCTCACTCCGAGATGTGGTTATCTCCGTTATAGGGGCTTGCGCTGCCTTACGAGCTCGAGCAGTACACTCCCAGAACGTTACGAAGTTGCGACAGAAATCATGCGTACTGTAATGAAGCGCAAAGAGTGTGTGTCGAAGGATTGATTAAAGAGGAAACAATACAACTGAGACACATCAAAAACAGCAGGGGCATGGATATAGCCAGCCTAGGAGCACACGGTCGTGGCTCGGCAGGGCTGCGACGTGTGGATTGTAATTGGCGTGGAGCGCCCGGTTCTAGACATACAACTGTCACGAGAGCAAGGTAGCTAGGAAGCCATGAAAATGGCGAGAGGGTTTAGCTAGGAGAGAAAGTTACGAGAGAAAAGAGGTCGCGAATAGAAGAGATAGGGATACAAGGAGGGGTGTTGTACCCTCTACAGTAGGTTTCAGTAACAGCTACCAAGCCTACAATTATATAACAAATATATAACTTAACATACCCCGTAGGCTTGGTAGTAGAAGAACCCACACCCACACCCCCTAACCTAGCACCCGCATTCCCAGCAGCAGCCACAACTACTCCGGCATGGCCAACCCCATGGCCCGTGAGTTGGCGACGGCGGCAGCGGCGGTGGTGACGACAGCGGCGGCGTGCAGCGGCAACAGGCCGGCGGCGACAGCGACGGCTTTGACGACAGCGGCAACTGCAGCAGTCCCCGCCCTCTCGGCGGCGTGGCCAAGCTCCACGACGATGGGGAAGACCCTCACAAGTCAGGCGTCGACTGTGGCGAGGAGGAGGGGACGAAGGGGAAAATGAGGGGGGGGGGGACGGGGCATGGTCCAACATCACGCTCGTAGCTGGCGTGCGGGCGCCAAGACCGGCGGCGCCTAAAACGGGGCGCTGCCGATCGTGCCGTACGCACGCTGGCAGCACGTCGCCATGGCAGTACGACGGCGCCGTCACGCCGCCACGGCTCGACGTCGACGCCACGGCAGCACGACGAAACAGCTGCGGCAGCTGTGAGAGGACAACACCGTTACACCAATTTTCCCTTTCCAAATTTCCTATCTATTTCATCCCTCTTTTTATCCAGATTCATTTGGTCTTTATCTCATCTCATTTGGTTTCCTATTCATCATTTTCCTTTATCCTTTGGTTTATCATGTTATTATGATTATATTACCGACCAGGCTCGGGATGTACTGGCACGCTATATCTAGCGTTATCTTGTCGTAATCCCTTAAAGCCAATAGCATCGCGTGGCTATACGCAGGGTGATTCTGTTTCTAGAAGGGTCTATTCCCTTTGGATAGGATAAACATGGTTACCTGATGTACTCTAGAAGTATAAAAGCACCTTGTACTCATGGATAGTGCAACATTGAGCAAAACTCATTCGATCATGTGACAGCAGCACGACGCGGCCGCCATGGCAACGCAAGAGGGAGAGGAGGAGTGCGCGGCGGAAGCGTAGGGAGCAGGCCCGTAAAGGGCAACTTGCTCCGTTACCATGTCACGAGAGCTAGGTAGCTAGGAAGCCATGAAAATGGCGAGAGGGTTTACCTAGGAGAGAAAGTTACGAGAGAAAAGAGGTCGAGAATAGAAGAGAGAGGGATGCAAGGAGGGGTATTGTACCCTGTACAGTAGGTTTCAGTAAGAGCTACCAAGCCTACAATTATATAACAAATATATAATTTAACAACAACAACAAGGCGGGCATCGATGCATGCGGCTCGTCGGGAGACCACATTTGCGACCGCGATTTGAATTTCGTGGCAGAGCTGCGCAGCAACCCCGTTATAGCAGTGTACGCCTTTCTGACTAAAACACGTAATAAGGAAATATCCTATCCTTACACCCTCCCCCCTCCAAGGTATGGTCTTAGTTAAGACCGCCGACGTCGCGCACATTGCGTGACTGGAGGTTGAGTCATAAAGTCACCAGTCCTAACCACTGGGACAAGAAGGGATGTCATCAGGAGGGTTAGGCTCCATATATCCACCTTCCCCGGGGAAAGCCTCCCCAGTACCCTCCTTAGAGAGAGAGAGGATCGACAGGGTATCCCAATGCCACGACACAACCCCCCACTGGAATAGCGTGTACACCAGGAATTGAACCCTTTCAGATGGCTCTGATACCAAGTCATAAAGTCAACAGTCCTAACCACTGGGACAAAAAGGGATGTCATCAGGAGGGTTAGGCTCCATATATCCGCCTTCCCCGGGGAAAGCCTCCCCAATACCCTCCCTAGAGAGAGAAAGAGGATCGACAGGGTTACCCCAGTGCCACGACAGGTAAACCCGTAATACGGGGTGATTCTCGATCTGTGCCAGGGGCGCCCAACTGTTTCCCAGGGCTGTCTGGTCCTTCCAGGATATCATAAACTCGATCAGGCGAGCCCCTCGAGGATCCATGATCCGATGGCTGAGAACCTTCGCAGGTTCGACTCTAGGCTCGGCGAGCGGTCGGATGTTCGAGTTCGTTCGGTGATGTGGTAGCTGACTGGTGCTGGCGATGTATGGTCGAAGTAACCGCATGTGGAATGATGTGCTGATGTTCCAGGTGGCTGGTAATAGTAGGCAGGCTGTAACGGAAGATAAAAAGTGGCTCATGGTAAATGGTCCACAGTAGCGGGGACGGAGTTTTGGGACGATGGGCAGTCGAAGGTTCTGGGTGTCGAGCAGTACTAAGTCTCCAGCCTGGTACGTCACTGCTCGTGGTTGTAGATCGGCGTTGCGCTTGGGAATTACATTCGCGCGCTTGATGGCTATTGTTGCTCGCTCCCGGGCATTCTGTAAGATTTCGGCAAACTGCTGGGCTCGTAGTACTAGATTTTCAGGGTTGGGCGTGATCGTTACTATAGGGTTCTGCTCGTAATTCAGGTAAAATGGTGACTGTCGTATAGTGGTTGACGGGGCGTTATTATATGCGAAATCAATCTGTGGCAATTGCTGCTCCCAGTCGGCCACGTCATTGTAGGTGACCCGAAACAGTTGCTCCATTGTCTGATTGGCTCGTTCCGTCTATCCATCATTCTCTGGGTGGTAGGCGGAGGAGAATTCCAGTCGCGTGCCAAACTGTTCCCAGAGGTTGCGCCATATGTTACTGGTGAATCTCGTGTCACGATCTGAAATGATGGAGGATGGGATTCTGTGGAGGGAAACGACGGTTGCGATGGAGAGGCGGGTTGTTTCCTCGGCTGAGATGCTTTTCTTACAGGCGGCAAAGTGGGCCATCTTGGTCAGCTTATCGATGACGACGAATATCGCGTCATTACAGCCATCCTTAGCAGGCAATCCTGTGACTAAATCCATTTTCACTTGCTGCCACGCGCATTCAGGCGGCGGAATCGGCTGCAACTATCCCACTGGCTTCTGCTTCGATGATTTCATGGTTTGGCAGGTTCTTCACGAAACCACATGCCGCTGTACGTCCCCTTGCATGTCGGGCCAGAAATAATATATGGACATCTGCTGCCTGGTTTTCTCCACTCCAAAGTGCCCCAAAACTGTACTGTCGTGATTTTCTTCTAACAGTAATTCCCGTAGTAGACTGTACTCTGATACCCAGATGCGGTCAGTCCCTGTCTTTACGTAATAAACTCCCTTGGCTGTTGCGAGCTGTTCGTACGTGCTTGACGTAAAGAATTTGTCCATCTTGTACCTGTGGGTAAATAGACCTGTTAATAGCAGAGAAGTTTGGGCGAGTATTAGGGAGTTGAGATGGGCGGATGGGCGAGAAAGGGGGTCTGCGATGTTGGATGCCCCTTTCTTGTAGGTGACCATATAATGGAAGTTGGACTCCATAAAATCCAACCACCGAATCTGTCGTGGGTTGAGTAGTGGATGTGCCCGGATGTACTGTAGGCTTCGGTGGTCTGTCCGTACTGTCACGTCTGCGTGTGTCAAGTAGCACCGCCACACTTTGAATGCATGCACAATCGTGAGCGTTTCCTTGCCGTGTATCGGGTAGTTTCACTCGGGCGGATGCAGTTTTCGTGACTCGTACGCGATTAGCTTAAGCCCTTCGCCGAAGTCCTGAAACAGTACTACTCCGATGGCGATGTCACTGGCATCGGTGATTACTTTGAATGGACTGTGAGGATCGGCGATGCGAAGGACAGGGGCTGAGCACATAAAAGTTTTGAGTGCTGAGAAGGCAGCTTGCTCTTTCTCCCCCCACCTATGCTCAGTCCCTTTCCGCAGCAGGTCAGTTAACGATGTAGTTACCCCCGCCATATTCGTGATAAATCTCCAAACGTTGTTGACGAACCCTAAAAACTTTGCAGCTCCTGCAGGTTCGTAGGCGGTAGCCATGCTTGCACTCTCTCGATCTTGCGCGGATCCACCTCGACGCCCTTAGTGGAAATCGCGTGTCATAGAAATTCTAAGCGATTTTTTTATTTTTATTTTTAGCTCGCACTTAGATCCCTTCGTGAGCAGCCGATGCTCCTGCAGTAGCGAGAAAACTGCTTCGGGGTCATTTAAGTGCTGCTCTCGGGTCTTGCTTTAGATCAGGATATCGTCCAGGTAGACTATAACACACTTATCTACGAGGGAACTAAAGATCTGGTTCATGGTCATCTGAAAGGTCGCCGGGGCGTTCGTCAGACCGAAGGGCATAACTACATATTCGAAATTCCCGTACATAGTGCGAAACGCAGTCTTGTGGCAATCAACTGCGACTACTCGAATCTGATGGTAATCCCCTCGTAAATGTATTTTGGAGAAGAACCTAGCTTTGCGAAGTTGGTCGATCAGATCGTCGGCGCGCGAAATAGGCTAACACGACTTGATAATGACCTTGTTCAGTGCTCTGTAGTCAGTGCACATTCTGTACCCATCGTCTTTCTTCGGGGTAAACAATATGGGGGCGGCAAATGGCGAGGAGCTCGGCCAGATGATTTTTTTCTTCAGTACGTAATCTAACTGTTTCCGAAATTCCTCCAACTCCGGCTGTGTTAACTGGAATTGCCGCTGCACTGTGGGCTGTATCCCAGGTTCTAATTCTATTCGATGGTCGAAGGGTCGTTCCGGTGGTAATCCTACGGGTAGGTCGTCTAGAAATATCTGCGGGAATCTGCGAATCAGCTGCGCTAAATCGGACGGCACTGTTGCTGTCAGCTTCTCTAAATCGGACGGCTGCGATGCCACGTCGACTATGCGAATGACTACAACGAAGACTTCCGCTCCCAGTGCGACTGCTCATTTGATCGCCACGGAGTTCACCTGCGTCACTCCCCCCATGATCCCCTTCGTCCATTCTGATAACGTGACACTGCGACCGTTGATTCTGACGGAACAGCTGCCAGACGTCCAGTCGATTTCAGGGTTGAACCGTTGCAGCCAATCCCGTCCTAGCAACATATCGAAGTCGTCGAGTATAGTTGCTAGCATCCCCATTGAAAATATGAAGTAAACTCCACAGCGTACCTTGATCCTGTCCGACCGGTGGACACCTACAGTATCTAAGGGTAACTTCATTTTTTTGGCCGTGGCGAGGTTGATCCGACTGTGGCTGGAGCCCCCGTCCACGAAGATTTTATTTTTTTCCCCTTGAGCCCTACCCTCCAAATAAATAGGGTAATCTGCCGCTGCACCCTCCTTATTCAGCCGAGTTTGGTCGATTGCAAGGATCGGTACTTGTACTCAATGAGGGTTATCGGTCACGGGTGAGCAGGTTCCATCAGTAGGAGGCATGTTAACTACTGATACTAAGCGTTTCCCTGGTCGGTGGAACTCCCCTGCCCCTGATTCCGCTTCTTCCACTCCTCTGGGCATTCTGACTTGCGCTGTCCCGGTCTGTTACACCCGAAACAACGACCATTGAAGGCTATAATTGCCGAGTTCGAGGTTGTAACAGCGTGTACAGTGGCATGCTCGATTGGTCCCCGATTGCGACTTCCGTCATAGGAATCCGCCCTTGGCTTGAAGAACGAATCCAACCACTCCGCAACCCTCTGCGCCTCCATCAAATATGTAATTACCCTGATCGAGATTTCTCTGCGCATATCCGGTCGAAGTCCCCCGATGTATCTATCGAACTTTCTGTCAGTGTAAATGTAGCCGACGTGGTCGCATAAATTCTTGAAGCTGCTTGTGTAATCCTTGACAGATCCGAGTTGGCGCCACGTGCGAAGGCGGCCGCGCGCTTGGCTGCTTGAATTGACATGTTCGAAGCGGTAACGAATTCCCGCGCACCACGATTGCTACGTGCTGTACTCGTCCGCCTCGCAATAACTTCATGCCTAGTGATTGGTCGTGCGAAAATGCCCGATCACGCGCGACGTCGTATCTGGTTCATGCGATTGAATTATCTATTGCCACCAATCCACGACAAGGCGTATCGAAATTTTTGGGCGTCGTCGCTGACGAGGTTGTAGTCGTACAAAACATTCAGGTGAAAGATCCACCCGCTGACAGACAATCTGTCATGCTGGCTCGGGTCGAACGTGGGCGGCCTCTGCGTCTTGAGAATGCTTGGCGCCATGTTGACGTTGGCAGTTTGCAGGCCGATCAGAGAGGTAATTCAGGGCAGCAGGATTACATTCGTGATTTCGCCAATTTTCGCTCGTCCAATAGCTGGTGGCGGGTTGTTCGTCGAACCCTCGGGCGAAGCTGCATGTGGTCGCTGATTGTCGCCAGGTATTTCGGAACGCTGCTGGGTTACTTGCTCCTGTTGTCCTTGATTTGTCGTTGGTGCGATCGTGCCGTGACGTGTCTGAGGCAGTCGACTCCGAAGTGCAGATATCTCAGATTCTGCTTGGGTCGTTTCCGCTCGCAGGCGCGCCAACTCCTGCTAGTACAACTTGTGGGTAAGGCGGACATCGTCAAGTACTGGCGCCCTTTCTTCATGAGTCATGACGGTAGACGCCAACGAATCCACCATTTCGCGAAAAGTTTTGGGCGGCTTTCGGCATACTGGCACTACGAACACAGTCGTGGCTGTAGGTAAACATAATTCAATATTACCAGGACAGCGGATATGCAGTAAGCGCAAGGCGTCAGCCTCTCTAAGTGTCGGTATTACAGCGGAACTAGAGTGCAAGGCTGAGGATCGTTGGCTCTGATGGACAAGTGTAGTGAAGCGCAAAGCGCGTGTGTCGAATGATTGATTAACGAGGAAACAATACAACTGAGACACATCAAAAACACCAGGGGCATGGATATAGCTGTCAAATTGTATATTATATACATATATATATATATATATATATATATATATATTTGTGTAGGCTTGGTAGGTGTTCTATATTGTGGATCCTACTGTAGAGAGGACAACCCCCCTTCTTGTATCTCTCTCTCTCTCTCTCTCTCTCCCTCTCTCTCTCTCTCTCTCTCTCTCTCTCTCTCTCTCTCTCTCTCTCTCTCTCTCTCTCTCTCTCTCTCTCTCTCTCTCTCTCTCTCTCTCTCTCTCTCTCGTCCTAGTCGTCTCTCTTTTCTCTCGCCAATTTCTCTCGCTACCTAGCTTAAACCTTGTTCTAACAATAGCCAGCCTAGGACCACATGGTCAGGGCTCGGCAGAGCTACGACGTGTGGTTCGTAACTGGCGCGGAGCGCCCAGATCTAGGCATGCAACAGCAAGGCAGACATAAATGCATGCGGCTCGTCAAGAGACCACATTTGGGGCCGCGATTTGAATTTCGTGGCAGAGCTGCGCGGCAACCCGTTATAGCAGTGTACGCCTTACTGACTACAACCCGTGATAAGGAAATACCATTTCTTTACAAGTACGCAAAAAGACATGTTTTACAAAGTTGTTTATCTTTTGAAACGCAATCAACCTTAACCGCATTCGGAGGTACGCTAAGGACATGCCCTTATCATGGCTTCCCTCATCCACAGCGTCATTCGCGCTCCTGCCCTTCTCTTCTGACGGGAAACGCCTGTTTAGAGGCTGCTGACGTGGCATGGCCTCTGCACGCATGGCGGTCATTGAGCTTGGGACGAGCTCGCTTCGTCGATGCGCATCGTCCAATTCGCCTTCTGCGCAGCTTTCCCGCGCAATCCCCCGGCCTTCCGCGCAATGCCTTCTCTCTCGCCGCGCGCTTTATCCGCGCAAACGGCTCCAGGCGCCACGCCAGCTACGAAGCCAAGCTTCATTTTTTGCGGGCAGATTAGTCACACCCGTAGTATTATCTGCTGCGCCTGCTGCAGCCTTTTCAGACCAAAACTCTTCATGTGTACGGCCACTTCCCCTTACCTCTTCTTTAGATGAAGCCTCTTCTCTGGAGAGCGTTGCCACGCTTCAGACTTCTGCGTCCGCCATTGCTGAAGCCGCGTCCCCGCATTTCTCGCAAAGACTTCAGAATGCCCTCCCCGCTTCAGACTCTCACTTCCGCCCTCCGCCTCCGCCTTCCGCCCTCCCCGCGCTCCTCCTCGTAGCAGCCGCCGCGCTTCTCCCGCTCTGCCTCTCCTTCCTCTCCCCTCTCCCCGCCCTCGCCGCCGATCCCGCCGCCGCGACAGCCGCCGCAACCGCCGCCGCGACCGGCGCGGCAACGTCCATAGCCAAGTCGGGTCTCGGGGTACGCGTCGCGGAGGCGCTGCGCGCGTCGCATTGGCCCGACGCGGCGATAGTGACCTTCGTCGCGTCGCTGCCGGTGGTGGAGTTAAGAGGCGCCATACCTGTCGCCTACTGGATGGGCATGGAGCCGCTAGTAGCTTCCAGTCTGGCCGTTCTAGGGTGAGTTAAATGGCGCCTCAAAAGGTGGAGTTTAAGAGGCGCCATTCCTGTCGCCTACTGGATGGGCATGGCGCCTCTAATTGCTTCCTCTCTGGCCGTTCTAGGGTAAGTCGTGAGTCTCACCCTTTCCCGGTGGTGGAGTTAAGAGGCGCTATTCCTGTCGCCTACTGGATGGGCATGGAACCGTTAGTAGCTTCCTCGCTGGCCGTTCTAGTAGGGTACGTTGCAGGAGGCAAGAAAAATCAGGTCTCATATTTCTTGGAAAGCCGTCTCGCTCGAGCACTACCCTCCCCCCTCTCTCCCCCCCCCCCCTCCCCTCCGCTCCGTTCCTTCAACATCATTCTTGTATCTCTTCACCCTCCATCCTGACCACTCCAATCTCTCCCCCACCCCCCCCACCTCCCCCCACCCACCCCCCCACCCCCCGCCTCTTCCCCCTCCACCACCACCACAACCACAACAGACATGCTGCCAGTGCCGCTCCTCCTCACCCTCCTCGGCCCAGCGCCAGCCACTCTCTCCCGCATCAACCCTCTTACCCATCGCCTTACCCCCTTTTACTCCACCCCCCCTGCTTTCCTCCCCCTTACCCCCCTCCACTCCTTTACCAACCCCATACCCCCACCGCAGGAACATGCTTCCCGTGCCGCTCCTCCTCACCCTGCTCGGCCCAGCATCCAGCACTCTCGCCCCCATCAGCCCCGGCGCCAAAGCCCTCCTGGACCACACGCGGGAGAAGGCCGGCCCAATCCCCGAGTTCCAGTGGCTGGGCCTCGCGCTCTTTGTGGCCGTCCCATTACCCGTCACAGGAGCATGGTCAGGGGCAAGCAATCGGAGCAAGCAACATCATCTTCCCCTTTTCTCCCCCCCATATTCTCACCCATGCAGGAACATGCTTCCCGTCCCGCTCCTCCTCACCCTGCTCGGCCCAGCATCCAACACCCTCGCCCGCATCAGCCCGCGCGCCAAAGCCCTGCTGGACGCCCTCCTGGACCACACGCGGGAGAAGGCCGGCCCAATCGCTGAGTTCCAGTGGCTGGGCCTCGCGCTCTTTGTGGCCGTCCCGCTGCCCGGCACAGGCGCGTGGTCGGGGGCAATCGGAGCGTACATTCTCGGCATGCCGTTTTGGGAGGCGTTCACGGCGAATTTAACAGGGGTGGTGCTGGCGGCCGTGCTTGTGAATCTGCTCGTGACGCTGCCGCTGCAGCAGGCGTTAGGGTTGGCGGTGCTGCTGCTGGGGTTCTCGTCTGTGTGCTGGTCGCTGCTGAGATGGATCCGGAAGAACCTGTTCTCTAAGGACAGTTCAGCATAAGGGGTGTTCCGTTCCAGTGGCTGGGCCTGCCTCTCTTTGTGGCGTATGGTCGGGTCGGGGGCGATCGGAGCGTACATTCTCAGCATGCCGTTTTGGGAGGCGCTTGTCAACGTATATAATATTAATATATATTTGTGTAGGCTTGGTAGTTGTTAGGTGTCATACAAATTACTGGATCCTACTGTAGAGGGTACAACACCTTCCTTGTGTCTCTCTCTTCTAGTCCAACTCACTTTTCTCTCGTCACTTTCCCTACCTAGCTAAAACCTCTCGCCATTCTTATGCCTAGCTAGCTGTTTAACTTCTTTCAACATTGTTTCAGAGCAGGAAAATCCTGTTGAGCCTCCTATTCACGCTTCCGCCGCGTACTCTCTCCTCTCCTTTCACTTTCGTGCCGCCGTGGCGGCCTCGCCGCGCTGCCGTGGCCGCCACGTCCTGCTGCCATGGCGGCCTCGACGCGTGGCGGCCTCGTTGAGCAGCCGTGGCGTCCTCGCCGTGCTGCCGCAGCGGCCTCGTCGTGCTGCCCTGGCGTCGTCGTGCTGCCACGGCGGCTTCGATGCGCCTGCGCACGGACGGCTGCGGCTAGCGCGCTGGTTTAGGCGCCAGCCAGCACACCCGCGCGCCAGCAAGTGTCGCGCCAGCCACGGCGCCTCGCTGAAGACACGCCCCCTCCCTTGCGTCTCCCCTCATCCCAGCCGCAGCTGATGGCTCCCTTCCCGATCGTCGCCGGGCCATGCCACGCCGCCGGGTGCCGCGACCTTCGCAGTCGCCGCCGCCGTCGTCGAAGCCGCCGCCGCCACTGCAGGTGCCGCTGGCTCCGCCGCCGCCGCTGTCGTCGTTGTAGCCGCCGCTGTCGTCGTCGTAGCCGCCGCTGTCGTCGTCGTAGCAGCCGCTGACGCCATTGCTGCCACCCGCTGCCGATGTCGCCGCTTCGCACAAGGGGTAGAAGCCACAGCTGCTGCAGGACATGGGGGTGCAAGGGCTTGAGAGTGTTGCGTGTGTGGTGTGCTAGCGCCTACCAAGCCTGAGGGGGTGTGTCAACTTATATATGATTTATATATATTTGTGTAGGCTTGGTAGGTGTTAGGTGTCCTACAAATTACTGAATCCTACTGTAGAGGGTACAACACCCTTCTTCTAGTCCAACTCTCTTTTCTCTCGTCACTTTTCCTACCTTGTGAAAACCTCTCGCCGTTGTTATGCCTAGCTAGCTTCTTAGCTTCTTTCAACAACGCTTACTGCGAAATTTAGCAGGGGTGGTGCTGGCAGCTGTGCTCGTGAATCGGCTCGTCTCTCTGCCGCTTTCACAGGCTTTAGGTTTGGCCGTTTTGCTGCTTGCCTTTTCCTGTCTGCTGGTCGCTGCTGAGATGGATCCAGAAGAATATATATTTTTAGAAAGACAGCTCGGCTTGCGAGTGCGGGTTGTAGAGGGGTGGTGCTGGCTGCTGTGCTGCTGATAAATCTGTTGTAGAAGTACGTGGGAGAGCTGCAGGCATGGCATGAGGTGAGGAGTTGCAGTACGGAGTCGCATTTGCAAGGAATTGCTCTGTAAAACAGTGCTGTTGGTGCTGGCTGCGTCGCTGGTGAATCTGTCATCAGGCTGCTCGGCATGCTGCTGTTGCTGTCATGGGCTGCACGGTTGGCACCAGTGTTGCCAGGGATTCTCGGCTGTGTGCTGTGCTTGCTAAGGGCGTATTCCTACTTAAGCGCATTCAGTACCAGGAAACCAAATTCGCGAACTACCGAATTGAACCGCACAAGAATTCGCGTTTCGACCTTCGGACCTCACTGTATCGCATTTCAGACTCGATTTCGGGTTTGCTGGTACCGGACATTGTCCTGTACGAATACACCCTAATGATGAGTTGGGTATGGCAGAATCTGTTACGGTATCTAAGATGGATGGCTAGCAACTGTGTGTCAACTTCTATATTTGCATTTATAGGCTAGATAGGTGCATGCTCTTAGAGAGTACATCACACAAGTATAACAACACCCAGTATGCCCTTACCTAACCAATTTGCTGTTCTAAGATGATCTCAGACTAGGTTAGGTATCCCCGCCCTAGCCCGCGCTGCTGCCCTAGCCAGCCCTAGTCCCACCCTAGTCCCGTCGCGTCACCCTAGCCTGCCCGTTGGCCCTTAGCGCGCCGCGTCACCCCTAGCGAGCCGCGCGGCTCCTAGTCTGCCGCTGGCCCCTAGCCCGCCGCTCGCCCCTCACTCGCCGCTGGCCTCCAGTGTCAAACATATTTGTATAAATGTATTATTGGCTAGACAGGTGCATGCTCTTAGAGGGTACAATACACTAGTACAAACCCACCTTGTATCACTCATTCTAGTCATTCGTTAACTCTGAGATGGTATCATGCGCTAGGTTAGGTCCTCCCCGCCCATCTACGCTTCTGCTCTAGTCCTAGCCCTAGCCGCCCGTTGCTAGCCGCCCGTCGCCACCGGCCGCCCGTAGCCCGTCATCGCCAGCTGCCCGTAGCCCGTCCCCACTGGCCGCCCATAGCAGGTAGCCGCTGGCCGCCCATAGCCCGTCACCGCCGGCCGCTCGTAGCCCGTCGCCGCCGGCCGCCCATAGCCCATCGCTGCCAGCCGCCCGTAGCCCGTAGCCGCAGGCCGCCTATAGCTCGTCGCCGCCGGCCTCCCGTAGCCCGTTGCCGCTGGCCGCCCGTAGCCCCGCACCCGCCAGTCCCCGCGCTTGCTGGCCCCACGCTCGCGAGCCCCGTGCTCGCCGCCCGTAGCCCGTTGCTGCCGGCCGCACGTGGCCCATCGCTGCCGGCTGCCCGTAGCCCGTCGCCGCCGGCCGCCCGTAGCCCGTCGTCGCTGGCCGCCCATAGCCCCACGCCCGCCAGCCCCCGCGCATGCTGGCCTCGCGCCTGCTGGCCCCGCACTCGCCAGCCCCGTGCTCACTGGCCCCCAGATCCGCCGGCCCCAACTCCGTCGGCCCTAGTTTCGTTGGTCCCCGCCCGTACCACCCCCGCGCTGTCGAGTTGCCTTGATGCCGAGCCGCCGCGCCGTTGGGCCGCAGTGCTGCCGTGACGCCGTGCCGCTGAGCCGCCAAGCCGCGCTGCTGCCCGGACCTGCCGGCCTTGGCTCCCCCATGAGCCAGCGTTCCCGCCGGTTGTCTCCACAGTTCTCCACCGCACTCCACCGCTCTTCACTGCACTCCACCGCTCTCCACCGCACTCCATCGCTCTCCACCGCTCTCCATCGCCCTCCGCCGCTTTCCTCCCCCCTCCAGCGGCAGTTTGCTACTGGAACCGTGGTGATGGTGGACTCTGTGCTCCGCCTGGACGCAGAGGGTCGAGCGGTTGATTTTGAGGCGTGGCTCGTCGACCTCCGCCGCCAGCTGACCGGTCAGCGCCAGGACAGCTACTCCCTGGCCGTCCATGTCGACGGTAAGCTCCCCTGCCCCGCCGCGCCCGCTGCTCTCCCTGACGCCCCCACGTCTGCTAAGCATGAGGCCTTTGCTGCTGCTGAGCTTGCCCGTGCTGTCTAAGAGTTGCGCAACGCAATTGCACAGCTTGCCATTAGTCACACCTTCCCCGTGTCTGAGCATCCTCGCTTTACTGCTGTAGTAAATGTGAAGGAGTACTTAGATACGGTCATAACGCGCTATTCCACTCCCTCCTCCGCCTCTGTCGGCCGTCTGATCCTCCCCATGCTATTCCCTGATCTTGCGTCCTTCCCCACTGTCGTTGACCTTGCCACTCATCTCCGCGCACTTGAGACTCGCTACCGCACTGCTAGCACTGAGGCACATCTAACTGCCTTCCCGCCGCCGCTTTGCGCTACCCTTTACCTCATTGCCACGCGCCTTCCTGATCGCCTAGCCACTGCCCGCGACCACTTTCTTAGTCAGCACACAGGTAACCTCACCCTTACTGTGTTTCTTACCGCCCTGTCTGCGATAAAGACCCGCCAGCGCAATATTGCTCAGTCTAACGGTACTACGCCGATCCCTGTCTTCCAGGGCTATGCTCCCTCCAAGTGCACTTGCTCTGACGTTTCCGCCGTTGTTGTTGAGAACGACCCTGCTACTAAGACCGCCGCCACGGCCTCAGCGCAGCCGCGTTAGGTTAAGGGAAGCCGCCCCAAGGGGGGGCGTGGCGGAGGGAAGGGTGGCGGGAATGGTGGGGGTTGCGGAGGTGCCATAGGTGGGGGTGGGGACGGTGGAGCGGACGAGGGGACTAGGCCTGATGCCTCGGAGTAGCAGCAGCAGTAATCACAGCAACAGCAACAGCCGCTGTGGTGGCCTGGCGGCACTGGTGGTGGTCGTCGTGGTGGTGGGTCGCGCAACTCAGTGTCGGGTGGCGGCTCCGGCGAGCTCACCTGCCAGTACCAGCTGGAGTCCGGCCCACACCGCGGCACCATCTGCGACCATATCAGTCACACCACCGCCCGCTGCTACCGCCGCCTCAACGACCTCTTTCGTCTTCGCTTCGGCCCCACGTCGGACCCCCCCGACTAGTACAGCCTGGTGCGTCGCCGTGTCCCTGTCTTTGAGCTTGACATGGAGCAGATTAGGTCTGCCATGTATGTCATGTATGTTGATGACTAGAGTGTGACCGGACCCTATTACACTGTGTTGCCTAGTGTAGGTGTGTCCACGGTGTGTAGCCTAGGCTCCCCTGCTGTGTTAGGCGTAAGACCACCCGCTTTGTTTAGCCTCAGTTCCACTCTAGCTCCTCCGCCTGCGACCGCTACCGCTGCGCTCTCTTTCACGCTCGACTATGGTGCGCCCGCTTGCTTCTTTCGCGACCACACTGCGCTCACGCTGCTTGCCGCCCCTGTCGCTATAACGCTTGCTGACCCCTCCTCAAGTCCGGTAGTTGCACGTTGCTCCACTACCCTTGCCTTTCCGACAGTTCTCTCGGGCTCTCTTACAAACTTGCGCATCCTCTCGTTCTCCACGAACCTAGTTGGTGTCGGTTGTCTTCTGGACCTCGACGTCACCACTACGTTTCCTGGACACAAGCGGTGTCCAGTCTGTACCAAGGCCACCACTGGTGCCCCTCTCACCACGTTCCCCAAGGACCCGGTGTCTGGCATGTTCACCCTAAACACCGCGTCCCCCCCCCGTGGGAGCGTCCCCCTAGGTCGCGGCGCCCTGCCACATTGCTGCAGCGTGCTCGTGTCGGTCACTCACCCACCCGTTGCTGCTGTGGCACCACCGCCTAGGTCACCCCGCACTCACGCGTCTACGTCACATGTCCCATCACAGTCTTGTCGTAGGTCT